TTGGGTGAGCCCGTTGCGGGATCACACAGATTCGGTTTGGTCAGTCTCGTTCTCGCCGGATGGCACTCGCATCCTGTCTGGTTCTCGGATCACACCTGTCCGGCTGTGGGATGCAGCCACTGGGCAGCCATTGGGTGAGCCTTTGCGGGACACACAGATTCGGTTTTTTCAGTCTCGTTCTCGCCGGATGGCACTCGCATCCTGTTTGGTTTCTTGGGATCACACTGTCCGGCTGTGGGATGCAGCCACGGGGCAGCCATTGGGTGAGCCCTTGCGGGGGACACACAGATTCGGTTTGGTCAGTCTCGTTCTCGCCGGATGGCACTCGCATCATGTCTGGTTCTTGGGATCACACTGTCCGGCTGTGGGATGCAGCCAGGGGCAGCCATTGGGTGAGCCCTTTGCGGGGGACACACAGATTCGGTTTGGTCAGTCTCGTTCTCGCCGGATGGCACTCGCATCCGTCTGGTTCTGGGATCAGACTGTACGGCTGTGGGATGCAGCCAAGGGGCAGCCATTGGGTGAGCCCTTGCGGGGACACACAGATTCGGTTTTGTCAGTCTCGTTCTCGCCGGATGGCACTCGCATTCTGTCTGGTTCAAGGGATCAGACTGTCCGGCTGTGGGATGCAGCCACGGGGAAGCCATTGGGTGAGCCCTTGCGGGGACACACAGATTCGGTTTCGTCAGTCTCGTTCTCGCCGGATGGCACTCGCATCCTGTCTGGTTCTTGGGATCACACTGTCCGGCTGTGGGATGCAGCCACGGGGAAGCCATTGGGTGAGCCCTTGCGGGGACACACAGATTCGGTTTGGTCAGTCTCGTTCTCGCCGGATGGCACTCGCATCCTGTCTGGTTCAAGGGATCAGACTGTCCGGCTGTGGGATGCAGCCACGGGGCAGCCATTGGGTGAGCCCTTGCGGGGACACACAGATTTGGTTTGGTCAGTCTCGTTCTCGCCGGATGGCACTCGCATCCTGTCTGGTTCTTGGGATCACACTGTCCGGCTGTGGGATGCAGCCACGGGGCAGCCATTGGGTGAGCCCTTGCGGGGACACACAGATTCGGTTTCGTCAGTCTCGTTCTCGCCGGATGGCGCTCGCATCCTGTCTGGTTCTTGGGATCACACTGTCCGGCTGTGGGATGCAGCCACGGGGCAGCCATTGGGTGAGCCTTTGCGGGGACACACATATTCGGTTTCGTCAGTCTCGTTCTCGCCGGATGGCACTCGCATCCTGTCTGGTTCTTGGGATCACACTGTCCGGCTGTGGGATGCAGCCACGGGGAAGCCATTGGGTGAGCCCTTGCGGGGACACACAGATTCGGTTTTGTCAGTCTCGTTCTCGCCGGATGGCACTCGCATTCTGTCTGGTTCAAGGGATCAGACTGTCCGGCTGTGGGATGCAGCCACGGGGCAGCCATTGGGTGAGCCCTTGCGGGGACACACAGATTCGGTTTCGTCAGTCTCGTTCTCGCCGGATGGCACTCGCATCCTGTCTGGTTCTTGGGATCAGACTGTCCGGCTGTGGGATGCAGCCACGGGGAAGCCATTGGGTGAGCCCTTGCGGGGACACACAGATTCGGTTTTTTCAGTCTCGTTCTCGCCGGATGGCACTCGCATCCTCTCTGGTTCTTCGGATCACACTGTCCGGCTGTGGGATGCAGCCACGGGGCAGCCATTGGGTGAGCCCTTGTGGGGACACACAGATTCGGTTTTGTCAGTCTCGTTCTCGCCGGATGGCACTCGCATCCTCTCTGGTTCTTCGGATCACACTGTCCGGCTGTGGGATGCAGCCACGGGGCAGCCATTGGGTGAGCCTTTGCGGGGATACACATATTCGGTTTCGTCGGTCTCGTTCTCGCCGGATGGCACTCGCATCCTGTCTGGTTCGGACGATCACACTGTCCGGCTGTGGCATGCTGTGGCTGGGCAGCCATTGCAGGAGTACCCTGAGACCACCTTATTCCCTCTGGATAGCAGTTTTACCATGCCTCGTGCACCCAATATGTGGAACAATCACTCCATTTGCTTCTCATCCAGTTTGAACCATGCACTACACAACCCTGCTGAGCTACTCGAGGGCACCTTCCATCATTATTCTAATTCAACCCCTTTCTTGCTGGGTGTTGATGGATGGGTGGTCGGGCCTGATCATCGGCTTCTTTTCTGGGCACCTCCCGCTTCCCGAGAGCCATTTTATAATCCTTGGACTTCATTGGTAATTCCGCGAGGAAGTGTAGAGCTTGATTTGAGCCGCATGACACATGGGAGACACTGGTCTACTTGCTACAACGCGTGAGTGCCTAGCCTTTCTTCTGTCCCTCGCAGTTGCTAAATCAAGATGTCTAGCCGTACTTGACGCAATGATTTTATTGTAGCAGTTGGTTCATGGAGATGTCAGATAGTCGTGCATGAAGCACGTCATTGAGTTTATTTTATGGCGATCTTAGCCACTAAAAGCTGTCACTGAGATGTATTAATGTAGGCGATCAGGCTAGGTTACAAATAGCTACAGGTGTACAGGTGCTTCGTTGTTCTTAATCCTGTGATTGAAACCATCAGCATCAAGATTCAAGATCATGCGAGTATCTTGTAGCCCTCGTCTTTCGTGTGATGAAGTCGCATCATTAATTGTCTAGCATTGATACTAGTACGAGACTATGACACTCCAACACAAACTTTATGTGATAAATTGCACGATACTTGGTTTTTTGACTTACAGAAACGAGAAGGGGGGGATGTAGTAGTCACTGTCATCATTGATGTCCGTCTTAGCAGAGCTGCCTCGACGAGCTTCTTGACATCGTAGGTCTTTTTCACGTGGTGTGGAAGCAGCCATCGACACTATGGTGGATGGATATGAAGCAGGGGTGCGGCTGCTGAGAATAGGCCGTAGGGATTTGTGAGAGTAGGCACATGTTCTGTAGCTATTGGTCGAGTGTCTGTTGCATGCGACAATGTGTCCGTAGGGGTTCCAAGCAGACATGGGGTGTGAAGTTTGATGTGAAGTATAGCTTGTGCCCCATCATTGGACTTCGAGACATGCTAGGCGAGATCTTGTCGAAGCTGGGAGGATGATGAAGCTGTATCGTAAGTTCTCGAAAAGGTTGAACACTGCCGGCTCGAGGCCGGGCGAGTCGAGCAGTAGCATCAAAGTCTTCAACGAGTAAGGAATAAAGAAGTATGGATGAAGCGCGGACCTCTGTTTCCACCATGCCGCTTTCAAGTGATAGTTGAACCAGCGGCGTAAATTTGGTCTGGTGTCAGCTGTAGGCAATTGTCGATAGTCTCGCCATCCTCGCATAACCGGTACAGCTCAGGGTGGATTTGATATTGACCTGGATGAGCAGACCCCGTCTGATTATCTGCCAAATAAGCACCAGGATCGAATGCTCTCGTCCCTCCGCGATATCAGGCGAATCAGTATTGACCGGAGCATCCGATACCCTTGGCAGATACGATGACAATATTGTTGTTCTAGAACGCGTTCAATGGTTTTCATATGTTTGATTTGTTCATCAGACACGTATCGAGATCAGACCGTCCCTGCCTTCATCGAAGAGCTGCATCATTGAGGTAAAAATTGGAAAAAGGTTGCTGATGTCAGGGTCGTTTTTGATGACCTGTAACGAGTCAAGAAGACGTAGAGAGGTATGAAAGGAACTCACCGAGTTGATAAAGTTTGCATTGCTCAATTCACGGATCGTTGATACGTTACGGTCCCGGACCAGGCGCTGTGTAAGGAAATCAATCGAACCGTTTTCCTCTAAAATGTCTACCCGAACCTCGCCGGTACCAAAAGGGACTGGCCGTTGAAAGTAGTACTTTGGAGCTAGGCGTTGCAACTGTACTTATCTCACATCAGTAAATCACGAGTTGTCTTTTAAACCACTTATATCCCACTTTTTGCGCTACATATTGAAGGAAGCAGCACGAAGTCAAAAAAGTAGAACCTACTTTTTTCCGTAGATCTCGTTACTCATATCCCGCTCATTCTCGGCTTTTTCGCACTTATTTTTTTGGGATGCGTTGAAAAAAGAACAATAGTGGGCATTAACATCAGAGAACCGGTGAGCAGATGATAAGGTTATTTAAAGCAATATATTGTAGAGCATCGCAACAATCTTCGTATATCTGTTGACCGCTCAGACATGCATCAGCAAAACCTTCGATTCCCTTTATGTACTTAAATGACTTAATAAGCACAAATAAGCAGGAGCGCTGGATAAGTAAACAGCGACTTATTCAGACCAGTCGATCTCTGATTTTCTTCTTAATCTCACTTATCCCTCTGGCAGTAAGTAGAAAAAGTGATTATTGCATCCAAACAGTAGGATAAGCAAAGTAATGAAATGCCACAAAATAATCAATTCATAGGATCCAGAAAACACGTGAATATCAAATATTGTTAGATGAAGCGGTAGAAATTACGAATGAGCAATAGGGTACGGTTGAAAAGTCACTTTTTTTCAACAGCTGTTGAAAATACCTGTTAATAACTGTTAATAACGCTGTTGAAAAGTCATCGTGTCCGAAGGCCTGTTGAAAATTGTGAATAAGTCCAGGGCATGTGGGAACATTTTGAATGAACTTCTGAGGCTCGAAAAAGTTCAACCGGACCACCCTCTCACCGCCAACCTTATTTTTGACGCCCTAGCTATGTCATTCCCTGCACCCGAATCTCTCACCCCTGCCGAGTTTCAGGGTATACTTGAATACTTGCGGATATTGCTACAAAATCTGCCAACTGCCTTGCCCGTTGGTTCTGCTTTCACATCAAAATACCTCGCATTCCTGTCATTCACGATTGACGCTGAGCTGCTAGATCGTACCGGAAGCGAAATAGGGGCCTTAAATGAACAATTCAAACAGATTTTCGGATGGCAAACACGAACAACGGGATCTGGAATTGTGGCAATCGAGGAGCGAGGAGAACCTATTTGTGCAGTGGTTGATGTGCTTGAAAACTTTCATGTCAGATACCCTACAGATAATGTTATTAAGAAGTGGGCAGTTGACATTGGTATTGGAGTACAAGAAGTCTACAGTCAACACAACATCGAGGTACAGTTGCGGTGGTAATTGAACGAAATGAATGCCGTCACCTGACATTTTCACAGCTCCCACCACAGAGCACGGCTACAAAGCAACAAAAGCAGACATTGTTAGACTCTGTGTTGAGCATATCCAACACTGCAGTCAATAATCCCCAGACTGTTGTTGAATCATCCACAAGTTCGAGAGGCCGTCCTGTCCATGCTCTAATGCAAAAGCTCATCATCAAGACCACCATCATGTCCGAAGATGGCAAACCAAAGGTTTCCTGGAAGTGCATTTCATGTGACCATTCACGAAAAGGGTCACCACAGGAGAGTCGTGTCCTGAAGCATTCTGCAACCTGTAAGCAGCTTCCTGTACACCTTCAGAATGAAGCTATCACTGCTTCGAAGGACACATCACTCGGGGCACAAATTATCGAACTCAAAGACTGCAACACAACACCTAACAATGGGGACGACTCAGTACAGCCCCATATGGATGAGCCACCTGCAAAACGGCCCAAAAACCAGGTGACCCTGAATGTTTTACCATATCGTGATGTGGGGCGAAAGAAGCGAGAGGAGGAACGCAAACTTTTCCAACACAAGGCTGATCATATCATCTTGCATCTCATTTGTGCATGTGGTTTGGTTCCGACAATTGTTGATTCCGACGAGTGGAAGGAATTGATGGTGCATCTGAACCCACATTATCACGCTACATCCTGCAACACATTCACTGATAATTATATACCAAAAGAGGCCGTCTTCGTTCGCCAACAGCAGCTCAAGGAGTTGAGAAAGCATGACAACCTGACACTCACCTTTGATGGCACGAGCACACGGAAACCACAGTCCCTCTATACCGTGCATGCAACCACCCCAGACCGGACAACACATTTCTTGGATGGTCACAAGGACTCTACTACCAGTCATACTTCTGCATGGGTGAAAGAGAAGATGCTCGAGGCCAGTATCTTCACTACTACATGTACACTTGAACTAATGCTCCAGTTTTTCTACAGACTATCTATGAGGTCGGAGAGGACAAGTGGGCTGCTATTTGCTCAGATAGCACCGCAGTTACCAAAAATGCTCGACGTGACATCGTTGGCACAATTCCGACGATGTTAGACTTATGTGATGCCTGTCATCACTTGCATAATACCATCAAGAACGTTACCCAATTACCAGAGTTCGAAGAGGTGCGTGAAAACTTCGAGTCGTTTGAACTTTGATTAAGATCCATGAATTTTCTAGATGTTATCACTTCTGAAACCTATCATCAAACATTTTAGTAAATCCACGATATCTGCCGCACACCTCCGAAAGGAGCGTCGGGCTGATGACAATGACGAGACAGTGAATGCCCTTCAAAAGATTGGAAAAACAAGGTTTGGAACTCACTGGTCAGCTGCGGCATCACTCGAGCAGTGCCTCCCGAATATACGAACCCTTGTAGAGAAGAAGGTTGTGAAATTCACGGTAAGTACTTTCAGTGCAATCTCATGCGTGGCCTGATTCAGCAGAGTCTAGAACCGTAAAGTGAAGGACATGTTCCTGAACCGTCGTGCATTCTGGACTTTGGAGCAAGATCTGGGTATTTATGTCACGCTCGTGGGACCATTCATCCGCTCGCTGTGGTCCCTTGAGGCATCCCATGCGAATGCATCAGACGTCTTCATTTTTTGGCTTACCTTCATGTGAAAGAGTTTCTCAAGCCCATGCTGCATGCAATGGTGGAGCGCAGCGAAGCTCAGTCTGATCACGAACTCAACGACCCAATCTCGCTGCTTGTGCAGGAGATTGGAGCAGCTGGTGTTGTTGACGAGTTCAGATGTCAACTTCAAGCTTATTTTCACAACGAGTGGCCATTCAATGCCCCCCTTCAAGACGGAAACACTCTCGCATGGTGGAATACACTTCTAACTCATCCCCATGCTCGTGTCCTTGCTGTAAGTCCGAGTTTGTGTACTTCCGAAGTTGTGCTGTTGGGCTAACTTGCTCGTTGTTTGATAGGCTTCTCGCAGTCAAAAATTTTTCAGTACTTATTAACTCCATGCCGGATGAACGGACAGGCTCGAATTTGACATGGCTCAACTCGGCAATACGTGCTAACTAGAATGCTCAAACTCTCGTTGACATGATTCAGATCGGACAGTGGTATGGTAACAAGGTGCATAATAATTAGCATGCACAGCATCATGATGGGTAATTAATACATGACTGTGCTATAGGCTGAAAAATCGAGACCACGAAAGGAACCCTACCGGCCAACAGTCAAGTTCCGCGACATCGACAAAGACCTCCTTCGTGCTGTTACCACAGGAGTCAAGCCAGCGACTAACGACGTGACACCACCTGCTGTGGACACTGGACATGACAGTGACGACTCAGAAGACCTGCTGGATGATGTCGAGGATGGCCTTGTAGGCACTTGCAGAGATGACGAGGTACCAGAGGATGATTTTCTGCAGGTGGATGAAGATATTCACCTCGGCTCTCCTTTACTGCGTGATTTGATCTCTACGGTACCTGTCGTTGGCTCGCAGAATGTTCGGGTGGCTCAGGACAGGGTGCCGGTGTCGAACAAGAGGGCAGCCAACTGGAATTTCTAATTTTTCACAATTTTTCACTGCGAAAACTTTATTCACGCTGTTGATAAATCATTTTCAACTAGTTAATAACTGAAAGTTGAAAAGTGTTTTAAACACCTGTTGATAAATGGTCCGAGGCGGTCTGTTTATAAACAGCTGTTGAAAAGTCGTGACGATTTTTCAACCGTACCCTAATGAGCAAATACTTCAAGATGATGGCGGCGAGGACCAATATGAAGGCAGGGGTAAAAATGGAATAAATGTGTTGACATAGTATGGGCGGGTCATGATACAGCATTCTGTCGAGATATAAAAAAAAGGAAGTCAGTGATATTGCCAAAAGTGGGGGGAGAAAAAATGTTACAAATGAGGTCGTGTATTGTAGGTGTACTGCATAGTAAGCGCGACGCGTGGTAGGGTAAGCGTGGTATCGAAATGACGAGGCGAACGAGGGCGTTCCAACGCATCCGGAATCGAGGGAAACGGTGCAGATACGGGTGAGATATGAGCAAAGCATGGTACTGAGCTCCAAAAGGGGGAACTGACTTGGGGGACTGAAGGAGGCCCACTGGGCCAAATGCGATGCGTGAGGGTTTGAATTAAATTCTACTGATGAGGGGAGTATGGTCGAGCGACATCCTAAGGTGTAGCATGCAGCACCCTTGCTATTGACTGGGTTCTGGCGACCTGTGGGGACTGGAATGGTGGTGAGTGACACAAACGGCACCAAGTGAAAACACGCGGGGGAAGGTACAGACATGCAGACACATTACATTCACATATGACTTTCTTGTCGAGGCCATAAGCGATGGCGACAGCAGTGGGTCCCGCCCTTGTTGAAAACAGTAAACAGTATAAGGGCGAGAGTTAGAAGTTGGGACTTAGCTGAAAATTTGCTCGAACTAGAGAGCGTGTGAAAAATGCGAGGTCACCGTGGCCCAGATTGTGTTCGTCTGGGACACTGTGGGCCATTGGGGAGAACTGTCACAGTTGGTGTTCACGCTGTGAGTGCTGGAAACAAAATTGTAGTTTACTGATTTATATCACTACCTGCCACAAGTCAATTGGGTCAATCATCGAACATACACTCATGTCAAGCAGGACATGAAATCGCTTGGACAATACATCTGCAACAAGATGGGCAGAATGCATCTATTGGATTTATGCTCGCAGATACTCACTGCTCAGCGCCGATGGTCGAAAGTATACTCGTTAAATATTATACTACAAAAATATCTTATCACACTTAAATTCACTTTTGCATCTTATACTACACCATTTGTTTGAATCGTTTTTGTAACAAGTGGTATCAGTAGGATAAGTAACATCAGAGGTTTCCTTGTTTTACTTAGCGACTTTTTTCAGACGAATAATACAAACAAGACCGAAAAGGAAATGTGAGATTTTGCTGATGTGGGAATATTTGGCATTGTCGAGGTAAGACAAATTTAACAACACACTAGCCTAGTAGAATTATTTGATTGGTGACCTTTTTCATTTAGATGGATCCAAGAAAAAATGAGCGGGCACATGTTCATTAAATTAAATATGGACCGACGCTGCGAGGGTCAAGGAAGGAGGTTGCAATGGGCCAAAGTGAAAGACGTTTTAGCGACGTCCCCAGTGATGCAGATACATATTATTTAGTCTTCGCACAATATATTTTTGCTAGCTCAGGATGAATAGGACATGCATGTCACTTGATCGAGGGTAAAAGGTATGAGTTTGTGTTGCAACAAGGCCGTAACAGCAGAGTTGTACATATTGCACGCATATTGGTCGACCGTCACTCAAATAAATATATTTCACGCAGCACCAACAATGTTCCAATAGCTATTAGAGCAGGTATTACTTCTCAATGAACAGATTGACCGTCTTGATTGATTATTGGTTGCCCATCACTTGGAGTAGTACATTCCATGGAGGATAAACAGAGTTCCAAAATGCATTAGATCACATATTACTACTTGATGGAGGTCGGGTTGCAAAGAAACAGTAATAGCAGAGTTGTATATATCAAATTTTTATTGAACACAGGCCTACATTGGATCATTTCTTCGGGAAAAATCCAAAGCATACAATTTTGATGGAGTTCAAAGAGTTCACAATCGTAACAATATTTCTAAAGGATCTGAAACTTGGTGTGGCGCTGCAAGCATACATATTACTAGTGCTAAATTGTAATCTCACGCAATTATTGCCATCTTCACAATTTAAACCCTTCTGGCCTCCCAAGCCCGAAAATTCTGAAGATCTTGTAGACTACTTAGCTACCTCATGGGTGCCTCAAAGCACGCGGGCACCAATTTATACCTTGCTTCAAATCTTCGTGCAACCTTCAGTGAATATCCCATAACTTGACATTTGTATTTACTTGCAACACGTTCCAAATAGGTCATAGCGTTGGGCAGATGCTGTGCCTTTATGATGTAGTGCCTTGGCTCGAGAGTTCATATCATTGAGTCATGCTTCACCTTGGTACCTTACTTACCATTCAACGAGCATTATGTCCTGCTTGGATTTTTCATGCCAAAGTTCCTGTTTGGTGCCATTGAGTATTTGTGACGGCTTACCAGTGTGAAACTAATAAAACACAGAGATCATGAAGATCGTGATCTCCTTCCTGGATTAAGCCTATCAATAACAAAAAGAGGTATTTAAATTTTCATGCCAAAGGTACCTTTTGACACCATTGAGTATGTGTGACTGCTTACCAGCGCGAAATAAAAAAAACACAGAGAACACGAAGGTCGTGATCTCATTCCTGGATTAAACCTATCAAAAACAAAAAGAGGCATTTACATACTAGAGCTTGAATGGCGCTCTGGAGGTCAGTCATGATTATAGCAGCCTATCAGCGCGCAACTGGAAAGCGTCCTGCATGAAATTTTCACGCCAAAGTTACTGTTTGGTACCATTGAGTATTTGTGACAGCTTACCAGCGCAAAACAAAAAAATGCAGAGATCACGAAGGTCATGATCTCATTCCTGGATTAAGCCTATCAAAAACAAGCAGAGGGATTTACATACTAGAGCTTGAATGGTGCTCTGGAGGTCAGTCATGATTATAACAGCCTATCAGCGCGTAACTGGAAAACACAACCATTTTGCTCTAGCATCACAGGACCTGTTCACTTGTAATTCTCATCAATCAGTGAACCGGTGAACAGATTCTTCACACATATACAAAATTATCAAAGAAGGCCTTGGGTGAAGTGAGAAGCATTGGCGGACATTTCTTGTTATATAACAGTCGTCTGCAAAATAAATGGTGTTCCGAAATTTGTCAATCACGAGTAGCGTTGTTCTTGGTCTGAATTACATATACAGAGTTATTTAAAGCAATATATTGTAGAGCGTCACAACAATATCTCATGCACGAAATCCAGGCAAAAGGATTAAAGAAAAGGTTAATATTATAATACGGAGAGTGAGACAAATAAGCAACATTATCAAACAACTACTAGTCGGAATCTAATTCGGTGTCTTCCATCTGCTGTCTCTGGGTAGTGAGAGTATTGACAGACATGTGAGATGTAACCTCTGGCGTCAAGTCCTGCCAATGATTTCTTCCGAAAAATTTTCTGCACAGGGAGTTAGCGATCAGAGTGAGTCAATGACGTTGATGACTTTGACTTACCTGGTCCACCACTCAAGAAGTGTGTTAACCCGGGCTCGCGCAGCTGGACCTGGGGTGTCTTCAAAGAAATCTACGATGTTGTTCCAGAAGATATGATAGTCGAAGTCTCCGTCCACTGTGTGCCAGGAGGTGAGGTTGGAAAGTGCAAATAGAATCTGTAGAGTTCATTTAACTACACAAGTAATAGAGACAAGGGTTGATGCTTACTTGGCAAGCTGCATACATGATTGCGCGAGGAGTCACCTTCCTCATACCTATGATAGAGGCAACACATGTCTTCACTTTAGCCTGATCGGATCGTCTCCGGGCGCGCCGGTTGTTCTCAATAATGTCGGCACCCTCACCCTCACCATCCACTTCATTGGCAGATGAGGGAGATGTAAAGATGGCTTTTAACCCCTGCAATGCGATGAGCTATGGATCAGTTAGAAAATTCAGGCCACTCACCATAACCAGCAGCCTCGACTTGAAAAGACCGCGCTCCAGATGCTTGGCGTCAGCTTCATAGTTCTCATACATGAATGACAGCCATGAATTCTCGGAAATGATAAAAGCGATCGTACGGTCATGAATGCCAGCCTTAACGCTGGAAGAAATATCAACATCAAGTAAGTGACGACTCGGATCATGACATACACTGGGTCCTCCCAGCGCCATTCTGCTGGGCAGAGCAGTTTACCACATGCATCGCTCGCGAAACCTCGATGGTGCTTGTCGTCGGTCCTTATGAGCGGAGTTGGACAGTACTCAATATTTACCCAAGAAGCAATGAGGTCTTTGAGAGTTCCCATGTCGTCGCCACAAGCTGAGTCCGCACCTTGCTTGAGCTACATTGAAATGAGCGAAATGAGTGAAATGAGTGAGACGTGTGACAAAATGTTTTCAAGAACCTGTCTTAGCATGTCCTCTGTATCTTCGTGGTCGAGACATGCCAGCTTGTCGTGAACCCAAGGCAGTGCCTTGGTGAGTTCAATGTAGCCATGTTGAAGGTGGTCTTGTCTGTTCACTTTGTTAAACAAGCATAGCAACTCGTACGACCATAGACACTTACTCTGGAGTGGCGTCGCTGCCACTTTCTTCACAATGTCGGTCATTTTTGGCAATAAGATCCTCTATGGGAGTGTAAAGGTCAACCATATGATGGATTGCCCGTCCCTGTGACACATAATAAATTGTCTTCCTACAATGAATCATTAGTTCTGGCTAACATCAAACACATGCACACCTTTTCTTTGTTGCCTTGTCCTGCTTCAACATTTCAACCTCCGACATGAGGGAGGTGATCTGTCGTTTCGCCCTGGCACAAGGGGAAGTCGGGACACGCAAGGAGACATTCGGAGGCTGGGGACTGCCCAGGGTGTGCACAGATTCCGAAATACCGGATAAGCTTGACAAATGAGCAAAGATTTTGGGAGGAGAGGTGCAGAGAGGGTGTAGAAAAGTGAATGTGAGGGTGAAAGAGCCTACGAAGATGTCTTATATGCCTGTGGTCTACGTCATTGACTCATCTGAAAGTAACCTAGCCTAGTCTACGTCAATCACTCGTCTGAAAGCAGCCTAGCAGCAATTAGCTCACATTCTAAAGTCTCTTTTTGGGTAGTCCTGGGAACTGCTGTTTGCTAATTACAAAAGGGTTCTTTCCACTGAGCATTTCTGGGCCGTTCCCTGAGGATAGTCACACGCCCGCTAGGGTGACCAAGCCTGAAGGATCCTGGAGTGGATTCCATTGGGCAACAATGTTTCTGGCCATCGGCATGATTGCTGCGACAACAATGACTACATACACTGTGCGTGAGTGATGATGGAATTGAAAAGCGGGAGTAGACATATGTTCCAAGCTGAATGTTTTCTTGAGCAATGAATCTTTTACGTTCCTCGAGAGCCTTGGCTTCATGTGCAAGCCCGTCAAGATCGTTCATGCGTCCGTGGTGTCATTGGAACCTGAGACGATGCAAGTCCCATCTGGTGAGAACAAATTTCACCTGTAAATGTATGAATAAGTGTCAAGTCAGAAGTGCGCATGAATCTTTACCCATATGGTGAACGAAGATGGTTACGTCCCAAAGGGTTTGGTCCTGGAAGTTTTGCATGAGCCTATCCAACACGTTGTTGTACCATTGAATTGTGTCATTTGTTTCTGAAAGGACGTTTTTTGCGAGTCTTTCCCCCTATGATGATGCAGGAATCAGAATGAGCAAAATGAATAACTTGTTGATGACTCACAGAAGTTCTTCTTGTCCGAATAATCCCTGATAAAATGGGCACATTCAAGGGTTTGCTGAGAGATCTGTCCCTGAATAGGGCTCATCGATGGAATCTGACTGAGGATCTCGTCTTGAATCATGAAGCTGTAAACTTGACCCAGTTTCTGGAGAAGGTCAAGTACTGCTTTGTCACGATCCGCTTGAGCAAGCACAATCTACAAAGGTAACCCCTGAGCAGGACACTGGAATGGCAGCGAAACCAAACATACCTTTGCTGCACAGGACAACATGCCAAGTGCCATTGATGTACCTGCGGAACAGGATTAATTCAGTCCGGAACGAGAGGAGGAACCCATACCTCCGCGATCTTGCCAATAACATCGTCGAATATCTTGAGGGGTAACATGTTCAGGCAGCTGCAAAGTCAATTGAGAAGGCTCGCCCAACGAACCATGCTAGCATCATGGTTGGCTGTCAGAATCATGCCCAAGGAACATCTCCCACATGCCCACCAGTGTTTGTGAGATGCCACCTGTAGCTGGAAATGGTGACTAGGTCAAAATCAGGATCATTTGTGAAATAAGTCGCAGGTTATGCCGTACCTCCGGTACTATGCGAGTAGGATCAGAAGTGATGCAATTTCACGAGGCTGAAGAGATGCGCGAGAAAGGTAAGACAGGAAGATATGAGCAGTATTCACCGTCACGGTTCTGCCAGTCACATCATCAGCCTCAACAGAATTTGTCAGCTAGAAAGCTCAGGCTGTGAGAGGATCAGTCGAGAGTGACTGTGACATCTACTGTTTAACTGGTAAGATAGGATGTATTGGATTCTAGCAAGGAGAGATAGGTAAGAAGTAAGGACAGAATAAATGAGAGTCAGGGGATAATATAATCTCAAAAAGAGAGGTCATCAGACACTTCCTCAATCATTTCCACGTCAAACTCATCATCAAGATCATCATCATCTTCCGTGTCAAGTTCATCTTCCCCAATTCCATCACGTTCGTTGTCTGAAACCTCCTCACCAACTTGGTCGACATCAATCTGTTCATCATCGTCATCTTCTTTGTGGCCCTCGCCATCGGTCTTGCCTTGGTCAACGTCCATACCTTCCAAGTTCACTGGTGCTGTTGACTGGAGGCCAGAACAGTCTCTAACCATCCTCCGCAAAGCTACTGGGTGGCCTACACCTAAGTGCGTATAACGCAAGAACATGTTGCGATCAACAAAACTAGCTCGAACATATCAGAATCATTAAGCCACAAGAAGACATGCTGCACTTACATACCGACATAAAACACTTCCCAGTTGTCTAGTTTGCCCTTGGCACATCCTAACGATTTTCCATGGCGAAGTGAAGTTACACCGCGCTCAGAAGTGAATGCGGGGATCAAATGGGCTCCTTGAATCACTTGCCCAGGATCAAGAAATCCGAATGCGTTGTGATCCGACTCCTCCACAAACACCACTTTGGGAAGGCTGAGCGCGCTGTATGCCTGACCGATAGCCCGACAATATTAATGGCGCGAACCACCTGACGTGGAGGACCTCGAGGCGTTGTTTATGGACTGGACCATCACCTTGGAGCCATGTGTCCATGTGATAAATACCCAGTACACGAGCGTACCAGTATGGGTGGGAAGGTGAGGTTTCTCCTGAAAGCACCATAACATCAGCATGTGTTCTGGGGCTGATGGTGTCGTATTCGCGCCTCATATCGTAAGCAGTATAGTGTACCTGCATCGTCTGGACTGAGTAAACCGTATTGTTGAGAATTATGACTGAGTTATGTTCCTCATGTGTGAATATATGGTCACAATGACTAACATCCAACTTCTTCAACCTATACAAAATGTGGTCCTTAAGTCTCAGGATGAAGTTCTGAAAACCGTCATGAGCAAACTGGCAGCCAACTGGACCAAAGTACTAGCGTTACCTTAATAGCAGCATCACCATCGTGTTCCCGGAGTAATGCAAACAAAGAGACTGGATCATTTTGACTGATTGCTGATAAAATGATGATCATTGGATATCGATGGAGCAGGAGAGTCAGCCGGTGATGGGATATTTGAGTAGATACCTGCTGCTTCTGCGACTCGCCAGTAGTACATGGCGCTTCCATTCGTGCTTCGCTAGCTGTGCAGGAGTGTCCACCTTGCTAGTGAGTGGTTAAAATGCTTTCAAGGCTCTGTGCACCAGCTCCCCCTAGCCAATGACATATCTTCAGAATTATCCTTGAGGGAAGAGACAATGCTTACAATCTGAGTGGTAAAAGAATCCGTCAGTACCAAAGAGCTTGATGGTTCGCACATAATCTCCCATGGCGTGAAACTTGTATGTGCTCAAATTGAACTTTTTCACCCTTGGTCCGCTTGGTTCTGAAGAAACGCCATTAGGTCCATGCTGCGCAAACCTTTGTTGGCGAGCTGCCTTCTCCTTCGGTAATTCCACTGTGTCAAAAGCAGCGCAGGTAAAGTTGCGGAACTTCCGTAACTGCTTAGAGAGCGTTTTGAATGTTTCCTCAAGGAAACCCAGGGTCATCTCTGAATGAATTCTTAACTTGGTGAGTGCGTGCCACTGAGCGAACCTGTATAAAAGAGACTGTATGATCTGATCATGACTAGCGGGAAACAGCCCTTCGAACACAGGTATCGCACACTGAAGTGAGGCCAGTCAGCAAACTAGATAAAGAATAGTCAATGAAAGTGCGAAAAAACCTGCAAGATGTCTTCGAGGTCTCGTGCCGCCAGTCTCTTCATCTCGGATGTGTTGTTTGCAAACATCCGAATTACCCCATTACCAAAAGTTGGAACCAGACAAAATCTATGATTGGATAAAGTTTGTTAGTGACTTGTCACGGTTGCTATGTAAACTCTGCCCACCTTGCGTCTAGAGTTGCAATCACCTGGTTTCCCCCTGGAAGCACAAATAGGATCCTGACGAGGTGAGTGAATAGCGCCTTCCAGGTACCCAGCTTGCACTCATGCATAAAGTCCACTACCAGCATACAAAATGGGTCAAGGCCCAATGCTCCCAGCTTCTCGACAAATGTGTTCTGCGAATCACTTGTCTGAGCTGGTATGTGAGAGCAACAGACAATTCACGCTTACCAGAATAGGCACCCATGAGCCTTCTCCCAGCGTCTCATCGACCTTCACACCATCCATGGTGTTACCCCCATTGTAGATATATCCTTGTGCCTTAACAATGTTAGCTGAGACATAGATTCAAAGATTGGTTATATGGTTCTTCATGTCTATCAGGAGATTGAGAGAAGAAAACATATTTTTCGGTGTGAGACAACGGGGACATGGGCATGAGCCCATGTCCTTGATAGTGGCAATTAAAACCCTAAAAGTCGTTGAGTAATTTGCCCATCTTTACGGACAAAATGCACTTTTCAGGGTAATCGGCTGAGTACGTGAATATACGCGGAAATATTCTCCACAACACACCATCGGCACATTTCAACACGATACCATGGCGGTATGTGCGAATAAATTCTTGATCTAGTAAGATATCCCAGCATGCATGAAACAATTCATGTCGACAGTGTGTCTGTAGGGCAGCCATGCTGCTTTTGGACATGCAAGGCGAGCTGATCAGCACATCTTTGATCCTATCAGGCAGCTGATGGGCAATTGTGGGACAGATCCTTACAGGTATGGTAGGAGAACTCACCGACGGTAAAAATCCCACAAGGTGACATGCGCCGGACTTTGGCGCCGAGCGAGCGTACTTTGTTAGATTACCGAAGTACATATACAGGGGCCACACCTTTGCCGTTCCGAAGTTTGCCATATGCGTGGCATCCGAGAAAAACATGAGACCAGCGACCACATGTTCCAGTTTACATCCAGGTTCCCTCGGGAGCTTTTGCAGGTCGTCTTGGGCATCCAGCCAAGAGTCAGAAGTATATAACTCATTGAACACTCACTCTTGATGGTTGTCCAACGGATCCTTCCACATGACGCCTGAAAGGCGACAGGTGAAATGCACTCGCTTGGATGCCTGTGAAAGCTGACTGAATTACCTCAACCAGGGGGCAGAAATGGAATCCAGGAACGGAAAAGGGTCTCGCCTCATCCTCCTTTGATTTCATAGGAATCTTGATAGTGACACTGGCCTCAATCCAGTCATCTGGAAACTCGATCTTGCTCTTGCTAGGGTCATTGTCCAATTCTCGCAAACTGCTCCTCACTGAAAAGCCCTCCAAGTGCTTTAAGTCAAAATCATCCGCCAGCATCACTTCTTTGACGAGACGGGCAACTTCAGTCTCGGATTTCTTGTTGCTGCCGGAATTCATCCAAGCCATGAGCCGATAGACTGTCATATTAGGGAAAGGATATGGAGGTGGGAGAATGCCTGAATCAGCCTCTTGCGGAGCTGTGGGACACGTAGTTGAAAGTAGCGAGGACAGGATAGATCTATCTGGCTCGAAGGATGGGCGACGAGGGTATAGTTGGCAAAGTCCAAGAGAGTTGAAGGTGGTCTGAAATGTATCTCGTAATGTCAATAGAACTCTCCAGAGTCTAGATTGAGGTGGGTCTGGGTTTCGAGAAGGCGAAACATCGGTATTTTCCAAGTTATTAGTATCCTTGTCAGAAAGAGGAATGTCCTCTAAATATCTAGGTATTTGTCCCAGAGGGTGCAAAGGTTCTTCTGATGAGCGAAAAGCAGAACAAGTAAGTTATCAGTCGACTTGAGTGACTGAGGGGCATGTGACATACCTAAAACATTATCGAGTGCGTTGTCAGTCAGTATCAAATTGCTGCTGCTCCGAGTCTGACTTGGGTTGCTGGCTGTGCTCAGGACCTGCTGAGCCAATATTAGGCATGCTAGTCTCAATCCCGTACCTGCTTGACTGGTCTGCCAGGGCACTGAGCGATGGGTTTTAAGCGGACGCTCCCCACATGAGGCTGAATGGGCAATATGTTCTAGAAACACAATTGAGTTATCATCATGATAGCTTTGACTTGCCGTCCGAATCATATGCAAAAAGACTGCTCACTAAAGATCTGCCTGAGCCTCGCTTTGTTGCTGCTGGCAACTGGTCGTGCCAGAGTTATAGCTGCCTCTTTTGCCCTCTCGCGTCTTTTATGGCTGCTCATGATGCTGGACACCTGGTAGGATTTGCATGTTGCACGGTGCCTACTAAGTCCTCGACTGTCACTAGCTGCGTTCTCCCACATGCAGCCTGGAGCAGTGCAAGATATCATCATATAATAAATGAAGAGCAAAAGAAGAACAACTTGAAGCCATGGAAGTTTTTTGCACATTCGTCGGACCAGTGCCACCAGCTCAGTGCTCAGTCAGTGACCCGGGTGTGCAGCAGGCTGACTGAATGATTGGCCCAGAGTGGGTACCCACGTGACTGGTAGTAGCTCTTAACTTGGAAGCAAGGACTTGAGTCAAAGTTGTAAAGCACCCGGGATTGGTTGCACTGTGGGAAGTAAAAACAAGTGTATAGAATACTGAAAGTCAATGTTGAGAATACTGACTTTCAGGGTTTTGGATCTTATGACCGCAGTCCATGTCGGAACTAGAAGATAGGCTGTGCAAGAATTCAGTACCTAGAACCCTGAAAGTGACATTTTCCAGTGTCAAAGACACTGAGATGGGATTGACAGCACACTGAATAGCACCGAGTAAAACACTGACATTGTGATGTTCGCGGTACTGAAGATAACTGGCTCAAAATACTGAGCATTCCACTCTGAGACACTGCTTTTCGTTGATGTGCAAAACCATGAATTTGACAGAGGCGAGACACAATTGTATTTATATGTACTAAGAGAATTCCACTAAGAACACAGAAGACAATAACAGAGTTTGTACGCAGAATCAGTGTGGCATATGTCAATGAAGTCCAGACAAAGTCAGAGAGCGGGACTTATGACGGAGTCCATGGCGACATTATGACAGACAGGTCTGAGTCACGTCAATTAGATAGAGCTTTATGGTGTTGGTTGGGGTTCAGTCCGGTTCAGAGGAGGTTCGGGTGAGAACCGAGAACCGAACTTGGGTCCAGTTCTACCAGAGATGACGAACGCAAGCCAAACCAAAAATCCGCAATGATTGAGCTGTAGTGTTGCCCAGACCAGGAAGAAGGGTAGTGGGAGCGAGCAATAGTGGGGGGCATTTAGAGGGAGGCAGGAGGTGTTGAGTGATGAACCAGTGGGATCCATTCAGGAACTAGCGAGAGATGAAAGCAGGTGTTGAGAGGCAGTGGGAGATGACAGACATTTGCGACTGCACTTAATTTCTAATGAGAGCGGGTGTTCTCGTGATGGCTTGAGCCTGACTTGTGAATTGTAATTCGTAAGTGCAGCTGTTGGCAAAATGAGTCTTACCCACAATGTTCGGTCTCCTTCGTTCGATTAGCATTGGATTGAGACATGCATACTACCGCAGGATCAATGACAAAAAAATCATACCTATTGCACAAGACAGCGGACACAGATACTGTCGAGGCAAACATATAGATGCACAAGTACACAACGATGAGCGAAGTTGTCAGCGTGTATAAATGAAAAGAGACTTGCCTAGATTGCTCAAACAAGCGCAAATGAATATAAATGAGTGCAGATGAACGCAATCACAATCACCAGGTGCAAGCAAGTGCAGATGAGCGGGGACAATTGCAGACGAATGCAAATGTCATCAAACACACAGAGACAGGTGCAGACATGCACAAGCACACAAGAATGAGTGCAATAATTTTATTTATGCAGCGTGTGATTGAGTGACTATATGTGCACCGTGGGTGACTATATGTGCATCATTAGCGACTATATGCGCATCATTAGAGACTATATGCGCACCACGAGTGACTATATGCATCAACACCTCATAACACGCACTGTGGCTCACGTCGTTCATTTCTCAGAGGGCTGCTCGGGCTTGGGGAACTTGGGGTGAGGCTAGGGTTGGACAGGGGTATGGGTAACCCCTGGGGGTTGTGGGTAGGGGTATCAAGGGGTATGGGTATGGGTTGGGGCCTCGTGACCCCCTGACCCCTGGATTATTGGTGGGTACCTGACTATACAGCACATTACTACATTGGGATGGCAAACCTTAAACCTTATCTCTAAATAGATCATATCACTGATTCACACTTCGGCTTTCGAACTAGCTTCTGAACAAAACTTCTCATGTTACCTAAAAGAATCAAGAAGCCCACTGAAAAGGTGTTGGCTATGGCCACCGAACGCCCACTCAAACGAAAGGCCACTTCGGATCAGTCTCCTAATACCACCATAGCACAAAAACGAAGCAAAGTGACAGAGATTGATCAAACTAACAAGAGTCCAACACCAACTACCTATCAAGCCACTGTATGGACCGAAGAAGAAGAAGAAGACGCGGCATACACTGATGCCATCGTGATCAACTCCGATACTGAAAATGACGAGGCAAAGCAGAGTTCGGTAGAGAGTGCTTCAGAGTCCTCTGATGCGGAGCTAGGTCAATTGCTATACTATCCAATCAGCACAAATACTAAACGGCTATAGAGAGACTAATGAAAGAGTGGTCCTCACCTATATATGCCTTCTTTCAACCGATACCGACTATCGAGTATCATGATCAGCGTCATTGTCATGTTTTCAAGTGCGCAGCCCATGGCTGTAATCACCGTGTTCGTCATTATCTCGACAAAAAAGACGTGAAGTCTACAGGGAACATGCGCAAACATGTAAAGAGCTGCTGGGGTCAGCCAGCATTACAAGCTGCAATGGACTGTGGAAATACCACGGCAGCACGAGATGGACCCATCAAAAGTCTACTTGAAACAGGGTCAATCAAGACATCATTTGATCACAAAGGTAAAGGGAAAGTGACTTACTCACATCGTCAACACACACGCACAGAGACTCGGTACGTGCACCCAGTTGAATCTCTGAGACGCCGCTAAATTGATGGTAGTGCCGAAATCATCCGATGGGTCTCGGAGAGTCTGTGCTCCTTCGAAATAGTAAAGGACCGAGGTTTCAGCGCACTTATGAAAACAGGGCGTCCAGAATATTACTTACCATCACCGAAAACCGTTGCGCGTGATGTCAGACAGGTGTTCGTTCGAATGCGTGCACGCATTGCACAAATGCTACAGGACTACCCCGGAGAATTGAACTTTGCGACTGACGCATGGACGTCGCCGAATCATAGGGCGTTTGTCGCTGTTTCCGTGCATCTTGAACACGAAGGTAAAGCACTGTCAATGATACTCGACATAGTTGAGGTGGCGAAGGTAAATAGAATGAACGAGGGCACGCACCATATTGCTGACTATTGGTAGTCACATACAGGCGCCAATTTAGCGCAGGCATTCGCAAATATTCTAGAGGAATTTGGTATATCAGACAAGGTGCGAGGAACTCAATATCGCAAGGAAAAAACTCACCAGGTCCATCAAGATATTGATTGTTGCTGCGGACAATGCGTCGTCCAACGACACGCTCGTTGCAGAGCTTGCAACGATCCTACCAAAGTTTGGTGGAGAGACGAACTGGTCGAGGTGTTTCCTCCACATAGTCAATCTTGTTGCAAAGTCATTGCTCCGAGAGTTTGACGCATCGAAAAAAAAGAGGAATCAGTCATCTGATGATGCGGAGGAAGAAGAGGGTGGTAGCGAAGACGGTAGGGAAGACGATAACGAAGATGAAGAGGAGGGAGGACTCACTGAGGATACCATGGATCTTGAGGAATCGCAGACATGAGTCGATGACTCCAACAAAAGTGTTGAGGATGATGATGATGTCGAGGGATGGGTGGATGAGGTTGCGCTGCTGAGTCCAAAGGAGTGCAAAAAGCTAGCGCGCAGTATTCGCCCAATCAGAATTGCATTGATCAAGGTGATAAGATAGTTACTCACCTTACATCCCCTACTGACACCCCCCAACAGCTCCGCAAACTCGCTTTCAAAATCCTTCACTCCACCACTATACTCTTGCCTGCATGGAAGGCCATCATTGGAGATCTAAAACTGGCGGTCAGGATCATGCCGCGTGATGTATCCACGCGCTGGAATTCCACTTATGATATGTTGACTTTTGCCTTGGAGTACCGGAAAGGTCTTGACATGATGACGGACCAACGGAGACTGGGACTTGGTGAGTATGAGTTGACACCACATGAGTGGACACTTGTTAAGCAGTTGCGCGATGTGCTCAAGGTGAGTGACATGTCACATACATCACACTCAATACTAACTTAGTAATCAGATCCTCAAGGATGCCACATTATACTTTTCCCGTTCAACACCAAACCTGCCGATGGTGATCCCAGCCATGGATCACATCGACAGTGTTTTTGCAAGCAGCATGCTCAAGATGCACCAGTTTGACCCTGCAATTCGCGCGGGCCTTGGACTGGCAAAACGGACGCTCAATCGATACTACTCACTGACTGATGCATCGAAGGCTTACCGTATTGCGATGGGTGAGTACTACTGTTTTCTTTTTCCTTTTCACTAATTATGTTGTAGTTCTCCATCCCTCCCACAAGCTAGCCTATTTCCGGGCTGCAGGATGGCAACAAGAATGGATCGACACTGCTGAAGAACTTGTACGTTCTGAATTCAAGCACACCTATGCTTCTGGTTCAACAGCCGAGGAGTCCCCTACTAATTCTTCAACTGAAGACATCAATGAGGTGCATACTTACGTTTGTCGTTCTCTGCACCTCGTGTACCTCGTGTACTTACATTTGTTGTTCTCAGGATGACGAGGCAAGCAACATCTTCGATCGCCTACCAACGCTTGCCCGTGTCAAGACACTTGCCAGTGCCGACGAACTCGAAACGTACCTCAACACTGATGTTGAGGACGTTGGAGATGCGATTGCCTGGTGGTACGGACACTGCAAGACTTACCCCCGCTTATCTCGGATGGCGCTGGATTATTTAACTATTCCGGGTACATTTTCATGTTTTTTGTTTTATTTTTGCTTTAACACGCCTCCACAGCAACATCCGTTGATGTTGAACGGATTTTCAGCCGAGGCCGCTTGCTTCTATCTCACGTTCGAAACCGTCTTTCTGCACAGACCACCCGAGCTCTCCTTTGCGTAGGATTATGGAGCCAACTAGGATTAGTCAAGGACACGGACATCAATTCTGTGGCGAGCCTCCCAGACGTGGATGGGGAAGATGAGGAACTCGACGACAGATGGGATAGCATTACTCTTCGTTAGTTTTTTACTACTACATTGTTATTACAGCGAGCTATATACTTGATGGGTATGTGTATACCCGCGGTACCCATTACCCGCGGATGACCCTTGTATTGACCCGCACCCCTAAGGACCCTTGGGTAGGTGGGTATAGGTAGTTGACGGGTGCGGGTGTGGGTTGAGGTTGTCGCACCCGCAGGTTTACCCCTGTTGAACCCTAGGTGAGGCAGAGTGATCTTGAGCTCGAGCACGGGAGCATGCTGGTAATTCTTGAAGGACCCCGTGCTAACAAGAGTAGCAGCAAAAGAGAGAGTAAACAGAGTCAACAAAACATGCACCCTCCTGTATCGTCTATGGCCACAGAGTACACAGCGCTTGTGACATTCAATGAAACAAATATCACAACACATACTCACATTGATTCTGTACATGGCTGATGCAGTCATAGCAAGTCTCCCCAACTTCTTCTGCGCATCCTTATCATGGGTCGTGGTTGAGGGAGACATAAGTATGAATATTGGGGCAAATCTTCTGTTGATGTGTTGTTTGTAACAGTCACGTGACACCGACAAATTGTATTCTACTAAGTCTCAGTGTGATTATTGATACCTCACTAGTTCAATCCATCTTAGATTTCCTCCTCTCAAAAGTGAGGCTGGTGGGTCCAGCAGGATCATAGACATTATCTCCCACCTGGTGTGAAGACAGCATTATTGAAGATCTTGAAAAGTTGCAGTCACATGACACAATGACAATGCAAGGTCCTCACAAAGTGGGGTGATGTGCGGGACGCAAAGTGGTTTGCGGAAGAGGTGGTGAATGTCTGGGGCCAGGTTTGTCTTAGTACTCTCAAACATCAAAGCTCTTGAATAAAATCATTTACCGATGCCATTTTCAACGTAGTCGGCGCATATGTCATACACTAAACAATCTTTGAGTTAACAGAGAAAATACAACTTGTTCATGATGCGATCTTTACCAGATGTGCATGCCCCAACAACAGCTACCTTTTTCCCTGCATGGTCAGTAGCAAAGTTGTGTTTGCTAGCATGTAATATCCGTCCCTCGAACTCGTCCTACATACGCACTTAGCTTTGACTTGAGAGCCCTACATTTGTGAACGAACATACCTGCCTTGGGATATCTGGAATTTGTCCTGTGCCACTGCCCAAGTCCGAGGCAAACACAACGTGATTGACTTCAAAAGACTGCTCCTGTCCATCCGCGCATTATACGAAGGGCCAGGGGAGTAACAGGATGCCCATTGACAAGAATTGAGTTGGGCCAGTGGGTAGTAGAGCATGGCAATGGAAACACAGTGACTCTCCAAGAACCTAGCCCTACCACTGCGGGACTCGCCAAACCACGGTCAAGCCATTGTACAGCCAGAGCCAAGGAGAACAGTGAGTTTCAAAGTGTTAGACACTGAAAAAGCCTTGGAGTCGAGATGGATGAATTGGGAACAGTAACTGTTGCATGTCTGAGCGGCCGGTCAGCAGATATACGAAGATTGTTGCAATGCTCTGCAATATATTGCTTTAAATAACCTTCTCATCTTTTCACTGGTTCTCTGATGTCATGTCCGCTACTAGTCTGCAGCACACACCATGTACTTCTGCAGTTCGTGTTTTCGCTCAAGTACTAGCTTCATCATTCATCAAGGATACATGTGTTTGATAATCTATAGGCTATAGTTCTGGCGGATACAAGAAATGAATGCATGATGGTCACATCTGCCAGATAATGATGGTGCGCATTTACAACAATCCAAAGGTCACCGCTGACAATGAACAACTCCTGCCTTGTCACGTCATGTCAGTAAGTATTACAACAAAAAACAGCCCAGGAAATTCGGAATTGCACCTCAGCCATCAGACTCGAAGTCGTCGGATGTCAAATCAACATCTTCCTCTGGCAGACACGACTTAACACCCTCAATGTGATTCAGGGTTAAGTCGGCAACAGCTAATGACCTGGAATTGTGACTGTGTGCACCCACATCGAAGTCCTTGGCAACTTCGAAATCCTCCCAGCTACATCCAACCAAGAAACTCTGGAGAACGGCAGCTTCTTTAGCGCTGATGGTATATCTTTCAAGTTCTTCTTGGACGATCATTTCAAGAAGTGCCTGGTATTGGTCCTTTGCCTCAACCGCCCATGCCGTTCCCAGAACTGCCATGCGCTTGGATTCACAATCAGCTTCCTTTACAGCGACAGCTTGAGTGATAGTCTTCTTAGACAAGCAGTTTCAGGCTATCCATGAGGATATCTTTGCCCTGGTGTTGGACTTGTCAATTTCTATGAAACAGTGTACGTCAGGATAACATACCACTTTGATGTCCGCCAGACTCATATCATTGTCACCAGATTCGAGACACCTTCGAAAAAAGCGGAGCTCTAATGCATTAGGCACGAAACCATGTGGTTTCGCATAAGGCCTGAACTTTCTTTGCACACGCCCTGCAAGGGCAGGCAGGCGCTTCATTAAGTTGGAAGGAGGGCGTGGAAATGCAAAGAGCTCATGTTCTGAATCAGGGGAGGTGTCACTGGATGGTGGTGATTGTCGACGATTGCCAGGGCATATGGGACATGCTACTGTATGGCTGCGTCTCTTCTTGTCACGGTGTAGGGAGTATCCCTATGCTAGGCTTGTATCCACCACTTTTCCGATGCATCAGGCATCCATCCGACACCTATCCATTCCATCTGATACCCATCCGCTTTTTGGATGACATGCGGATACCTTCGGATCTCCCCCTATAGCTCGTGCATCCGCCATATCTGTCCTGTCCACATCCATTCTACCTCATTGGTACGTACTCACACGCATTTTCTTGTTACTGACTGAACACAAACATATCCTCTCACACTCCACTATTTTCCGGATAGCTTATGGCACGGTCTAGACTCGCTACCTATATCTCTATGTTCCTTGAAAATACTGTACCCTATAAGCATGGAGGTTTTCAAAAAATACTTACTTCATGTAACTTCCTCCCACTTTTCCTGCACCTTACCAGAAGATCGCTTTGACCTATATACCCACTATCCATCCAACCTTTAATGTACTTCCTTCAACTTTGATTCGCATCCCATCCCATCCGCAAGTGCCATCCGCTCCATCTGACAAATCTGTACGTTTTGCATCCTATCTGTTTCATCCGCTTTTGCGGATCTTTCATCCTATAGGTTCGCTTTAGACAGAGACTAGTGTTTCCCCAGTAGCAATCCCCTTAAGGGTCGAACATGCTTGTTTCCAAGTGAGGCAGCAGGCAGCAAAGACCCAACTGTGTAGTTGATCGAATTCTCTCCTGCTGCACTTGTTGTACCCACAACGGGCCCGTGCAGGGTCAGGCAGAGAGCTGGGTGGAGTCTGAACGATAATTTGAGGAGACTCATCACTGCTATCGGGATCATAACTAGACTTTCCTGACCGAGCTTGGAGGAGTGGTGAGATGGGTGTGTACAGTACCAGCCTGACTGCTACTGCATCATAGTATGACTTGACCGGGACTGAGAGGACGTTCACTGGTGAAGTTATGAACATCAAGTCAGTGGGGATTGAAAGACAGTAGAGAACTTTCCTTGTCTAGTGTAGTAGTGCCGCATATTAACACAATATTAATATCAACCATGGTGGATTGGTCATGCAGGGGAAAATCCGAAGTCAGAGTCTTCAGGTAACTTTGCGCCGCCATCTATCACGTGTGGAACTCGCCCAGATCACCTCAAGTTGAAAATGTCCTACTGCCACGACCGTACTGAGTCAACTCTGAGTCAGGTGTGATTCATTTGAATTGCGGATAGGATTATCATATCAGGCTTCAGCCCGAGTGACTCAAAGGAATTCGAAGTTGTTTCAGGTTCAAACTTCGCACTGCTGGCAGCCTTCATCTGACTTTCTGAGTCAGTGGCGGGGGGCTGGCATCAGTAAACCAGTGAGACTTAGATATTAGTAGATTTTGTAGTATTTTGTAAGCCCAATGCTTCTTTCCTGTACATTACGATACAAAGTAATATATAGCAATCTAAAGCAATCTAATCACGCCAATTCATGCTCGGTTCAGACTTAGATATTGCTTTACATTACTTTATATTACTTTGCATGTCACCATGGTACTCAAGTAACCTGTACCGTGACCCGGTCGCCATACTGAGCAAACTCTGAGTTGGCTTATATTAGGATTGGAATTGTTTCAGGTTCAAACTTCGTGCCGCTGCCTGATCACACTTGTGCAGGACTCGCCATACCTTCTTTTGTTTCGACAGATGGATAACGAGTGTTATGCTGTAACACTCGTTATTCATCTGTCGAATCGTTTTCCACCAGCGAATCCTCCCATCTAATGGATCACCACAACACAGTATGATCACAACGGTGTGCCTCACCAGGGGCCTGCGATCATGTTGGATACTCAGCCTTCCCAGCCCGCTCCCCAAGATACTAATGGTTCAGACCAGTCACTGCGGTGGTGGGACAACTTCAACAATCCAGAGCCCCAGACGCTCCGGACAATGACTCCTTCTGAGGATATGGTCATTATGGTAGGCTAGTACCAAAGCCAATCCTATTATCAGTGACTTACATATACTTGTACCAACAGCATGAACACCCTGATCAGCCATTTGACTGGGTGCGGCATAACACCTTTGATTTTGATAATCCTGTAATCGAGGGGGGACCGCCACTACTAGGTTCCCAGTCCATGCTCAATGAGGCTTACTATTCCCAACTCTCTTCTCCCCAGGTTCATCATGCACCCTACACCATCTCACAATGGCGTCATCACCGTGATATATTCTCTCATGCTGTAGAACAAGGTGAGGGGTCATCTCAAAGCGCAGCATTTGATAACCCGCCTCCTGTGCCGGGTGTGCCGCCCCCCACACTGGTAACACCATCTCCCACGCCACCTCCTGTGCCATCTCCTGTGCTATCTTCTGTGCCAGCCGCTCAACCGGTGCCTTCAATTATGTTTGGTCTTGCCGATTTAGGTGATGTGAAGGCAAAGGCATTGCTTCAGATGAAGAGGAGTATCTTTGACAGCTCCTTCCTGCCAAGTGACAACTCGGATGTAGAAAGGATGGCAAGGGCATGTATTACAGCCCAGGTGTCCCACAGCAGTAAGTCTCTGAACTTCACCGTAGACCGTCCGTTGCTCATCGAGCACAGTTGAACTTACCGCCTGGGCCACCATGAAAGCTGGCAAAAAAGAGATTGTCAAACTGTGCACCGCTCTCACCACACTTAGAAAAAACATACAATTTCTCACACGCAGCGCCATGCTCTGGGGATATGGTTTACACTGGTTAATGCACATGGAGAGCAAACAGGAAGTGAAAAAGTTTGTCAAGAGTCTCATTCAAGATGATTTCTTCCTTAGAGGTGTCATCAATCCCCATCATTTGTTCTCGTTTCTCGTCGATGACCGCTCATGTTACTTTATTCAGGTCAATGGAACAAATGTTGATATTCCTTTTGGGAATGTAGCAATATTGTATTACATCCAGCAGCTACTCTTCCACGATAGGCAATACAAACACCACATTGGCATGAAACAGAATCTCCGACCGCTGTTACTTATACAGCCATTTTGTTCAAGTGGGCGTTAACTGAAATGTCCTCCAGAGAATTCAAAGATCTAGATTTTAAACTTACCGAAGCTACTACGGAGCATGTCGCTATGGAAATGCTATTCAACACACTATCGGATGAACAGCATTGTGCCCTCACTGCAAGTGTTTATATTTAAGGTGAGCATCCCAGGTGGGCAAATAATATCATATCACTAATAAGGTATAATATCAAAGGAATGAAGGGTCTGCCAGAGGAAGTGCAAATGAAATGTACAATATAAAATAGTCATCTAGACTGCAGCTCAGTTGTGCTCCTGCAGTGCCCGTTGAAAGTCCTAAGTACAGACAAAAAAATAAACAAACAACAAATAAATAAACAACAAATAAATAAACAACAAATAGACAGACAAACAAACAACAATAAATAATTTATTTTCAATGTTCAACATTTCAACCCGAATCAACTGTGTTCAACTTTAGGTTCAAGTGCACTATCCTCTTCTCAGGTTGTATCTGTCCCGTTGTTTTTTGCATTGCATGTTGGTCATCACCAACTGCATGCCAAACCTTCGGGGGGGTACATCTCATGAACATCACCATTGTCGACTGCACTGCTCTGCACCCTCTCGCTCCAGACGTTGTATCTGTCCTGTTGTTTTTTTGCATTGTATGTTGGTCATTGCCGACTGCATGTCAAACCTTCGGGCGGGTACATCACATGATTGCATTGCATGCCAGTTATCATCGACTGCCCAGCGCGTCCTATATCATTCTCCCGCAGTTTTTCACATTGGATGTTGGCCATCACGGGTCCATTTGGTCTAGCATCACTCACTGTGTTTTGCCCTTGAATTGACAAAGTTTGGCCTCGAACTAAGCAGTCTGAACATTTCTTCGTCTCTCTATAGCTACTTCGCTAGCATCTATCAACTCAAACCCGTTGACTACATGAGCTTCCTATCTTGTAAATAGCTGACTCCTCCTTGAAATACATGACCAGTTTCATCAAAACGTGGCCCAGATAGCTGCACCATGTGACCACCTGTATTGTACTGATAAGGACAGACATCAGAGAGGCCAATCTGCACTTCTGGGCAAGGGTTTCTTGCAAAATCGTGTAAGTCCCTCACTTGAACTCTTACTACCAACATTCCTGAACGCTCAATGGCGAGAAATGAGGTAAGTCTTGTATAATGAAATTTTTGACGTTGTTCTGATTGTTTTCTAGTCTACCAATAAAAGCACACTATCTAATCGCCGCGAGGTGCTTTGTAAATGCGGGGCATGCATAACGAAGGATCTGAACGGCCAGATCATCTCGATGGTGACTTCTCAGCAACACCAGCGCAACCAAGCCATCAACCAGTCTATGTTGGCTCAGCGTGCATGTGGAACATCAACGTGAGGGGGATCTCGCGCTCCCACTAGAGCAGCTATCTTCCAGTGTGGGCGTGGTCTCTTGCGGCCACCAGTCTCAGCTCCTGCAGTCCGTGTAGTGCCTTCCACTTCCACTGGTCAAGCACCTGTCGACTGGCCAAGCATCGGGAACCACTGGACCATCTTGAGCATGCTGCAGTCCCCCTAGAAATCTCTGGTCATTTGAGTAAGTTCCGAACTTCATTTGTAAGCGATTTTTGATGATTGTCTCAGTGATAATACAGAGGACTTTTCCATGGACATAGATGCCAGCATGAACTCTTCAAACTTGCGATAAAATACACTAACCTGCATTTCATTCCATGTCACATCTGCGGCCTTGCTGAAGATTTTGATGTTTGTCGCATCCTGCACGTTGCTGGCAAAATCCAGTGTGTAATATATCTCATCTGTATCTGGGTTTCTTTGTTCACCCTCCTGACAGTAAGGGCCATTTGTCCTTCGTCTTCATACCACAAATCCTATGGAAGGTTGTTGTAATGTGGGTCTACAGGGTGTCACCTTTTATCCGTTCCAACAATCCTTCACAGTGTACTCACTTTTAAATATTTTCTAGCATGTTGTCCGGTCTTTGATAGCAAATTCTTCGACTTCGTGATATCTTCACGGGTCCTGTCTTCATCATTCATGGCCTCTTTGTCATCAGACTGGGCTGCAGCTCTCTGATACACACCCCGACGTCTTGCAATAGCAGCACCACCTCTTCCGAAAGCTCTGGTTGGTCTTGTACTGACGACTGGGTTGGATCGTACGAGAGCCTTCAAGTGCATTCGAGCCTGGCACGGTCTTCAAGCTGATCTTCTCGGATGCTCCGCAGAAGTTCACTAACATGCGAGTCATCCATTTCCGGTGGATCAGAAGTCCGGTTCACACTGCTTGATAACGGGCGAGAAAGACTATCCTCTGAACTTTGTGATGATGAATGTTGAGAGCACGAGTGTCTGTGCGATCATCTCCTGTTCCTTTCTCATGGAAGAGGGGATCTAGAATGGGTGTCCTGTCGACTGTTTTCGGCTATGCTCATCAGTACGTGAGCGTGTGTGTTCGCAAGGTCAGTTTCTGCATTGTACAGGTGAGTCTATGTGCATATATGCACCATTCTTGACATACCAACTCCTTTCAGCACCTCTCCTCGGCTGCCCTTTCTGGTTCCTCACTCTTGACTGTGCTGTGTTGTCCCTGTGCGACAATGTACATCAATTGAAACTGTCGAAGGAATGTTACTTACTGTTCCACAGTATTCCTTGGTATGGCTTTGCTCCCCATTGGAGGCATAGGTGCATGGGGTCCATCACGATTCGCATCATGGACTCTGCACTGTACAGTCCGTGACAACCCATTCAAATTTGGCCTGGAAAAGCAGGGTCAATCTGTGATTCATGTGGTGGGACATCAGGTTGGGTGCGTGCAGCGGTGTCCCTCCATATTTGAACCTGTGCTGATTCGGGGATTTGGATCCAGGCTTGGGGATTGAATCCCTGGTGGGCACGGGAGGCCAAACATACTTGGATGAAGGATATTGAGTGAGGAGGAGCAACAATATCAGTGGACGCAGTCGAAGGTGCACATATGTGATACTGTAGCACTGTGGTTGATCTATCAATATGTCATATATATTAATATATTCTGATTTTGGTGAATATGGTACCCATAGCCCAGATCATACCTAAGATGAGGCTGCATAGTCACGGCTAGTGATGGTACAACAAATTCATAGAGATGAACCAAGGCAGATGCTGAATATACAATGTGCACGCATGTAGTTATATCTTGAACTACATGACCAAGGCACAGCCTGATTGAATTTTGAGCATGTCAGCTTGCCAGGATCATAAAGTTCATAGGTACAGGCATAGCCATATATATGTAACTAATGTGTGAGGTGCACAGATTCTCAGTGGGTTTATCTTAACATAGCTTGACCGTGTTCTCTCATCTGTTCAACCCATATCTACTCAGCGACTACACCCAGTGACTGACAAAAAAATTTCATTTCAAATCTAAATTATATCATGTTCAAGTTCTCGCTGACTGTACATTAAACATTGTTTCCAGTTGTCTTCGAGCTGGGGATTAGTCCTTCCTAGATTATGTAGGCCTATCAATAACAAAAGGATATTTAAAATTTCACACTAGAGCTTGAATGATGCTCAGAGTGCTGCATGACAATCATAAGCTACTAGGGGGGATGTTTTCTTCATCCCTGTTACCACAGGCCTGTGCTTTCTTCTTCCCTTTAGCCTGCCTTCTCTCCTTTGCAAGTTCCACCTTTGTGTGAGATTTAGAAATACAGCTTTGAAAGGTATATGCAGAGCCCTCCGACATCCCGACTTTCTCTTCATAGAATCTAAGAGCCTGTACAGCAACAGATTATATGATGGATTATTTGTACAATTGTTCGCACAGATTATTCCCGCGGTGTGAGCTCCAGTGTGACCTTTGTGTGACATACAGTGTGACTCCAGTGCTGAACCTTCTTGCCGTCAGATATGGCTCGCTCACAAAAGCTAAAATCAGCGGCAGCGACTGGAAAAACTCATTTGGCAGTGCAAGAAAATGCACCAGCTGAAATCTCAACAACCTGTTTGACTTGGACCCATTGGACCAAAGATCACACCTCAAGCCTGATCAAGTTTCTGGCTTCACATAGATCAGAGGCTGGTGATGGAATGAACTTCAAGATTGGAGTCTTTCAAGCTGTGACTGCTCATTTCCTTGAGCCCCCCAAAGGAGTTCCGAAGGAAGGATGGGTGCCACCTGTTGCAAGAGATTCTCGTGCTTGCAAGAACAAGTGGGCTGCAGTACGTGCACCTATTCTTTTCTTGATGCAACTCACACATTTTCAGATATGAAAAAAGCACAAGATCATTCTTGATATCAAGGCTCAGTCTGGCTTTTCTTGGGACAACGAGCTTGGTGCTGGCATTGACAGTACATCAGAGGCAGTATGGGCTGCATATGTCAAGGTGTGATTTTTTTCTCGTGGTATACTATGTATCTCATTTTTGATTCAAGAAGCGCCCTGATGCTGCACCATTTTGCAACAGGGGATGGCCACACTTTGACGAAATCAATGATCTTTTGTCCACCACTGCTTCGAAAGGAACTCATGCATTTCACGCAGCACTGGAGGAGTCCCGCGAGCAGTCACCTGATCTTGATTTTCTGAATGAAGAGGGTCTTCTGCAGCCTGAGCCTGAGCATGCCAAGAATTTGTCTCAAGATGTTCAGGACACTCTAGATGAGAGTGGGGATGACGAAGACTTTATCCCTTGGGAAAAAACTCCACCCCGTCAAAGTCACACTCCGGCTCCCCTTCTGAAGTGAAAATTTGACAGCATCTCCACTTCTACTTCCACCAGTTCGACTTCGGGTCCAGCATCAAAGAGGCATCGTGCGAGTGGTGCCGCAGCACTGTTTGCTATTGCTGACCAGTTTTCGGACTTCACTGATGCATTTCACTCAAGTTCTCAAGCCCAGCCATCTTCTCTCACTCCATCACCAATTCAAAGGCAATGTGCCATGCAGCATGCCCAGAATGTTGAGACCCATCTCACTGGTGATGAAATGGCTGCTCTCATTGAAGCCTTCCAGACTGATGTCAGTGCTGCGGATGCATATATGGTAATGCGAGATGACAATGCTCGTCACTCAGTTCATCAACCGAAAAATCACGCAGATCAATAGTCGATAATTTTTTTTTACTTCTACGAGGATATATTAGGTTGACCTCTACTGCCTTCTACCTGCTCGTCTACCTGCTCGTTGATGTTCCCACAGGAATAATTGGTAGTCTCGCCACATTGTGTTTCCTATCTCTTCTCTTTGTTCCTTTGCTGCTTCTCGTTCTTCAAAATTTCCTGGTCCTTCTGCTAGATCTCCCCTATCATTCTCGAACTCCGAGATATCAATACTACCATCATCAAATTCACGTATTTCATCTGGGTCATGAATCTGGATAAGTTTGTGTACAGCACAGAGTGCAGGGGGGATACGAGCTTGGAAGGTCATGCTATATTCTGGTGGGTTTGTGAGTATTGGAAATCATCTCTTGAGTACACCAAAAATCCATTCAACAACATTTCGTGCCTGTGCATGTCGTAGATTGTACAATTCATACGAATTTTTTGGTCTAGCAGAAGATGTTGGTTTGTGAACAGATTCAAGGACTTGAAAATACAAACCTCACAGCAGCTCGACCCCACTCTGCAAGATGGTAGCGAACATTTCAGTGAGGCACAAGCAGTGCTTCACATATACCAAACCCTGCATCAGCAAGATAATATCTCCCTTTTGGAACAAACAGATCCATCAACCGAGCTTCATTGAACAACATGGCATCTGATACTGATCCATCCCAACCACTGAGGATATACTGGAATCGAAGATCAAAAGAACAGCATGCCAGGCAGTTTTGACTGACTCCTCCTTTTCGGTTACGTGCAAGATGCCTCTCATCTGCAGAGGGGCAGCAGTTGATGTGAGTGCCATCAATTGCCCCAAGAGCTCCTGCAAAGTATGGAAAAAACTTGGGGTTCTTGCGAATTTCATGTGGAATAGGAGAATCTTCTTTTGGCAAAAACACATATCTCTTGTAGAAAGGCGAAGACGAGAGAGCAAGAAGAATTCGTTTGAAGTACCTGATTTTTTCTGAGTCAAGCAGACAAGCATCAAAAAAAAAAACAGTACTTTGTGATCATGGTGTGTGAGTGTTGAAACCTCTCAGCAACATGTCGACTTTTGAGGCCCGTGACACAGGTATACAAAAAAATTGCTGTTTGTTCTTCAAGTGTGACAAATTTTGAGTCATCCAACCCAGAGTCCCGTAGTTCTTGAACAAGTGCAAGAAATACATGTTTCCGCATCCCAAGTTCATTTTTGATCCTTTCTGGGTGTCCATTGAGAAGTTCCTGGACCCATGCGAAGCCAGACAATATAGAAGTATGATATGGCTCTTTGTCAAGGTATGGAGTAATATAGGCTACAGCAATTGTAATAATTAGCTGTGCAATCATTGCTGCAACAGTCCGCAAGAGATGGAGCCTTTGTGGCAGGTCCTTTGGACGAGACATGGTATGATGTCAGCGCAATTTTGCCCCTACGTTAGGGTTTGGGTGAGTGACATCTAGGTGATGGCGGAAAGCACCGAAAAGTCACGCCAGGTTGTGTGGGAATAATCTGTACAAATAATCCAAAGCGATAATCTGTGTAATAATCTGTCGCTGTACAGGCCCTAACACTGAAATGAGCTGCAGTGGGCAAATAAAAAATGCTGTGGTCCTTCAGTTTATTGGCATATTGGGGAAAGTTCATCACAGGGTAGCGAGAATGGACGGTCCTAAGGACATCCTCAATACATTGCGGAGGTTCGTCGTCGTCGGACTCTTCATCGCTCTTCATATAGAGCGCAAAAGTCCTCTTGAGCAGTTGGGGAGCCATATAGCCCTTTTCTTGTTCTCTCACAAGCATTCCGTCAGAGATTGTGTCATTAGTGGGAGGTGGGAGGTGGATATGATTATGGATGATGGGTGGTATGATTTTGGTGGGCACCCTCTGGAGCGATGACGTAGTTCGCTCCTTACGTGTCTTTTGAATTTCATTGAAATGACTCGGAGATGTCCTGGGTAAAGTGACAAAGTCTGGATCTCACGTTTCGTGCTAAAATCCATGAGCATTATGTAGTATCCTCGCAGGCTGCAAATAAGTATTTCACATACCAAATATTTAGCCCACTCCTGTAGGTCCCGGGTGCACAACAGATAGTGTGGAGCGTCGGGCTGGGATGCATTGACCCAGCAGAATGTGTCCTCTCTGAGCTTTGGATGGTTGGGGCAGCGCAACTTGCTTGTGACTGTTTCTAGCTCCTTTGTATACCTGCCCACAGAAGATGTACCTGCCTGTCGTTGTGCTTGCTTCTCTTTCTGTACAGCCTGCAAGTTGATGTCACATCAGTGCAGACGGCTTGCAATCATCAAAGCACGTACAGTATTGACAATTTCAATGGCAACTTTCTTTATTTTTCTGCCAGATCCCTGTTCTGTCCTCACAGCTTTGAAAGCACTATCAATGTCATGCGTTGTTAAAAGCCGATGAGGTGGGTCCATGCGGCGAGCAGTAGACAAACACCAGCCCAAGTGCTGTTATGTCTTTGAGACATCCATTGTAGCCTTGATGGAGTCGAGTATGTCTATGCGGGAATCTGACTCGGAGTGAGAGCGGTCCACATAAGTGGTTGATTGGTTTCTATCCAGAGTGTGGAGAGGAACTCTGAACTCGACTAGTGTGACACGGTGACATGATCAGCATCTCGTCAGCTCAGATATACACATTTAACTTACTTTTCTCAAACTGGGCCTGGCACCATTGTCCGGTAAATTCTTCTAATGGCAGCTGTTCAGTCATTCCCTCATAAAAATGCTGAACCGCGCACATGCGGTTGATCTCCTTGTCCTCGACACTGGGTAGTTCTAGATGAGCACCGAGGAGCCCCTTCAGTGACAAACTCCATATTATACGAGGCAACTGATGTGCATAATATCCCATATAACACGGGCCAGCGGACCATGGGCCGATGATGAAGATATCTTTGATGTTAACGGATGGGCCGGGAGGGATATTATTACCGATGAATATGGGTGGGCCCATCTAGGTAATATGTAGAGTAGGATGGACATGTATATTATAGACAGGTGGGCTGAAGAGAGATGTATATTATATAGATGGGTGGGCCGATGTAGTGGTATTATTATATAAACAGGTGGGCCGGAGGAGCAGTTTATTATATATGATATAGACGGGTGGGCCGATGTAGGGTATATTACATAGACTGGTGGGCCGAGGTAGTAGTATATTATATAGATGGGTGGGCCGGAGGAGCAGTTTATTATATATGATATAGACGGGTGGGCTGAGGTAGTAGTATATTATATAGACAGGTGGGCCAGCATAGGGTATATTACATAGACAGGTGGGCCGAGGTAGTAGTATATTGTGTAGACGGGTGGGCCAACTTAGGGGTATATCATGTAGATGGGTGGGCCGAGGTAATTGTTATCATATAAACGGGTGGGCCAAGAGAGCGATTTATTAGATATTATATAGACGGGTGGGCCGAGGTAGTTGGATATCACATATATGGGTGGGCCCAGATACATATCATATAGACCTATAGGCCGAGGTGGTAGTATATTATATAGATGTATGGGCCGAGGTAGTAGTATATTATATAGACGGGTGGGCCGAGATGGTTGATATCATATAGACGGGTGGGCCCAGAAGAATGAGTGTTATAAACATCAGTGGGCTGAGATAGTTGGATAACATACTAATCAGTGTGCTGATGTAGGCACCAGTACATACCCACTGTATGAGTGCATACACCTATCATCAACCACTGAAATGAGAAACATGAAAGCCTGAATACAACATTTCGTAAATTAGACAAATCATCAAGTACCTAATACTGAGTACCAAGTTCCAGGTAACTAATCCCGATGTCCGGGTAACTGACACCGATGTCCGGGTAACTGACACCGATGTCCGGGTAACATCCATCGACATCCGGGTAACTGATATTGACATCCGGGTAACTGATATTGAGTTCCAGGGATGTCTTAAATTGGACAAATGACCGAGTTCCGAGTTCCGGGCACCGAGGTCCAGGCATCAAGTTCCGAGGTCCGGGCATTGAGTTCCAGGCAGCGAGTTCCAAGTTCCCGGCATCGAGTGCCAAGTACCGAGTTCCAAGTTCCCGGCATCGAGTTCCGAGTTCCTGGCATCGAGTGCCAAGTACCGAGTTCCAAGGTCCGGGCATCGAGCTCCGAGTTCCGGGCACCAAGTTGTATTTTGGTGCTTGATGACCGGAACTCGGTGCCCGGAACTCAGAGCTCGATGCCTGGACCTCGGAACTCGGTACTTGGCACTCAATGCCGGGAACTCGGAACTCAATGCCTGGAACTCGGTGCCCAGAACTCGGAACTCGATGCCCAGACCTCGGAACTCGGTACTTGGCACTCAATGCTGGGAACTCGGAACTCAATGCCTGGAACTCAATGCCCGGACCTTGGAACTCAATGTCTGGACCTCAGTGCCCGGAACTCGGAACTCAGTCATTTGTCCAATTTAAGACATCCCCGGAACTCAATATCAGTTACCCGGATGTCAATATCAGTTACCCGGACATCGATGGATGTTACCCGGAACTCGATACCAGTTGCCCGGACGTCGTTGGATGTTACCCAGATATCAATATCAGTTACCCGGACATCGGCATGAGTTACCCAGACGTCAGTATTAGTTACCCGGAACTCGATTTCATTCTTTGGGTATAGCAGAGGTACAATGCATTTGAAGAACATTTACAGAAATCTAACTACCAAATTATGTAGACATTTCAACCTCGCCCAGATGACCCTCATCATCACCTTCACCTTCAACCTTGACCAGATGACCCTCATCACCACCTTCAACTTCAACCTTCACCTCAACATCCATCTCATCACCAGAGTCGTATTCTGGGACAAGGTTGTGTGGATCATCCGGCACCAAAATTGCTCCGGCAGTTGAGGGAGTAGGTGATGGGTCCGGGGCTGGTTGAACTTGGCTCGGCTCAAATGAAAGACCCTCGATGGCAGAGCGATCCTCAATTTTCGAGGGTGTGGGCTCCACTGCAATCGAAATATCAATGAGAGGAGGGAGTGCGGATTGGGAGGGTGACGTTGTTCCAGCGACGGATTGATCAAGCAACAAAGACGTTGCAATTGCCGGAGTGGTGGGAAGGGGAAATGAGGGATGGGGTTCCATGGTTTGGCGTCGAAGGCTCTCATGGAGCCTGCTGAGGGTATCGATACGGCTGCCCTGCTCGGCAACAAGATCCTCGAGAGCCTTGATGCGTTCGGCACTATCGCGAATACTTCTTGCCATGGAATGGAGGTCCGGCATAGGGACGTCGAGAGCCACACGAGGCATGCAGGCACTCGAAGATGCAATTGCTACAAAGGAATAAGATAAGATGATGATGAGAAATTCGAAAGACTTACGAGCTGGTGCAGGTGAGGGTGTAGGTGGTGGGGCGGGTGCCTTGACAGCAGTTATTGTCTTGCTGCGACTGCGCGTCTTAGGCACGGTCGCAGCAGACCCACTGGCAGTTCCGGCAGCACCAGCACCGGTAGCTCCGGCTACACCACGAGATTGGCTGCGGGTCCAGGCCTTTGGTTGGGAGGTGGATGGAGCTTTGGAAGGTGTCCGGGACCTGGCCTTCCGGGTGGTCGACTTACCCTCACGACTGTTTTGGTGGACTTCCAAGGGTGACGGAAAAACACTTTACCTTCTTTGTGTTGCAGAAAACACAGGAGAGAAGGCCTTTCCCAGTCCTCTTGTCAAACCGGGTTGTGCAGGGCAACTCCGCATTGTTGCAAGCCCAGCATGGGTTGTTCTGTTTGTTCAGTTAGTTGAAGGACGCCCAATAAATTTTCAAAGTACTCACCAGGTCCGGGAATGAGAATGTCATCTGTATCAATGACAGTTGGCGCCACGTCCGGGGTGACCGCAGGGGTATTGGACGCCGAGTCCGAGTGCTCGACGACCTCCGGAGGGCTTCCAGCAGGGCCATCGATGACAGTTGGTGCCACCAGCGGGGTGACCACAGGGGTGTTGGACGTCGAGTCCGTCTGCCCGGCGACGTCCGCACGCCTTCCGGCAATTACCTGACGATGTTACAGATGACCAGGAGTGATGCGGGCATAAATTAGACATACCTTCGCAGGGCCGAAAGGTCTCTTCTTGGGGATCCAGGGGCGAGACTGAGGTGAGACGATGAAGTAAGACGACCGGCCCTCCTTGGGCAGCCGGCTGCAAAATAATGAGTGACAACGAAAACAACAAACGGAATGACATACCTTGTCCACAGGTTCGTCCTCGGACTCCACAAACTCGGCTGACTTCACAACCCGAGCTGACTTTGCCCTCTTGCGACTCTTCATCGCGGATTTCGGCGGTTGGGAGGAGGGTCCCAAAATCAGGGGCGATTTCCTCTTCCTACTCCCTGTCCGCCTCAGGTTCCGGGTCAGCATCTAACGCCTGCCTTACCCTTACCCTTATCCTTACGCTTCTCCCGGGACTCGTCGATAGTGCCGGACGATGGGCTGGCAATGCTGCCAGCGACGGCAGGTGGGGAGGGAAGGTCGACCGCGACAGTGTCAGGGGATTTGGGGGCATCGACCGGAAGATCGAATGTCCGGTCGCCTAAAGCCTCCCATGCAGAGACCTTGTGGCGCCAGCTGTGCCTCTGGAGGCGAAGATCATTATGGCCGATGCTGTGCCAGTTGGGCGAATCCTGGGGGGACAACTGCCGAACGCGAAGTAACTCCTTGGAGCAGGACAAGACTATGCCCGGAATGCAAGGTGAAGCCTCATGGTCCCGGACGGCCTTAGCCTGCCCGGACATTAGAGAAAACAAAAAGAAAAAAAGGAAAAACCACATACCACCAGTTCAGTGACTTGTGCTTTCAGAGCCAAGTGGCTGTTGCCAGGGTGGGAGGAGCCGAGCCGCGCGGACAATGTCAACAATCTGCCTAGTGATTGCCTTAAGTTCGGCAAAAGAGGTTTCAGCTGCAGTGGACATGTTGAATGATGAGAAAGATGTGTAAATCTTTGAATCAGATGTGAAATTGATGAAGTTTCAGAGGGAAAACAGGCAGTTGAACGGCCATGTAAAACTTTGTTGATTTGTTTGGCTTTGTTTGGCAATGGTTCAACTTTCGGAAGTTGCCGGACTTCAGTTGAACTTCAAGTATACAATCAATTATCGGTACTTCCGTCCCTCACAAGATGAATTCACATCCAACAGTCAGATTTAACGATCCTCCGGCGACCGAGTATTATTCAATGGACGTAGATGATTCAACACAGTCCGGGACATCAACAGGTAAGATCTATTTGTACTATCCCTTATCTATGTTTTTATCTTACATGCCATAGATGATTTATACCTTGGGCCGGATGATGACATAGAAGATGATTCCGTGTCGTCCAGTGGTCCGGGAGTGTTGGCTGCAATCCCCGGTACATTTATCACTTGGATATTACCATGCATGCTCACTAAACTCATACAGATCAATTACCTCCGGCTCAATACGATCAACCGGTTCAGTACATCGACCTGGACTTGTACCTTGGGCCTGATGAGGATCTGATTGATTGTGATGATGAGCTGGGCTCTGTCTATGCACGGTGTGAGTCTCCGGTCGCATCTGAAGTTTCAATGTCATGTAAGTAAATTCTACACATTTTTCGATCGAAACTTAATTTATCTCGCAAGCGAATGAGAGACCAGCCGAATGCGATCCAGCACATCCGGAGGTCACAAATGAAGATTTGCATGTGATGGTTCGTGAGTTCCGGCCAATAGGGTCATTCGAACACTCCGAATGTGAGTATTGGTATACTACTATATCTATCATTTTTCTTATTTTCATTTCAGTGCAATCCCTTCAAGATAGACTCAGCAGCTACAAACAAGTTAATGGAGGTCTTCCGGCCCCTTCCATACCACTACTCATCAAGGCCGAGCGACCATTTCGAATCACTTGGGCGGATACATCTGACAAGCTCCAGAGGGCTGATGCTGAGCTACAGAGGCTGAGAAGAGCTGAACAGGCAAGCATCGAAATGCTCAAGGTGGTAGATTCCATGATTCGTCAGTGTGAAGAACGAAACCAAAACTAAACTTCTGAATTTTCGATACCATCACATGTAAAGTACCAACTCAGTACAATACCGAATCTTCAATAACATAGTCACATCACATGTAAATTACTGGAACACAGAGGTATTACATTACTGCCATGTAGAATAAGTAATCTATCAAGAGTTCCGGGTATCAATTTCCAGGCATAGAGTACCCAACACCAAATATCGTGTTCTGGGTATTGAGGTCCGGGCATCGAGTGCCGAGTTCCGAGTTCCGAGTTCTGGGTAACAAATACCGAGTTCCCTGAATCAAGTACCTGCCCGGACCTCAATGCCTGGACCTCGGTAATCGATACACGGAACTCGGTATTTGGACCCGGAACTCGGTATTCTCTGCCTGGATCAAGAGTTCCGGGTATCAAGTTCCAGGCATAGAGTACCCAACACCGAATATCGCAGTTCTGGGTATTGAGGTCCAGGGAATTGAGGTCCGGGCATCGAGTGCCGAGTTCCGAGTTCTGAGTTCCGGGTAACAAATACCGAGTTCCCTGAATCAAGTACCTGCCCAGACCTCAATGCCTGGACCTCGGTAATTGATACCCGGAACTCAGGTATTTGGACCCTGGAACTCGGTATTCTTTGCCCGGAACTCGGTACATGGTCATTTGTTCAAATTACTCGGTGAACCACAGAATCTTTGACCACATTAACATCACATGTAAATTGAATACCGATTGAATAACATTGATAGTGACATATGAGACAATGGTACATGTACATTACTTTTTGCCCCTTGCTCTAGTAACTCTGTCAGATGGTTGTTGCACTGACTTACTCTGAGTTGTTCTCGCTGGTGCCTCAATCGCATCTTTCTTCCTCCGGAAGCTCTTCGGGGCTGGCAGTGGAACTTCATGTTCAACATCGCCAGGGCCCTCAGCCTCACTCTCGGATTCGGTTGATGAATCCCGAGGTCTCCGGATCATCACCCTCTTACGCTTCAGACGAGGAGGTGATTTCTCGGATACAATGGAATCTACCATGTCGCCTTCTTTGTTCCTCCATGCCTTGAACAGGAACATCGGACCTTCACCCGTTTTCTGACGAGCATACCAGAAATTGAGCAAGGCGGTGGTATCCCAATTTTGCAACTTGGAAGGCTCCTTCAAGTTTACATCCTCCGGAAGATATTGTCTGGCCACAAAGTCATCCTGACTTTGTACGATGGCACTCCACGGCACGACGGCCTTGTCAATCCCAGAACAGATCCCTGTACCCTACATTAAAGAGATTCTCTTAGGAAGTTACAAAGCCAGACTCACTATAGTGCTTTGTAAGAAAAGCCCTCACTATGGCCTTCTTCTCCTCCAGTTTTGTTTCCGTGATGTCCGGAAGCAACGGCATCCCATCCCCGTCCAATTCCAGATCGAACACCGGTTTCTTCATTCTTTTTCGTCCTCCCTTCACCTGTCGCCCTCCATCCCATGCCTCGCCACCTATGATCCCGACGATCAATGAAATCATTCTCATCTCCACAGCGGGAACACTCACTGAACTGTTCCTGCGCATACTCCTGCCAAACCGGCTCTATGTCCTCCCAGTCCTTAGTCTTCATGAAGCTGTCCCCATCCCCTAATGCCTCGTTGTCATCGTGCCTATGTGAAATAAGTTGAGACCAAATATCTGCGATGACGGATAAAATTCACTGACATCCCGAACAGCACCTCTCCGCGTTCATTCTTCCAAGCCGACAACACAAACACTCTCATCCCGCATTGTCTCCACATCTCGTTCGAAAAGTGCTCCATATATACAGGTCCCTTCTTACGGGTGACTTGCGCCTGTGTCTCAGGAGGAGGAAAGTTGTTGGACCATTCTTCGGCGGTTTCTTTCACCTTCTCCAACTCATCCTCGGACAAATCGGCCATGACCTTCTTCACCACAGCTTGATAATGCTTGAACATGTCTTGACCTCCTGGCTTTGCCCCGAACTCGTCCTCGATCCTCTTTAGCACTTCCTCTCTGTTCTGCTGATAGATCACCTGCCTAGGCGTCCATTTCCTCCCATACTTAATCATGTCCTTCCTTTCCTTCTTTTTCTTGTTGTTGAACAACCAAGTTTTATACATCTAAGAGGCAGAGGAAGAATCAGACATGAAAAATCGAGTTTTTCAACACAACAAGGATGTATCACCTGCTTCCTCTTTTTCCATTGTCCTTGGTCGACCTTAGGAGCAAATAACCTGGCCGCTCGAGCTATGGCATTGAAAACTCCCCGTTTCTCGCTCCTTTTTGCAGAAGTCCACTCAGGAAGGTAGTTCTTCAGCTCTGAAATTTCGTTTTCCGTGAGCTTCTGTGACTGTGGTTGATGCGTTCTGTGTCTTCTAGAAGTCAACTGAGTGGAATGACCTGATCTTGCCATGGTGAATAAGATTGCAGAATGGGCTGAGGATAAGCAAAGTGGAAGGAATAATGGTCGCGAGTTCAACTTTGATCAAAGCCTAACAGTTGGTTAATCTACCTATAATGGATGCAACGCCATTCATGGAAATGAATTGGTAATGAGCCAACCAAACTGCATAATATGATGATGGAATAACAATTCAGTTTGACCTTCCTGAGCTAATGCTTTCCTTGCAACATTAAAAAATAAAATGAAGATAGGTCGTTGCACCCCATTGCAGAAATCCCACAGGGTAGAAGCAAGGGGCAGCAAAGGTAGGAAGACATGGGTCAAGGTCCCACTTGCCAGCACGAGTCGACATGCCTACAGGTCCATGCCTAACTCTCCCCCAGAATCACCGACACTTGAACCTGTTCAGGCCCCACCTCCTTGGGAAGACTTTCCTGAAGATACTTACTGAGCAAGACCAAGGGTCATTTGAGCCCTTGCAACTCCCAAAAACAATGGCAAGTTCATGTAAAATGTTGGAATGTCTTTCGAACGAAAGCTAAGTATTAAAAAATGCAGAGTCAGAACGACTACCTCAGGCAATGGCTGCCAAGGCAGGAATAATATCTCCATCACCTCCTGGATCGAGAAGCTCTGCCAGAAGATAGGAGATGCATCATCTGCAATCAGGATGGGGTCTTCAAATGTCAAGATTGTCTTGGGGAGCCTCTCTATTGCACAGGCTGTTGCCGGAGTCAACATTGTTGCAATCCTTTCCACTGGATCAGTCAATGGAATGGTCAATTCTTCGAGCAAAGTTGTCTGGCTCATGTTGGACTCGTCATACACCTCGGTCATGATGGCAAGCCGTGTCCGGTAGTCACAGATAGGTGGGATTTGTTTGACGAAGATGAACAAGAAGACCACTTTGAACCTGAAGATCTACCTTCTGTGTTGGGACCCGAGTTCCAGCCCAAGGAAAATACAATGGTCATTGTTGACAAGTCAGGAGTCCATCGCCTCGAGGTTTGATGCTGTGATTGTCCCAATGCCATGAGTCCAGACATTCAAATGTTTCGACATGGCTTTTTCCCTGCATCATTTAACAAGCTGAAGACCATGTTCACCTTCAGAGTGCTAGATGATTTTCTGTTGGACAACCTTGAATGTGGCACCTCAGCGATGAAATATTACAGCAAGCTTCGGCAAATGACCTCGAGCGTGTTTCCCCACCTCGTTCCGGTAATACCATATCTACATCATCTGAAGCACATTATATTGACAAAGCACATTGCAAGGACCGATACAGAGAGCTTATGAGAGTCGCTCGACAGTGGAGGCAGTTAAAGTCTATGAAATGGCATGGCTTTGGGCATAGTTCCGACAACCCGAATGCCGGAGATCTCGCATTATTCTGCCCGGCATGTCCTCAGCCCGGGATGAACATATCCTTGTCAGGGGATGAATCACTTGATGAGTGAGTCTCTTTCGTTACCAAATCTACGTCAGCGATATTAAAAACTCCAAGCTGGAAATACACCCGGTCATTTGTGATGGACGGAAATTTCAAAGCCGAACACCTGCATCCCATCAAGCCATATGATGAAGTATGGCTCTCCCATGGGTTGGGGTTTATGGTGGGAAAGGAAAGGTATCTGTCAAGGACTCATCAGTTCTCTGATGAAAAGTTGACTAAATCAAAAAAAAGGTAGTCCAGGAGTGTGAAACAGTGGTCCAGAAAAATGAATAAAGTCCTCCAAAAGTGTGTATATTAGTAGATATAAACAACAGCTTGAATTGGGGCGGGGGTGTATGGTGTGTAGTGTATCAGTGTCTGGTAAGCGCAGAGAGCATAGGATAGTGCATGAAGACGAACATAGCCAATATTCTGCCGGTGTCGATGTGTCAATAGTAGAGTACAAAACAAGAAAAAAATACATACAAAGCAGGGCGCGCCCACCCTTGGGTTTCAGCTCCTCAGCAGGAGCATTCTTGAGCTTTTGGGCTGCTTCACGGCGCTGGTGCACCAAGGCAATGACATCCATTGTATACTTCGGCCCCCGCCTCTTGATGGACTATCCACAGTTGGCCTCCGAAAATGCTGGAAGGCCAGTGCTATCTTTGCCGCTGGATTTATTGCACTTGATGGGGGCTTTGCGACAAAGTTGAAAGCATGTTCAAGCTATGAAAATGAATGGTTAATTTAAGTTAGAATATTTAGGTGGGACCTACCGAGGCGGCACATGCAGCAATTACAGCCTGCATGCCCTTCAATTGCAGATCGTCTGTGTTGAGCGCAGGTACATCAAGGAAACCAGAAATCGGATTAATGTGACAACCGTCGATCATTTCCAACATAAATGCAGACTGGTAGATCTGGTTTGGGTCACGAGCCTCCGGATCTTCGTAAAGGAAGGCCCACTCCTCGAGGAGGCTCGCTGCCAGTGTTTTCTCAAAGTCGGTGTCATTGTCGTCTTCATCCTCATCGTCTTTGGAGGTAGCCAGAAAATTTGCAACAAGGGCCATGGACATGAATCCAAAATTACTGCGCCAGGAGCTAATGCGCTGATTGACCTTTTGTTGGAGATGACTTGCGGTTAGAGATATTTTCAAGGTGGACATAGAAGCAAGACTAACCAGACCAATAATGGGGCCTTTTGGTTGGACGTTATGATGAGTTCCTGGATAAGCGACATTGAAAATGGCCTGGAGCACTGGAAGTAAGTTCTCGGTCTCCATGGATTAGAAGTTGGGCTGAGCACCTGCCCACAGCAAAACAGTGGGCATAAAAGACCTTCGCCATATGCCATCCACCAACATAATCGGGGGGAGATCAGTTTTTCGCCATTGGGTTCCCCCTTTTGGCCTCGTCATGGTATCAGCAGACATCAAATCTGGCTCAGATAACGTTGGAATGCTCATAATCTGGGAGGTGGGTTCTAACTTGGCTTTCTTGGGTGGGTTCGGGTTCCTGTGGACCGTTACACTAGTCTAGTATCAAGCGCCTCAGTATCAATACAATTAGATATTAAACTTGACGAAAAAAGCCTACCTTTGAAGTGATGCGCAGCGCTGGCTTAGGAGACGGCTCAACCTCGGGAGACATGACATCAGCGTCATCAAGCAACATGGCATCAAAAGATGTGTTTGAATTATACTCGTCAGTGGCATCCAAGTCTTCAGATGAGCCGATAAGATTGACTGAATCAATTGGCCTCTTCGTGGAACTGACGGTATGAGTTGACCAAGCCTGTTCTAGAGCGAATTGTACAATGTTAGCTTGTTGAGTGAACGGCAACAAATTGAACGGCATCAACACTGGTACTTCGGGAGTTTCATCCTCCGAAGATTCAGTGATCTCTCCAGTGATTGCTACAACACTCTAAAAGAAATAAATGTGTATCAAATCATGTCAGACCTCAATTTATCAATGTCATTGAACACTTACCTGCATCCCCCCCTTTCCCTTGAGAGACGACAAGCGCTCTTTGAAATAGTCATCTTTGTCGTCATCATCCTTGTCAGCAACTTCACTGGGGTCTTCATCTCCACCTTCATCCTTATCGTCATCCGATGTGAGAGCTTGTGAAGTCTCAGAGGAGTCCGTCAAGGAAAGAGGAGGATCTTTCGCAAGCGAGACTGTGGTTGCAACAGTTTGGCTTGTCCTTGTTGATGAAATACCGAAAGAGTCGCCAGAAACAGTTTCAACTTGAATGCTGGGAGCAGAGGAGGGGATTGCGGCTGGTTTTGACTCAGGTTCGAGGTGAGTGCCCAAGTAAGGGTCATGAAATGAAGCGTGGACTCTGTGAGCATCAATATCATGGTGGTGAGAAGACAAAATACTGACGGGTTAAGATTTCCTTTCTTGTCAGCTATCAGGTGCCTTCTCTTGAGATTGATTGCGATCAAGAATTCGTCTCGTTGCAGCACTGATCACATCACGCGATATGGTAGGGTTGACCTTCTTCTTTTTCTTTATCTTCACCGCTTCATTCACAACCTCCTCATTTCCAATCACCTTATCGCTACCTGCACCCACACCCACACCACCAACTTCATTATCCTTGGTGTGATGACCTGCATCTCAAACTTTGACTGCTGGAGGTACCAGAGAATTCTCTGAGGTGAGCTCACTAGTTGCACCTTGCACGCTTGCCTTTGTCTTCACTGGTTTAGCCCACAACTTTACTGGTTTTGGCCTCTTGGTCGCCTGAGTTGCCTGCTCCACCTCCATGGCAGCCTCAATGCGTGCGATCCAATTGATTCCACATGCTGCAGAGCAGCTTCCTTGATGGCCTGTGCTTCCAGGGCGTCCTGTTTGTCCTGTGCAATTTGAGCTTTGGTATGTCGCTTCTTTTGACCTTCGAGAAGCACAAGTCCAGGGTGCTGAGTCGGATTTTTAGTGCGTGTACAATGGGGAGAGATGGGAGGTGCCATGGTGGATACAAAAGGCAGGAAATAGCAGAAGAGAGCTGGCAAAGGAAGGTGAGAGTTGCAAGCTGCAAAATTTGTAGTGCTAACACAGACAAACAACCCTGGATCCCTACTCAATACCCATTCACACCAATTTCCAAGTCCGCCTAGTACACTTAAGCACAACGACGGCAGACTGCCAGTGCTGGTACCAGCAATTCTTCTTTCCAGAGGCTTCCACCTCAGACGGCCAGAGGATTATGTCCCAGACCAGGCCCACAAGAAAGCCACCCGCACCCATCACCAAAATTACCGAATCCAGACATCACATGACATGTTGACTTTTCTGACACCGCCAATTATATATGCGCGTCATATTCGACATTTGAAATATCATAGCGACACAATGACATCAAACATACTATCTGTCAAACATAGCTCATCCAGTAGAGTAGCTGTCAGATACATATCAGATAGATCCAATGTATTATATAGAGTAATTCTAAACATATATGACGAAAATCGGATGAAAGCTAAGTAAAGTACCTAAAGGGCACCATAGCCTTCCTCCATAAGTATATTGTCATTGAGTTCCTCACCATCCTCAGCTATGATCTCGTCCTCTTCATCGTCCCTTAGTATATAATCCTCGTCCGAATGCAATTCATCCTCCGGGTCATCATCTAAGTCTTCATCCACCTCGCTGTCGTCATCAGATGCATCGGAGATAGCAGGCTTCATCGGCTTCCATTTCTATCTCTTCCTTGGTTTCATCATCTGAGTCTTCGGGAACATGTCCCTCGCGCTGCAAAAAGTCGTCCCACTCTTGCATTCCCTTGTGGCCAACAGTGCCCCCTCGAAACCTCATAAACATATCCCTATCTACGAACCTAAGTACCATGTGTATAGTTAGTACGTAGACTATGAAAAAAAAAACATACATATTCACATAATACAACACCCAATCCAGGTCTGCTTAGCCCTTCAGGTCAGCCAAAAGCAAAACCTGGAATGATGTGCACGCCCCTTATGACGCACTCCGGATCAAGAAATCCATATGTGTCCGGGTTTTCGTCCTCGAAAAATTCGAGGCGCTGGAGTCTCTTGGCAGTGAAGCCAGCTGGACTTGTGTCATGCTTGAACCATCTAACGAACAGAAAATCCATTCAGTTTCAGGCCAGGCACCGTACTGAATCAGGGGTTTCAGTGATATTCCACATTCATGTGGAATATTTTGATCAGCTGGGCATACCAGTAAGGATGAGATTGTTCTTCCTCGTGTGACATAACCATGAGGTCAGCACGAGTGCAGGGGTTAATGGAATCTTGCTCGCATCGGAGATCATATGTGGTGTAGTTGATCCAAACAATGCTATGTTCGAATAATTTGTTGTCCATGATCAGAATAGAGTTCTGCTCGGCATCAGTGAAGTTGTTCTCATCACCTTCAGTATGCAAGACCTTGAGCACGTGTGTATAAGTGGTCTTTGAGGCAGGGAAGAAAATTCTATACAACTGTATTAGATATACCCAAAAAAAAATTAAAAATACATACCTTGACTGCCAGATCATCACGGAGCTCACCTAACCATGCCAAGAGGTCGTAAGTCATACGAGCAGATTTGGCGATGTGGTAATGTTCTGATGGTGATGTCTGCACCCACCGACGTAAATTATTGCCTATGCTGGGCAGCAAACTGTGCGCGAGCATTGATGACCTTCGTACATAGACGTTCAATCGCGTCTTGATTCGCAATGCTTGCAGTCATGGTAGCTTTCGTTTTAGCAGTGCGCGGTGTGGGTACAACAAGTGCAGCGGAGAGAAGTCAATCTACTACACAGTTGGGTCTTTGCTGCCTGCTGCCTCGCTTGGAAACAAGCACGTTCGACCCTTAAGGGGATTGCTACTGGGGAAACACTAGTCTCTGTCTAAAGCGACCCTATAGGATGAAGGATCCAGCAAAAGCGGATGAAACAGATAGGATGCAAAACGTACATGATTCGTCGGATGGAGTGGATGGCACTTGCGGATCGGACTGGGATGCGAATCAAAGTCAAAGGGAGTTCATTAAAGGTTAGATGGATAGTGGGTATAGGTCAAAGCGATCTTCTGGTAGGGTGCAGGAAAAGTGGGAGGAAGTTACATCCAGTAAGTATTTTTCGAAACCCTCCATGCTTATAGGGTACAGTATTTTCAAGGAACATAGATATATAGGTAGCGAGTCTAGACCGTGCCATAAGCTATCCGAAAAATACTGGAGTGTGAGAGGATATGTCTGTGTTCAGTCAGTAACAAGAAAATGTGTGTGAGTACGTACCAATGAGGTAGAATGGACGTGGACAGGACAGGATGTGGTGGATGTACAAGCTATAGGGGGAGATCCGAAGCTATCCGCCTGTCATCCGAAAAGCGGATGTGTATCGGATGGAATGGATAGGTGTCAGATGGATGTCGGATGGATGCCTGATGCATCGGAGAAGTAGTGGATACGAGCCTAGCGTAGGGATACTCCCTACAGCGGGTAGCGTCTTTTAAGACGTCGATGCTCTAGTTCACCCTATAATAAAATTAAATACATGATCAATGATGAAATTAAATAACTCACCAGCTGGGTGGTATAATTATCTGTTGTCCCCCTGATCCTGATTGTGTTAGGGTAATCACCAAGGGCGTGGAATTTATAAGTATAGATATTCAAATTTTTTACCTTTGGGCGCAGTGTGCCTCCTTTTGATGCGCCCTGCTTGGCAGCCAGAGCAGCCAGCCAACGCCCCCGAGTGGCGTGTTCTTGAGGTAATTCTGTTGTGATGTAAGTTTCACATGTCGTCCATGTTGAAACTTGCGCACAGACTTGCCGAGGACGACTGTTGCTGAGTCAAAAAATCTAGCGTGTCCTCAGTGTGCAGACGGAGCTTGGCGTAAGCTTGCCATGTGGCGAGGTTGAACAAAAGGTCCAGGATTATACTATTGTTGTCCGGATCTAACAGTAGATCCTCAAAGACTAGGATGGCGCACTGAAATTAAATTTGAAATCAATTAGTATTAAAAGAAGTTCACAAAGATCATAGATACTCACCTGCAATAAATCTTCGAAGTCTCATGCTGCAAGATGTTTCATTGCAGAGGTGTTCCTGTGGAAGCACCGGATTGTTCCTCTCCCGAATGTCGAAACACGATGGTACCTGTTGTAGATAGTCCTGTAGTCAGTAATGATTAATATGTAAAAAACACTGTACCTCCAATTCAGATCCTTTACTACATTACCTCCAGCTGCATGTGCAATGCGCATCAAATGTGTGAAGATGGCCTTCCACACACCGAGCTCAAATTCATGCAGCATGTCCACCACAAGCATCAAGAAAAAATTGAATCCGAAGGTGAAAAGGCAATCAGAAAATGTGTTCCAGATTTCATTAGCCACAATTTGAATATAGCATATGATTGAGTACTTACACATGTAGGCATGATGGACTCGGAATTAAGGATGGATTTGACCCGCTTACCATCAACTGGTGCACCACGTTGGAAGATCAACTTCCGTGCATGATCAATCTTCTTACGATGGGCTAGATCGTCGATGCACTGAAGGGCCAAGCAATCATGCATGTCGCCCTCTGTTCCCATCTCGGATACATCTGCCTTCTTGATCAGGCAGCGTGGGCACAGGCATTCACCAAGGAATTTAATTCCAGTGAGTAAGATCCTGATACAACATCAATTCAAGAAGTGCAAGAACCAAATGAAAAACTTACTTTTCAGGATAATCTGCCAAATAATTGAAAAAACGCGGAAATACTCTGCGAGTGATTCCATCTCCACAACAAATCACGATCCCATGCTCATAAGCATGCATGAAGTCTTTGTTGAGAAGAAGCCTCCAGATTGCTTGCATAAGCTCACGCTTACAATGTGTGTAAACCTCTGACGAAGACACCTCCTCAAAGAAAGCAAAATACGAATCTTGAAAATTATCTGGAAGCTTAATATTTTGTCAATAGAATTTCATTAATTTAAGCAATTTGAAAACAACTTACTGTAGGAATGTACACGACGTGATGACATGCAGAAGCTGTAGGCTTCCTGCATGTATATTTAGATTCATTTCTGAAAAAAAATAGAATGGCCAGAGGGAGGTGTCACCAAAATTCGAAAGGTGTGTCGAGTCGGAATACATCATAAGCGATGTGACCACACGTTCAAGATTGTCGTCTGGTTGGCGAGGAAGGGAGTTGACCTCAATGTAGGCATCCATCATCGCAGGTGAAGTATATGCCTCTGAATATACTTTGATGGTCTGTTCTTCGGAGACTTTCCACATATACCTGAAATGGCCTTCATATGGAACATCGTCGCCGTGCCGTCTTCAAATACCTCTGTTATGATATCGATCAATGATCGATGGTGCACACCTTTAATTTCGAGCTCAGGGGCATCACCTTCTGATGGCCATTTCATTCTTTCTTTAGGGAGGCGGATGTAGACTGACGACTCTTTCCATCCATTCCTCACACTAAAAGGATTGGAATGGTCCTCAAGGTACTGTGCAATGAACCTCTTCTCTCAGGTAGGATTGAAAATTTTGACTGTCACTTCGATCATAAGCATCATTGTCGAGGAAAGTGGTGAGTCGCTGCATAGCAGCATCAGAAATTAGATTGGAGCTGGAGTACTGCCAACACATCAGCAGGCCAGCGGTTGGACTACTGAATGCGGAGTAGAGATTGTCGGGAGTGATGGAAATAGGGAGGGGGGGGGGGCCAGTGTGAAGACGAGGAGTATTGTTGGGACCCTTGCCGGTCTCGGGTTGCAACGTTGGTGTGTTCGCATAGGCTATTGAGGGGGGACCGCGGAAACAGAGTGGGACAAGTTGGATAGACTCGGTATAATCCCATTGTGTCTGGCTCTGTCTCAAATGATATTAGTTCATTACCAATCTGATCCACCTCATCAGGCATGATCTCATCAGCCCAAGCTACCTCCAGTATGTCATCACCAGGAACGAAGTCGGCATATCATCTGGGCATGCAAATAATGCGTCCAAAATGGTTAGAACACAGGGGAGCTGCGCTAGGCTCAGGTAATGGCGGGGAATGTGGGCGGGATCCCTCTGATCGTCCAGCCATACCATCATCCTGAATTATATTTCAAAATTCAGTTCAGAACTGGAATAAACAATGAATAGATACCTGAATGTCCCAGTTTCCAGTGTCCATGTCTCCCACATCTTCAAGGGGATCGGCTTCTTCAGTCAGCTTCATCTAAGACATCTCGGCGGTCCCATTGGTTGATTTTCCTCTTCTTGTTCCTTCGGCTCTTCTCAGCGCGCCGGTGAGATTTGCTGACCTGTGCACTAAATTCATGGTGAGTATCGCACAAAGCCTCAGTGTGTGCTCAAGCGCCTCTGGCTGTTGAAGGCCTTCCCACAACCAAGGCAGATAAGTTCATCCATCGAGAGAAGAGGGAGCGGGGGGCTTCAGACATAAAATGGGAGAAGGGGCTATTTATTTCAGTCTATCTACAATACAAGCACTACTAAATCTATGCAAGGTTATATCAATGCCTGAATATTCAGTGTGAATCACCTGAACACACCTCATGACGGAAGTTGTTCAATGTCCGCATCACATCCTACATAGGGTAGACTTACATAGGGTAGACTACCCCAACAGGAGAGTGATTTCACTTAAAAACCTACACCTGATCTCTGCAAATCAAAGTGGGATGCGCGGTAGGGCAAGCAACTCACCTAATCCCTTATCCAGGGAGATATCATTTTGGCCCATGGAAATAACAAAACCTGTTCGTGAAGTCTGGGCTGGTCAACAGGAATGGGAGCACTAATCTGCAACTGATAGACGCGAAGCGGGTCGAGGCGTGAAACGACCCTCAATAGGAAAAAGTTAGCTGAGATTGTAAGGCTGTCAGTACTTGCCTCCAGCTCTCCGAGACCTGAAATTGACAACTCACTGTGAACCCACTGAGGGTCTATGCTCATTCAGCCTTCCAAAAATAATGGGACCTTCCAACGTGGTGCCAGCAAAGACCAGATCTGCTTGAACTGCTACTGAGAGTGGTGTGCATGGGAGGCTGGAATTGGAAGGCGTCAGATGAGCGAAAAAAGAAACAATGTAAATAAGGAGACGTGGTGGAAAGGGAAGTGGTCCTCCACTACTTAGCCTTGGGGCAAACGGCCAAACCAGGCTAAGTAGGAACACGTGTTGTTGGTGTCGCATGATCATGATCGAGTTAATTTGGTCGATATCAAATTGAACCTCCACCGGAATCTTGCATCATGCGACTTTTCAAAGTCAGCTGGCACTTTCCGGAAGTAAACAATGTCTCAATAACGCGTCAATCTTTGCTTATCTCTTATACCAACACCTTTAATTCTAAACACTTGACACGTCACAAATTGTAATGCTCATCACTAATACTGAAGACCTCCTCGACCTGGCCAACAGGGCATCGTTTTCCATGACAATTTTGTTGTGTTGGAGGTCGACAATATGCTGTCTGGATGGCCGACTTACACCCTCAATTTTATGCCAGAACGCCCAGGCCCATTGGTATGTGTTTTGAATATATTTGAATTTCTCATTACTGACATCATTGACACTAGAAAATTATACTACGGTTGAAGGATGCTGTAGAGTTCAGGGTGATCGAAGATAAAGATAGTGATGACGAAGCCAGTGGACAAGCCAAGAGGTGATTTTTTTCGCGTCTCATTAACTTATACTAACATAATCCAACTTTCTAGTGACTTACAGTCCGTTACTGAGGAGGATCCAGACACTACGATGGTCTGTGAGCCAACACTGGCAGCCCAAGTATGTTTTTTTTTTTGATTTGTTTGTGACATTGACTCAGCTACTATGGTACTTACAGGGACTCAGACATGCCTCAGTGCATCAGCGCAAAGCCTGTCGTGCTGCACAGTTGTCCCCAAGGATCCTCCCAGTATTGTCCATACATGGAAGAAATTCCAGGACAAGCACAGTGATATGTGGCCTCCCCTGCCGTGGGTTCAGGGAGAGCTGTACCACAATGCGGATCACTCAAATTGATGCACTCATGACCTTACCCACAGCTGTAGAAGCCTTGAAGCTCGGATTAATTGGACTTAATCTGTACATGCATTCTTTTACAGCTCTCTTTTGCACATTGTCAGTTCTTTCATTGCTGTTCGCGCTCATTGTTATGTACTAATAGCAACAAAAATTACTCAAATTGTAACTGTAGAACTAAGTTTGTATTTCTTGTCGCGCATATAGTCATTGTTGAGTCCTCGCATTTGAATTATTAATTAATCGACAAATAAACATTAACAATGTGCGTCAAACATCACTGATCTTATCTTTCTATCACCTACCATCATGGCGCGTTGCAAACGGTCTGACTCGATTTCCTCTGATTCATCGGTATCCTCACATAGCTCTAACTCCTCAGTATCATCGGTGACCCCTGTACCTCTGAAGAAGGTCTCAAAGAAGGCCACAAAGTCAAAGAAAAGGCGCCATTCGCCAGATGGCAATGAGAAAAGTGCTTCTAGGTCAGTCAATTCATTGTAGATATTCTGATCACCATTAACTGTGACAACTCAATATAGGAACAAAGAGTCTGATATTGATCCTCATGAAGAGTTTCTTGCCGCTGCGTGCTGCATCACGCATTGTATTGATTTGTTTTGCAAGACCAAACAACTCATCAATGTAGGTTTAGCTCTGCAGCAGCACGATGCTGCAGAGAACAGAGAATTATCAGAAGATGAAGATGCTCGGGTTTGTCATGACAAGCGACTCTCAAAGATGTAAGTCAGTCTTGTATTTTAACGTGCACTGATTTTGTATTGCCACTCCATAGGTCATCTAAGGTTCAAGAGCGATATAAAAGGAACTTCGCTCGGCTGCTTCAACTCACTCCAGGCTTAAAACCTCTACTTGATGACCCTCGCAAAGCCTCAGAACTCAACACTATCATCAAGAAGGTAAGTACATGCACATATATGCGCACATTATGTACTTAATAAATATTCAGATGGATGCTACTATCTCGGCTACTCGCTCTGACGATGCATCACGCCTGAAGAGCCAAATTGGTCATTACGCGGCCTTCAACATCAAGGATCATCCAATCCATCCAGCTATCTATGACAGAAGCGGTTCACGGAGGATGCTGACAAGTGAATTTTGTTTTTTACAAAGTTTGCCCCATGCTATTCTAACATTTTGCAGGGCACTTAATGATATACAGTGCGGCAAGGTTAGCTTAACCGCATCTACACTTCCGGCATTTCTATGGGCCAGAGACCCACCAGGTAAAGACTATGATGACAACAACATGTTCAAAGGCATGTTTGATGGCTACTTATTGGAGCGGGTAGGCGTGTTTTTTTGCATGTTGTTTTATATTGATATTCTTTTTTTATTAGACTATGCGGCACATTTTTACAAGTCCCTCAAGCGCATATGGAGGGGAGACACGCGCAACACGCACCTGCAATGCCGCTTTACACAACATGACCATGGTAGAAGCGGCACATATTGCCTATGGTTGCTTACAGGTTTGATTACTTCAAACTTAACATGCTGAGTCGCTCAATTTTATTCAGGTTCATTTTGGTATCAGCGCCAAGAATTCCTGGTCCAAAATCAACGGTGCCTTCAGCTACTGGGAATTCTACAACAATATCATCGAGTTGATTGAAGATTCACCTGATCCGGAGTGGAAAGAAGACCTCCTCAAGGCTTGGAATGTGTAAGTTTTTGTTATATTCTCAAGGTTCACGCTAACCCTTATTTATCTAAGGAAAATATTCAAGAATGAGGAGGGCCATGAAAGCAACAGTACTACGGATGACAATAAAACCCACGGCTCTCACGAAGGCAGTGATAACGACTTGGCAAGAGTCCATGCTCAAATGGCAGCACATTGTGCAGCAAAGGCGGCTCCAGCACATCCCCCTTCTCCCCCACCTTCTGTTTCACCACCTCCCCCTCCTCACAAGTCAATGCCAGCTCGTCCCTCTGAGCCAACGTCTTCTTGTGAACCAACTCCAGTGCTGCCTGCTACTCCCAGGCCAGTTCCTACTCAGCAAGCCAGTTCCTGCTCCCAGACGAGTTTCTCCTCGCAAGCTTCCAGCTCCATCTGCACCAGCACCTGCCCCTCGTCACAAATCAATGCCAGCTCCTTGTGAACCAACTCCAGCGCCTTCTGCCCCTAGACGAGTTTCTCCTCACAAGCTTCCAGCTCCATCTGCACCAGCACCTGCGCGTGCTGAGTCGCCCTCCTCCAGTGATCTAACAGGGTCCTTGGAGTCAGACGAGGAGTCTAGAACCCGTCCAGATCAAACGTAAATGCAAGGCTAAGAAGGGGAGCACCAAAGTCTCTAAACCGAAGCGTGGCAAGGCTGCCCCATCTGCAGAAGCCAAGCCACGGAGAAGTTCAAGGAAGTAGCTGTCCCCTGCCTCATGTATCATCAGCACGTTCTCCTCATTCGCATTGCTCGCAGACCCCCATGTGTACTTTCATTTTCTTCGCTGTCATTTTCTACTGTGTTGTACTACTGACCTACTCATAGATCACTCGTTTCCCCATTCTGTTGTCTGCTCTCGATTACCTGCATTCAGCATACATAGGCTTGGAACTGTTGTACCTCACTGCTTTGTACTACTACTAATTCAATGCATTACATGGTTATATCCGAATGCAATTGCAATGTCTGATGAATCTGAACGAAATTCAAATGCATTATGTACATAGCAATGTTTGATATATCGGTACACTAGCCTAATGCCTGACTATAGTCATATAGCAGTCACCATGTAGGAATTGAGTTTCCTAACATTGCCTTACATTGAGACCTTGCACCGGATACATGTGGCAGGTATGGTAGCTCCGACATGGCCATATATAGCCATGTCTGAGTTGTGTAATTTTGGTGATGCCGCGAGCCTCTTTGCATTCCTTGCATGAAGCCAGGGTGCGACTGTTGGTTTAAGAATCAGTCAGGGCACACACAGCATATGAATGCAAAACACCCTGTGCTTCCACGAGCACCCGCATCGGCCCTGTCCACCCAGGCCTCATTCGCGGAGTCCTGGGCTGCCTGACACCATGGATTCGGGTGATGGTGGTGCCATGGACTTTGATGATGCTGGCAACATGAACGATCCCACACAACCAACAGTTGAATATTTTGGTGCTGGTGACCGACTATATAGAAACTATCACCCTTTTTTGTCTGGTACATTTTTTGTCCTGTTAAAACCTTCTCAAGTACTATCTGATTCATGACTACAAGCTCACCCCTGTGATCCGGAAGGCAACTTCCTTCCACCAGGAACTCCGCCTCCACCACTCACTGACAAGACAACACATGACTGGACTCCCTACAAGAGCTGGGTAGAGTTCAAGCTTGCCGACTACTTATTCACGCGGAATCAAACTCCTGCGCATTCAATCGACCATTTGTGCGATATATGGGCAGCTTCATTGATGCAAGCTGGCAGCAAAGCAACTCTCTTTTCAGATCACCGCAATGTCTACAAGACAGTCGATAATACTCCTCTCGGTGATGTGAGATGGCAGTCGTTTACCATCAAATACACCGGCGAAATTCCAGAGGAAGGTGCCACACTGTGGATGGCAGATAGTCACGAAGTCTGGTTCCGTGACCCCCACGAAGTTGTTCGCAACATGCTTGCTAACCCAGACTTTGCTGCGGAGATGGACCTCAGACCTGTACCGTGAGTTTGCAATGGAAAACGACGAGTACCAGTGGAAGGACTTTATGTCCAGGCGATTGGGCTTATAACCAAGCAGTACGTGTTCTTTTTTTTCAATGTTTACGGGTTTGATGTGCATCTGCAGGACATGATATCCGAGGATGCTGACACTCATGGCTCAACATTCGTGCCTGTGATTCTCGGGAGCGACAAAACAACTGTATCAGATGCAACGGGACAAAACGACTACTACCCCCTCTACGCGTCTATTGGGAATGTTCAAAACAATGTGTGCTGTGCTCACCAAAATGCCGTTGCTGTCATAGGGTTTCTCGCGATGCCGAAAAGTAAGTGTTCATTAACTCTGTCTTATTGTCCTTACATCTCGAAAAGCAACCAAACAGCATGCCGAGACAGATGGTTCTTTCCGGAGGTTTCACCTGCCAGCTGTTTCACTCGTCACTCTCATTTATCCTCAAGAACCTGAGGCCGGCCATGACAAAGCCGGAGGTTGTGTGTTTCAGGGATGGACACTATCGCCGTGTCATCTATGGACTTGGGCCTTATATCGCAGACTACGAGGAGCAAGTAGTACTTGCATGCATAGTTCGAAGGTGGTGTGCTAAGTGAGTGTATCCTCTGATCGTCCATTGTGTTTGTTCTGATAGTAAATTAGGTGTCTTTCACGTCGCAAGAACCTCAATGAGACCAGTCTCCCTCGCTCAAGACTTCACGTTGACACACTAATCGAGGAGTGCAACTTCGATACATTGCGGGTACAGTATGGTATAGTTAGCGTCCTCGTGGTACTTCAATCATTCATTTCTAGCTATACTTACTAATTGACTCATTTGCAGCCATTTATGAACGATTTTCCCCATGCCAACATCCACGAACTACTTGCACCCGATCTCCTCCATCAAATCATCAAGGGGGCATTCAAAGATCATTTAGTTGAATGGGTCGAAAAGTATCTCATACGGGTGCACAGAAAGACACAAGCTAACATTATTCTAGACGATATTGACCGACAGTATGTTTAATTTACCATAAATTTAATTTATTCTTAGCTCGTCATAGGATCGCAGCAGTTCCTCCATTTCCTGGCCTCCGTCGATTTCCACAAGGGTGCCACTTCAAACAATGGACCGGGGATGACTCAAAGGCCCTCATGAAGGTATTGTATATTTTTCTCCTTCGAACATTACACTACTAACAATGTCAAGGTATACTTGCCAGCAATCGAGGGTTACGTCCCTGAAGATGTTGTGCGCACGTTTAGTGCCTTCCTCAAATTTTGTTACCTTGTCCGCCACAACGTAATCACAGGAGACCTTGCTCGAGGCAATCCAAGATGCCCTTACCCGTTTTCACCGGCATCGTGAAATTTTCAAGACTACCGGAACCATTCCTAACATTTTCGCTTCCCCAACAACACTCGATGTCCCACTACATCCATCTCATTCGATCCTTTGGTGCTCCGAACAGCTTGTGCTCTTCGATCATGGAATCAAAGCACATCAAAGCAGTCAAGGAGCCTTGGAGGCGATCTAGCCAGTATAACGCGCTGGGTCAGATGCTGCTGATTAATCAGCATCTAGACAAGTTGGCAGCATCACACATGGATTTCCGCACTCCGTGGAATGCTCTCAGGCACTTGCTTGTCATCTGTTCTCAGCAGCACTCGGTACGTGTTTCATTTCTACTACCTCGTTTACTATCTAATTGTGTCTTCATTGCTAGAACCATCAGCAAATGTGCCTGCGCAGGCTGTGCAACCTCTGCCCACTAGTGCCAAAGGGCACAATCCAAGCCAACAAGAGCTGCCCACTGTGCACCAAACTGCCAGCATACTCGATGTTGATGTTGCTGCTGACTCTGAGGACATCGAAGCACCGACTTCAATCCTTGCACATGTGCAACTGGCATGAACATCCCGTAAGTCTTATTCATTCACATATTTTCAATATACTAATACAAAGTACTATCAAACAGAAGGGAAAAAACACGCCCAGACCATTCCTGCACTAGCCGACGAGCTCATCATTCCAGACTTAGCTGATCTCGTTCAGGATTTCCTGATCAAGCAGCTATATCCGGAACTGGACCCCTGCACAAGTCCCAAAAATATTATGGACTGCCCTCGTTACGAAGGACAGATACGAGTATACAATTCCACAGTGTCGACATTCTTTGCACTGAGCGACTTAAGTGGCATTGGCGGGATGAAACACGAGTACATTCGCGTGTCCCCCAATTGGAGACAAGGGTATGCACGCAAAGACTGCGTGTTCATTATTACTGACCCAAATGCTCACAGAATGCTGGGTATGGATGTTGCCCGGGTACTTACCTTTTTTTCTTTTCGGCTCAGAGATAGATATTATCCGTGCGCAGTCGTCCGCTGGTTCAATCGAGTTGACGACACACCAGACAACGAGACTGGCTTGTGGATGGTGGAGCCATCCTCTATTGAGAATTGCGCACACTTTGCAGTGATTCACATTGAGTCAATTTTTCGTTCTGCACATCTTATTCCTGTGTACGGTACTGAACCACTCCCCTCAGTCATTAAATTTCACCACACCCTCGATATATTCACCCTCTTCTATGTGAACAAATACACCGATCATCATGCATTCGAAATCACTTCTTAATATGTCACTTTTTCTATGTCACTTAGCTTTATTTTATGGTGCATACTGTTTTCCAACTTCTCACTTTTTTCGAACTTTTCTATATTCAATCACACAAAGTTTGCAAGTCCAAAAGATAAGTGTGAAAAGGGGACAAAAAGCAAATGGTCTCTTATTAAATTGTAGAAAAAGGCTGAAAAGCGAACTCGTGATTTACTGATGTCATCTACTGTGACAGAGTGCTATCATGAAAGATGCGATGAGCGCACTGGGGTAGCAAGTCGGACGACGACCAGTTACTATGTAGGTTGCTTTCCCTGGGTGGTGAAGCCTGTTAGTGGTGCGGGTCTTGAGCTTGATGTCAGATACAGTAGACTATCTCATAATGCATAACGTCAGGAACACAAAATCCTTATGCATTATGAGATTTATGCATTAGCACATATGTCACACATTGTGACAAATTGTGACATAGTGTGACTCCGCTCATGTATCTAAAGGACTAATGAAATAAGAGTCTATCATAGTTTGTGTTCCATGAAGAAGCTCGTCACAGTCGCAAGTGAGCTCAAAAAAGACGGATTTGCTTCAACAACTCTAGTGGAAGTGTGGGGTCAGCATTTCCAAACTGCAGGCAGGCTCCTTCGAGCCACTGACACAGCCCAAGGGTTTCAGCATGAGAAAACTCTGGTTCAGCCTGAGTGTCCTCGTCTTCGTCGGATTCCACCTCAATCACCTTGTTGACTTTCTCGGCTATCTCCTGTTTTACTGCAGCAACAATGGCCTTATCCCCACCTTCAAATGCAAGGGAATCTCCAACTTCCTGTTCTTCGACTGGTTTGAGAAACTCGTCTAAAGATGGTGGTTCACCAAAAATGCGATTGCGAGTCTTCAAGTCCTGAAGAGAGGTGGTAATTTCATCCTCAAGGGTTGTCAGTTGAGTGAGAGGAGGCCAGCGTGCGGGAATTTTAATTTTAAGGCCAGTGCGGCGGCAAGCAGCTTGTGCGAGCTCTTCAACTTCACTTGTGGCCTTGAAGGCAGGCCTCCAGTCGGTATCAATGTAATGATTGCTGAGGATCTTCTTTACTCGTTCCTCTGCTTCTGGCAATAGGGGAGTTCAAAGTTGATTTTGGAGGCCGATTTGGACGTCGATTTCGCATTTTGAAAATGAAATCAGCTTTGGTGGATTTGAGATAGATTTCGGCTGGTCAAGCAGCAACGTGAGTCGGACTTTCAAACACGCATAACGTGACTTACACACACCTTGTTTACCGCACGACCGTCGACGTGACTTAAGGTACTAATCTTGTTTACTCTTTTCAACTTTGCACTATGGCAAAATCCAAGCAGTTGACAACTCAAAAGTCCGTCAAACACGTTGTTCCGAAAGTCCGCAAGAAGAAGGCCAATGGTGATCCCACAGGAGATGTTGAAGACTTGGACTCGGACAAAGAAAACAACAATTGCATCGGCATGTCGGGTGATATGAAGAAGCCCCGTGTTATGATCCAGTATGTGTGTTCTTGATTTTATGGTTTGTGCTGACGTGTTTTAGTTGGTCTAAGCCAGACAATCACCACCTTACGGATCAACTGCTTACCCTAATCGAAGACTCGCCATTATGGAAGGCCGTGTTTGGCTTTGACAAGGGTACTTCTGGCTCGGCCGTCGCAACAGGCAAAGGCAAGAGCACCCTGAAGCACTGTGCCGACATTGCTGTTGCTCTCTTTATTGACTATGTGGCCGGTGTGCAGTGGATTTTTGATGACATCAATGTGCTTCAAGGCATCATCAAAAATAGAATTGGCTCATATGTTGCTTGTACACATTTGTATCACTGACAGCTGATCAATGACACATCTATTGTTACAGGTTACGAAGCTCGTATGCTGACATTCGTGCTCAATTGGGTGAAACGGGACACGGTCTTGTTGTCTCAGGATGTGAAGATGAACTAATCGATGGCAGCCCAGCTGCAAATGTCTATGGTAAGATCATATGATGTACATATGGGCGGGACGCGGGACTCATTTGTTTACTTACAGATGTGATAAAAACCAAATTTCCTTGGTATTGTCGCATGCATGAACTCATGGGCTCAAGCCCTGTCGTCAGTCGAAAGGCTGTGTCTAACAGCAAATCTTCTATTGACCTGACCGTCTTGGACCACAACTCCCAAGATACTTTCGAGGACGAGGTATGTGATTAATATAATTATAGACAAATCTAATTTTTATCCAGTATGAACATGTTCCATCAGTATTCGATGAGGACGATGATCCCCTTCAAAGTCCCCTTACTTCAAGTTCTCCGACCCCTGCTACTCCTCTTAGGGCTACAATCATTCTTCCGTCAAAATGTCTCGCTGATACACCTACCCACACCAAGTCAGCATCAAAGAAGCGCAAATCCGTACACGATATGGTCAGAGAGGTTGCTGATGCTGAGCGTGAGGCCCGTCTCGTCATGAACAAGATCAATGCTAAGGAGCGAACTGCACGTGAGCAAATTAAGCGTAGGTCTGCTCATGACACTGCCCTTCCAGTCGAGCGCATGCGGGTGGAGCAAGCTGCTGCTCAGCGAGCACATGAGCTGGTGATGATTGAGAAGCAGATCGAGCTAGAGAGGATTCGAGCTGGTATTCATGTACCTATTGACCTGCAGCTTCATTGAGTATACATTTACTTACTATATAGATATTCGAATAAGCTCTTCTTTAACTCTGCTCGCTTCAGTTTACCTTCTAATAGTGTGATATCTCTGGAATATTCTCTCCCTTCTTCCTCTGCATTTGCCCTTTGCTCGATGGCCTCTTGTAGCTCAGCATCTCAACGAGTCTCCTCAGCCAAGATCTGTAGTCCATGACGGAAAAATTGGTCTTGTGATATATTGACTCCCTTTTGATGTCCCAAGCTGAATGCATGAAGGTGAATGCAAGTGATGATCCATAAAGATGCATATTGAATATGAGTCTCAGTATCGAGGCGAACACGGAGGCCCCGAAGTGATTCCCATGTGCCCTTGAGGTAGCCCATGGCATGCTCTGAATGAATACGAATTTTTGAGACATGATAGTTAAAAGTGGAGTTCTCCTCAATGTCACTCTCAGGTCTGTGCTACAATATCAACAAGAAATTAATTTTATACTGATCACTAACCACTTACTTTTTGTATGGCGCCTGACACCAGGAATGGAGTGGGTATGCTGTGTCTGCAAAAATCCACTCTCCTTCATCAAGCAACACATCATGTTCCTTGAACACGCGTGTTTCAGAGAATGCAGTTGCATCATGCTGGCTACCAGGGAGGCCAACTGAATAATCAATGATGCGCAAGTCAGGAGTCGGAACAATCTACTGCCAATATTAGATATTTGCACTGTCAAGGTATCAGAGATGCAAATACCTGCACATTAAGAGAATAATTAGACTTCCGGTCATACCAAGTGTTCCCATAAAAAGCAGGTCGAGCATATAGTGGAACCAATGTGCCATCAACCATCACCCAACCATCCCGCCAAGCAGGACAGGAGTTCTCCTCCACCCATCTCTTTGCCTCCTCTTTCTCATCTGATGTTGGCCAGTAAAGGGCAGAGTGGCGAAAGCGGTCACTGCAGATGGCCTTCATAACACGCTGCGTGATGAGGCGAACAGTGCCATAACCAACACCAGCCCACAGAGCTACTAATTGAGTGCTGATTGCATTGCCATAATGGCCAAAACGATATAAAGCAATTGCTACCTGCGCTTCAATAGGCATCTGTGGGACATTGGTCTGGCTATGGAACACTGGGTCATCCTGCAGGGCAGAGACGAGCACATCAAAGCAATCAGGGGTTACCCGAACATAGGCTCTGAAAATCTCAGGTCATGTAAATTTCCACTCCACAAGGAGAAGGTGCAAATTTTCGCCAGTCTTGACAATTGGCTCCCTGTCTACAAGGTATCTCCGAGAGTATAATGAGCCTACCACGCCAAGTAAAACATCACTGGTTGTGGGCATCAGCCAGTCGTCATCTGACTCCGAGCTGTCAGAGCTTCCTGAAGAACTCGAATCAGAACTAGAAGAGGTAGGATTGACAAGGACTTGGGATTCTGCTACAAGTGCTGCAAGATATGCCTCAAGCATGGATTCCGCAGCTTGTTGGCATTCAGTCCGAAAGGGCATGATGTTTTTACAAAGGTTTTTGATGCATTCTACCACAAATGTTGAACAATGATAAATTAAACTCCGACATGGCAAAGTGAAAACGGTGGTGTCAAATCTGTTGAAATCAGGTCAAAATTGAGGGATGTCAAAGTTGAAATCGGATTTCAATGTTTTTGAGCATCCAAATACAAGTCCAAATCAACGTCCAAATCACATCCAAATTGGCCTCCAAAATCAACTTTGAACTCCCCTAATGACATTTCAGTCGTTGCGAAATCTCGAATAACGCACCAAGCAGCCATGTCTGCATGTGGCAAAGAACCTGGTAATTGAATTGGAGTGGATGGGTCTCTGTATAGCGATTAAATGAGAATGATAACACGAATAAGAAATAAAAACACTCACAGCTGAATCTGGGTATGATCCCAGCAATGCTTGATTGTTGTCAATGAGATATCTCGCCATGCAGCACAAGCCATCATCATCCCTTCGAGGAGATCAATTTTGTAAATGTCACATTCGCCCGCTTCATCGAGATTAATTGCACGTGCACAGAAATTGTGGCGGTACAGTGCCTTAAAGCAGCAGATAATTCCCGCATCGTAAGGCTGCACAAATGATGTCATATTTGGCTTGAAAAATTCAAGCTGCACATTTGTTGGCTCATAGGATATTGTGTGCCCAGAGAAATTGTCCACAAAGAGACAAACATGCCGATTCTTGCTGCACATCTTGAAATCAATTTTTTAACCCATCTGTCAGTCCAGTCAGCTCATATTGATACTAAACAAGCCAAAAATATGTCTCACTCTTCAAAGAGGACCACTGTCATCCAGGCCTTCTGATTATTGCGGTAATAGAAGCCTCGCTGATTGGGTGATTTATTCTTGAAGCATTGTGGCTTCTTGGATTTCCCGATGTAGATTGCATCAAACTTCTCGCTCCCATCAGCATTGCATGCAAGCCCAACAGTTATGTGGAATTTTTCTTTCTTCTTCCCACTCATTTGCTTCGTTGCAAGACCACGATCAGGTGGAGCACTAGATATGATAAGTATTGTTGTAAGTCAAGTTTACTAGGCACAAAGAACACTTACAAAGGAAACAAACTTGTTTCATCAAAGTTCCACCGATCTCGGGGAGCAAATTTAGACAAGATCTTGGCACATCGTTTACGTTCAAGGTCAACAGCATCAAGATCAACTGATCCTGCTTCCCCATGCCGTCAATGCTCCTGCATTTTGTAAGCCTTACAAAATGGTGTCAACCACCCATCTCCTGAAAGCTGTTCCTCCTCTGGCACTCCAAACAGTTCTTCAAATTTCCGCCGCTTTTCCTTCAGCATTGGTCCATTGACCTGCTCGCCCTTTTCTTCCATGTGCCTAACCCACAAAAATAGTGCCCTGTCGACATCAGGTCTTGTGACGGTGCGTGGTCTCTTTGATGACAAAGTGTTTGGATTGTCATTGATGCGTGCTTCCAAAGTCGAACATTCCTTCAATTTATGCGACAAAGTTGACTGCGTGAAAATTAAAGCCCCTGATTGAAGACTCTTGAAGTGGTTCACAATGTCACATTGTGGCATTGCTCGGTGCGCATCAACATATGCAAAAACAGTCAACCAGTCACTGAGAGTGAGGTTTGGGTGTGTAGTGCGAGCTGCAGCTGCTGGTTGTGCAGAGGTGGCTGGGGTGTCTTTGACTTTTGGTTTTTTTGGCTGTCTCTGGTAGGGTGGAGGTCTGTCTCATGGTTTTCGTTTATGTGCAGACATTGTAGATATGTTGAATGAGGTGGGATGAATTGTACATTGTCCGACAGTCCAAATACACTAAGAATTATTTGAACCGAACATGACCCTTGATGCTTGAAGCTTATCCAACCAGCCAAAAGTACTATCTCATAATGCATAATGGCGCCGAAAGTCTATGCATTATGATTCAATTTCTCACTGCCCCACAATGGGACCGGCCCAAACGTTATGCATTATGTGATAGTCTACTGTATATATATAGTCCTGTCCACTCATCAAGGACAAAGAGCCGCTAACACGGAGTGGCTCTTTCTCCACAAGATGTTATTCAGCAATGCCGGACGATAACCTAGCATGACGCGGCAAAAGAGCAGTAAGTTTAAGCTAGATGCGCGTCAATTGACCAGAAGTTTCAATTGTTCCAGCAAGTTGGATATCTCCACTGCGAATGCCGCGGTCATCAGCAAAACTCCCCAAATGTCACAACACGTGACATAGCCTGATTAGGGATTATCAAAATGTTCGAGTATTATGACGCATGTATGCATGCGTCATATCAACATTACACATTATAAACACCTCACCACCCTCACATGATCCTTAGCGCAGTTGAGACACGGTGGTAGCGATCTTATATTGTAGTTATAATGTTGTAGTACTGTTATATGTGCCTCCCAATAATGAGCTCCACTAAGTAAGATTTATATGATGAATTGATAGCAGATCAGAACAAACATGATATTAAATCACAAAGTGCCGTAGCCTTCCGCTATCAGAAAATGATTGTCTAAATCTTCTCCCTCGTCCGCTTCTATCCGATTGGGATCATCTTCCAGTTCCTCTTCCTCTTCGTCATATCCGTCCTCCTCAATCTCTCCCTCTCCCTCAGCATCTCCATCTCCCTCCCCAGCTTCATTCTCCTCTTCTTCAGCCTCTTCATTCACATACACCCCATCACTTTGCAGGAACTCATCCCATTCGCAGGATATAGCATGACTGATACCTCCCCCTCGGTATCGCATGAACATATCTTGATCTACGAACCTAGAAATAGACCAGTGAATTGATTAGAAGTAGATAGGTACAAAAAACTCACATGTTTACATAGAAATACCACCAATCTTGATTAAGATCTGCCTCGTGTCGAACAAATGAATCAGGAAGAAACTCATTAGTCTTGCCTGATGCAAATGCTGGGATGAGATGGACACCTCAAATGATGACGTCAGGATCCAGAAAACCGAAGGCGCTGGGATCCTCGCCTCTGAGAAAACCGATGCGATGTAATTGTTTTGCGGACCAACCGGATTGGTAACTCGTGTCGCGTCCAAACCACCGCACAAACAAAAATTCCATTCAGTGCGGTTCTTCCATAGAAGCGTCATTTTGGTCACAAACATCCACATGGAAGATCCGGATGATCTGTGCATACCAATATGGGTGCCATGCATCATCGGTTTCGTGTGACAGGACCATAACATTGGCATGAGTATGCGGGTTCAGTGAATCTTGTTCTCGCCATAAGTCGTATGTAGTGTAGTTGATCCGGAGGATGCTGTGCTCGAAAATTTTGTTGTTAGCAATGATTAGCTGGGCGCATTCTTCATCAGTGAATTCAAGCTCATCTCCAGTGTACTCGATCCCTGCGAAGATGTCCAAGAAGATGATCTTTGATTTTCGGAATAAAGTCCTGTCCCTCCCATCAGATGAAATAACTCTAAAAGGTTAAAAAAAAGACGTACCACTACTGCTAGATCATCTTCTTGTAGTTCACTGAGCCATCCTGTGAGATCAAACGAAGTTTTTGCATATTTGGAAATATGGTAGTGATCGGATGGAGACGTGCGTTCACGTTGGCGGCGCTGTGATCCGGCATCACCTTCTCTTGATGCTAATGTAGCTCGCGCCTTGACGATCTTACCCATGAGTTGTTCCCAGGGTTTCTATCCTTGTCATACTTGACACTGTGTTCTTCTTCCCTTAGGGGGTTTTCGAATACCAACAGCTTCACGTGCCGATGCTGAAGTTCACCCTAGTTGATTAAAAATAGTATGATCAGTATGTATCTACACATGAATTCAAATTAAAACTTACTGGCTGCAGTGCTGAAGCTATCAGTAGTACCAAATTGTCGGATCGTGTTGGGGTAATCTCCCAGTGCGTGATATTTGTAAGTGCTGAGATTAAGCTTCTTGCGCTTCGGACCCGATAGAACTTCCTTGGCCTTGCCTTTCAGGTCTGCTTCTGGAAGCTTGGAAGCTAAGGCAGCTTCCCATTCGTCCATGTGTTGCATACTCGTGAGGTAGTTCGGTTGTATGGTAGCGCTTACATGTAGTTCGAGCAAATCTTTGTACCATCTGGCCCAGAACAGCCGTGGCAGTGTCGAAAAATTTCAGTGTGTCCTTGGTGTGCATTCGCAATTTTGCAAACCCATGCCAAGTTGCTAGGTCGAATAAAAGATCCAGGACCATAGTATTGTCTGTGTCATCATCAGGCAGTGCCAGTAATCCCTCAAAGGTGGGAATTGCACACTATACATACACACGATCATCAGTAACCATATTGGGCAAGTTGAAACTGACACTTACCTGCAGAAGATCCTCGAAATCTCTCGCAACTAAACGTTTCATTGATGACACATTTGAGTTGAACTTTCTTATCGTCCCTCTACCAAAGGTCGGCATAGTGCAGTATCTATTAAGATCTATTAGTAGATGTAATGAAAAAATTAAAATACACACCTTCTATTGAGTTCCTGGATGACATCACCACCAGCTGCATGCAAAATGCGCATCAAATGGGTGAACTTCGCCTTCCACACACCAAGTTCGAATTCGTGAAGTTCATCGACCACAAACATTCAAAATTGATTGAATCCGTGAGGTGACAACTTGACAGAGAATGAATTCTATATATCAAATATCATTAGTTATGTAGGAAGTCAATCAAATGTTAAAAAATTGCTCGAGTGGGCACCTGTCACGAATTCCCAACACGAATCATTTTTCATTTCTCAGTTTTCCTTCGGCTATGTCCCAAACCCGAACCGGTCACGTGACACCACTACCTTTCACATTATCACATCATCACCATGTCACAACTTCACCCCTTCACATTTCACCAGTCACATCTCCGATCGAATCCCCTACGCCCAGGGCTAGAACCATATGTCTTCCTATCACTTAATCTCCGTCTCTGACATCATCGCTTATATATCACGACGTCATACTATGTCATGCGCAGTATCGTACGATTCTTTCTCATTGGTTGATTATTTACAGACTCAGATATCTCCGACTCAATGTTATGCATGTAGGTAGGGTAGTTAGCGTAGTTTCTCTTTAGACTTAACCTCTTTGTTCCTACCCAGTGTAGACTCAGACGTTTACCTCTCAATCTATCTGATTCTCTCATCCTTGACGAGTCCTAGTGGTTGTGTGATACCTTTTGCCATTAGGTGAAACATTGATCATAACAGCACCAGAGACTTGTCATTGAGAATATTCTTGATGCAAGTGCCATCAACAGGCACACCCAGTTGAAAAATGAGTGCCCGTGCATCATCGACTTCTCGGTGGTGTATCCTGTCGTCCTTCTGCATGCGCCTGATCCAATGTTTCATATCTAACCTCAATCCCATCAAAGGAACCTTGTTCTTCTTCGTGAGACAGCACGGACAAAGGCACTGCCCCAGATTTTTGATCCCTGTAAGAATAACTCTGAGAAGCATTAGTACTGCATCTGAGAATGAATTAATGTACCCACTTCTCAGGATAGTTGGCTGAGTATGTAAAAAAATGAGGGAACACTCTACGAGTGACACCATCACTACATTTAATTACTATACCATACTCGTAAGCATGCATAAACTTCTCGTCTAGAAGTAGAGCCCATATGGCCTGCATCAGCTCACGCTTACAGTGCGTGTAGACCTGGCTTGTGCAAGGCTCGCCAAAAATACCCATATATTGATCTTGTAGATCTTCGGGCAACTGAAGATCGGTTTAGAGTTAGATGTATATATAGATATTAATGAAGAACTTACTGTTGGAATGTAGGCGACATGATGACACACAGAGGCAGTCGGTTTGCCTTGAGTATACTTTGACTGGTTGCCAAAATAGAGGTAGAATGGCCAGAGTGATGCGTCGCCAAAATTCGCCAGATGTGTTGCATCAGACCAGAACATGAGTGATGCAACAGTGCGCTTGAGGTCATCACCTGCTTCATGAGGCAGATCGTTGATCTCCTGGTAGGTTTTGACCATTTCAGGGCTAGAGTATGCTTCTGAGAAGACCTCAATGTCCCGTCCATCCGGAGATTTCCAGAACTCACGATAGGGTGTCATGTTGTAAGTTTTTGCGACGTCATCCTGGAAAACGGACTCGATGATATCAGTGATCGATTGATGATGCATGCCAGGAATTTCGAGTTCTGGGGCCTCGGCCTCGGCGTCCCACTTCTCACCCTCTTTAGGTAGCCTGATCTTGATGGCAGATTGGCGCCAGCCATATTCCTGGCAGAATGGATTAGACTTCTTCTCCAGGTAGGCGTCGATATTTTTGGATTCCCGGGTATGGGAAAATGAATTGGCATCACTATTATTAAATGGCGGATCACCAACGAAGCCAGTGAGCTGCTGTAACTCTGCAACTGACTGCTGGCCGGTTCCAGAGTAATGGTAAGCCATAAGGAGGCCAGAGGTTGGGTTGGAGAAGGCTGCGTAGAGGTCGTCCTGTTCGATTACCTTGGACGACAATCCTTCGGTGATGCGACTCAGGTCCAGAACCCGATCACCTCCAGCGAGTGTAGTAGCATCAGTAACATTCTCAAGGGAATTTTCGTGGGGGGGTACACTGGGCCAGGTAGGGTAAATTCGATAGAGACCTGCTTCATTAGGCTCTGTCTCGAAGGGGATGAAAGGAGGGAAGTTGTTGTGATCTGACCGCAGCAGGGAAGGTGTTCGAGGACTAGGTTGATCCACGTGTTGATCCGCGACGACATCATTGTGATGTCCGCATTGCTGACGGGTGGAGGGCGGCATATGCGCAAGGTGAGTCGCTGACCCCGGCAAGAAGTCTGCAAAGCGGGTGGGCATTTGGATTCTCCGTCCAGAGCACTGGGAGACAATAGGTGGGGGTGAGGGAGACGGTGCGCGACACATTTCAATCTAGATGTGTAGTTAGCACAATTCCGCTTTAGAAATCAAATTAATACATACATCATTGTCAATGAAGTTGTCATCCTGATCGACAGACATGAAATCTTGAATCTTGGGTTGATCTGGAATGACGACATCTTCAGGAACGTGCATGTGGGATTGATCACGACATGCCCGCTTGTCTTTTCGCTTCTTCTTCTTGGACTTGCTTTTGCAGGTGAAAAGCTGATCAGTAAACGAAAGATTGAGTGCGCATTGGCTCACATGTGCTGACAGCTGTTTGCATGAGCCGAATGCTGTGCTGCAAGCTATGCAGCAGAGGTCATCAACCATGGATTAAATGAATGCGCAGAAGGGGGGGACACGTCCTCACGAGGTCTCACTATTTGCAGAATTGATGTATCATATTTAAACGGTCCATCTACTGAGAATTTACATTAATTTAACGACTGAAATGAAGCATTAATCCTGCTACACAATGTAAAATACTTGATGGGAACGTACCTTAAACATTCTCTGTGCTCGATCGCACTAATGAGAGTCGCCAGAACTCCACATTGGAGTATCCTGTGAATCCTCGCCAGGATATTTACCCCCGAGGAGGTGGGATCTCGCAGATCTCAGGATAAGGAGTCCTAGTAAAGGCAGAAACTTGAGTGGTATGTTTGGAAGATTTGCGACTCACCTATTAGACATTGATACATACGATTGAAAGTAAGGTCATACGATCGAAAATAATGTGATATCATGATCGAGACATCTGGGAATATCAAATTCAACATCCGCTGGGATATTCCGTGATATGAAGTCCTCGCCAAGTCTGTGGCTATGTTTATCAACATTCATATCAATACCATGGCTAACGTACTTACTGCCCCCGATGCCTGGACCTCTGTCATTAACGGAAGATATGGATCTATGATCGAAAATAAGTACATATGATCGAATGTAATGTGATGTGATCATATGTTGATATCTGTCATGAATTCCAAATATGAACCATTTTTCATTCCTTGGTTTTCCTTCGGCTACTTCTAGTTACCGAACCGGTCACGTGACTTCAATTCCCGTCACTTCTCCAATTGGCTCCCCTACTCCACGAGCTAGAACAATCTCGCTTCTCAAAGAAGAACCGGTCAGATCTTGGGTTTCTGGTTAGTTGCTGTCTTACTCATCTGCTTATATATCATGATGTCATGCTCAGTCATCTGCAGTATCATACAACTCTTTTCTCATTGGCTGATTTCTTTCAGACTCAGATATCTCCTATTCAATGTTATGTATATAAGTAGGTTAGTTAGCGTAAGTACTCCTTAGACTTAACCTCTTCGTTTCTACACTTGTAGTAGACTTAGACGTTCACGCTCAATCCTATCTTGTTATCATCATCTGTGACTGAGTCCTAGTGGTTGTGATCTGATCTTTACCATTCGGTGAATGTTAGTCATAACAATATCAGATTCAATCTCCGCCAGAATCTTGCAGTCATGTCAAGAACGATGACCTCTAACTAACTCAATCATCACTCAATTAATTCTGACCAGGTGCTTTGGTAACCCTCACCCAGATCCCAAAAATCCCACTGCGCCATGGGATTACTATGTCAAGAAAAGGGAGGAGGACCAGGAGGATATGTGAGTAGACAGTGGCCTCCAGGTAATTTTTCCTTCTTGTCCTGTACTACTATACCATGCACTGTACTTAGTATTTTATTTGCTCAATTGTACATTACATGACATTTGTACACCTAGTTTAGGGTTGAGAATGCAAGTTTGGTGTGCTTATGTGTGTGTGAGCCAATCATGAGCCTGGACTAAAAATGGAATTAATCGAGAAAATTGATATCCGGTATCAATTCATTATAACAAACAAACATTAATAACACGTCATTGATCTAATCTGAATCTTTCTCTCTCCAACATCATGGCTCACCGCAAACACTCTAATTCAATTTTGTCTTCTGGATCTAATACTACATCTCCAAGTTCTGAAGAATCTGATGTAAGTACCCGCCCCAGCACACCACTGCCCCAGGTATCCAGCAAACGTGGAAAAAATGCGGCAGATGTGTCCACTAAATCATTGGATAAGGACAGACATAAGTCCAAAAAAGCCAGGTAGGTGACACTGTAATATCAGTTGTTCCAATCAGAACTCACATGCATATAGGGGACATAGTAACCCAGTAACAATTGAAAAGAAGATCGAAACGACAAAAAGGTGAGTTTTCTGTGCAGCCAAACTTCATTTGTTGACAAGATTCTAGAAGATTGTGAAATAAGGTCCTTACGCCGCGGGAGCAGTGCATACACATTGCACATTGGATCCCATGTGGCCTCGATATGTTCTGCGATCTCAAGCAGGCGATCCAGGTGAGTCTACTTTTGGAACAAGAAGCTGCTGAGGCCAAGGACGGAGATGAAATGGAAGAAGAACACATCAAGGCTGCCTGCAGGAAGATTCTGGACACCTGGTAAGTCCAATTGAGTGCATATATGCGCACTCTGACCTCATTCTTGCATACTCACACAATTTTCAGTGATACTCTCACTTGTGCACAGTACATGCGCACATTCAAATACATCAATGAACATGCGCCTTACCTTGGGACTCTAATCAGTAGGAGGAAAAAATGCGATGAGCTCGCACAACTCATTGGCAAGGTACGCATTTTTTTTTACATCAATTGCAACTAACTATGTATTTGCAGATGCAAAATATGATTAATCATATGCGCTCTGAGGACACAAGTCGCCTCAAGTCTTGCATGGGCTCATACGCCGCTCCAAACCCGGACAAAGAGCTTATCCATCCGCCCATCACTGACGACAGCAAGAGCTGCGCTCAAATGGGGTTTAATCACGCCCAGCTGGGCAAATTGTCCTGCTAAGTATCTGGTCGAATACACCAAGGATCCGCATGGGTATGTTTTTTTTAAAAAAGTTATCTGTACTAACAGTTATATCTACAGGATGAAGAACAAGTTTGATAGCGCGTCATTAAAGGTGACCACTGCCTTATGGCCCGCCTTTCTCTATCCAGGCAACACTGCAGGCGAAGATTTTGACCCGGAAGACATTATTGAAGGGCTTTTTCGTGGATATCTTTTGGAGCGGGTAGGTTTTGTTCTTATTATATTGGGCAATACTAATACATACAGGTTACTAAACTCATCTTCACCTCTCCGTCATCTGCACTCAAGGCCAGCGTCTCGAGCGGAACTTGTGCTTGCAATGCAAAGCTCCATGGGATGAAAGAAGTCAGGGCAGAGCATATTGCATATGTGGCGGTCCAGGTAAGTTTTTCTTTTGCAGATTTAACTTACTCAGTCTGTATTTTACAGGCTCGCTTTGCTATTAGCTCGCTTGAGAAATGGAAAGACCATGACGGTCTTTTCTATTACACTGACTTCTATACTAGGATTGTAAATCTTATTTGGGGGAGGAAGGACAAGGGGTGGGTCAACTCCCTGCTAGGACATTATAACGAGTAAGTGAATTTTTGCGCTATGTATTTATTTAAATTGTTCATTGATATAGGAAACTGTTTGGCAATGAAAACGGTGCCAAGCCTTGTCATTCTCTGAACATAGAGTGTTCCAAGGACAACGATATAATTGCCATGGAACGGCAACTCGCCGCACATGCTTCCAGATCCTTGGACACACCATCTGCACCGTCTTCGGCACTTGATAATCAACAAGAGTCACGTGGCAAGTCCATCCCTCCCCCTGATAAATCACCCACTCCAGATCCTCCGATAGCCACCTCGTCTCCTCAAGAGTTGGCGCGCTTCCCTACCCCTGATCCTCCTGTTGACTTGCACAAGGCGCAAGAAGTCTTACCTGCACGCTCTTCTACTCCCAATCCTCCTGATAACTCACACAAGCGCAAGCAAGCCTCCACATCAGCCATTTTCGATGACAAGAGCCCTCTGACTGAAGAAGATGAAGAGATCACTCAACCTACTGAGTGCAAATGAAAGAATGCTGCTGTTCCACCCAAGAAGGCTCTGAAACGCAAGGCAAGGAAATAGTTATTCAAGGTGAGTCACAACTGTCTCATAGTCTGTTCAATACTTATAACCTTCGCTCGCTTGTATTAGGATTCACTCTACCATATCATTTTTACCGTCTCCATTCGCATTCACATCACCTGGCTCATCTGCCCATGTACTACTCTGATGAACTCTACAGTACTCTCATGGACCCGCATGTCTCATTTTTTCGTTGCAGTCTTCAATGACATCACTCATATGCTTTTTTCGTGATATCATGTTCAGGCGATCGGTACGCAGTTACCACTATGACATTAGATTATATTCTACCATACCACATGTATTAGTATAGCTCAATGATAGGTGGTTATTATGGGATATCATTGTGATCTGATGTTATAACTAAATATAAGATGATGCAATCATACAGCACTCTGGAACATGGCAGCCAGTACAGTGGCTCAAAAAACTGTCCACATGTTTGTGCTATTTTCACCATTTACATTATTGTATATGAATGGACAGGTAGACAGGGGATATGTCAGTGGGGTACTCTGTAGTACTCCTTTGGGGCATGAATTTGAGCCCTTGCCCGTGGGAATTTATGGTAATGTGGTGGCACTATAAGCCTTACAAAATGATGACTCATGTGGACAGTTTTTTGACCCTAGATTAAAATTATATAAATCATTTGTTATGACACCATAAAGTCATGCCACTATTAAATAAATTATGAAGTGGTGTCATTATGACATTATTAAACCTATCTCTAAGTATATAATGAAGTGTGTCCCATATATCATAGTCATAATCACCATGAAAACCATCTCCTCTGCTCAAAGGGATAATATCCTTTCTCTGTCTACTACTGGCCTCTCTACTTGTCAAATAGCCTCTAGAACTGGTTTATGTAAGTCTACTGTAGCCAACCTCATCAAAGAATGTCACCCAGACAAGGAAAACTCCAGTGGAGGTCGTCCATCCAAACTCACCTCTACTGATAGGAGGGTCATTATCCAACATATCACCACAGGAAAGGCTGATAATGGAGGATATCCATATACTGCTCAGCATCCATCCTCCCCTCAACTTCTGCAAGCAATCCCACACCATTCCACCCCATACATCCCCATACCATTAAAGAACCTCCTCCAAACTTGAGAGTTCCATTAATCTCTCTGTCTGTAAGAGGGCCCCCCTTCTTTTTCCACACATGTACCTTCCCATCTGACCCAATTCTATTGATTTTAGTCTCATCTGACCTTATGACCTGCTTCCAGTCCTCTACAGTCCAGTTTTGATGGGCTAGGGCAAAGGCTAGTCTTCTCTTCCTATGAGTGATGGAAAGAAGAGGCTTTTTCTTCTTTGTTACAGCCCTAAGATTGGCTTCCTTAAGGACATTCCTCACTGTTTGTGAAGAAACTGGAGTAGGAATGATGGAATTGATATAATGAGTGACTTGGACGGCATTATCAGCCTTTCCTGTGGTGATATGTTGGATAATGACCCTCCTATCAGTAGAGGTGAGTTTGGATGGACGACCTCCACTGGAGTTTTCCTTGTCTGGGTGACATTCTTTGATGAGGTTGGCTACAGTAGACTTACATAAACCAGTTCTAGAGGCTATTTGACAAGTAGAGAGGCCAGTAGTAGACAGAGAAAGGATATTATCCCTTTGAGCAGAGGAGATGGTTTTCATGGTGATTATGACTATGATATATGGGACACACTTCATTATATACTTAGAGATAGGTTTAATAATGTCATAATGACACCACTTCATAATTTATTTAATAGTGGCATGACTTTATGGTGTCATAACAAATGATTTATATAATTTTAATCTAGGGTCAAAAAACTGTCCACATGAGTCATCATTTTGTAAGGCTTATAGTGCCACCACATTACCATAAATTCCCACGGGCAAGGGCTCAAATTCATGCCCCAAAGGAGTACTACAGAGTACCCCACTGGCATATCCCCTGTCTACCTGTCCATTCATATACAATAATGTAAATAGTGAAAATAGCACAAACATGTGGACAGTTTTTTGAGCCACTGTATATCACACGGTCTGGAACGTGGCTGTGACCATATCACAAAAATCGATTTGGTATATTTGTATGTATTCTAGGCTCTATTATAGATACTAGTCACAGTCGTTACAGTGTGTTACAGTGGCTACACGTGTATATATGTCTATATATACGTTGGGGAGTTTTGCTGATGGTGGATCAGGACATCAATATTTGTCAAATTTGTCATATGAGTTGCGTCTCATGACAACTGGCTGAGCAGACTATAATGTCATTTTAATGCACAAGAACAGGCTAAGTGGCAGATACTTCTAATGCAACACATTACCTTCGCACAGCCACTCACAGGGTCACATGTTCGCATTTTCAACCACCTACTGTGGGAACTTCTCCACAACACCCAAAACATAGCTGGGCCATTTTAGGTATTCTCTCAAATATCAACCTTTCCCACACCCTCCCCATCAATCCCTGGCTCACCACTACACCACAATTAGATATAGCCTCTAGTTTAGTATAGGTTATATATGCACCTCCTGCCCACTTTCAAGACTATTTCTTTTTTCATCCCAAAGTTCCACCTTCCTGCTCATATCAAGGAGTGTCAAACCTCATTCTCATTCAATTTCAAGTGTGGGGTTGGTCGGACTAATGGAGAAGCACCCGAGCATGGCTGGGCCAATATCAACCCCGTTGCTTCAAGTACTAAATAGATGGGTCCTGGTGCATGGCGAGACACCCTTGACAACTACTTTGGAGACTCAAATTGGAAAAAGGTAGTTAAACTTGGTTCATACATTTTCATTGAAATCATACTTTATTGCAACTGGATACCTTAACCTCAACTACTCCAACACTCGATTGTGCAGAGTCGTCTTGATAATACATCGACCCCTTACTATGCTGAGGCAGTTTTGGTCTTGAAGAGTGTATTTGGGCTGACCTCCTTTATTATCAGGTCATACTATGCTTCACAAGATGAAGGATGCATTACCGGAGTGACAGGATCATCACAAAGCCCTTGACAACCTTGAAGAAGGTTTGAGAGGTGAATATAGTGCCACTCTCGCCCAGTGGAGAGAACAGGTGGAGGCTTGGGAGCATGACCCTGCAAAGCCAAATCCTCTCGAACAAAGGGTGGAAAGTATGTATGGATCATCATCAGTCACTGTGTGCTGATCTTTCTGTGCATTGTAACTATCACTATGGCTTCTGTGTGACTGGAACTGGCTAGGGATGACCAGAATGATATTCAAACAGGGACTTGCCTTGTGCTACATGAGGACTGTACTCCTAGTGTATTGATCAGTACCGGCTTAGAACTTGAGGAACAACAGTAAGTCCCCCAAGCGCTGCATATGAGATCTTGGACTTACTTTTTTCTAGATGGCAAATGAAAGCTGACAGAGCCGGCCTTGGAGTCCATGCATCAGACAATCAAGAAGGGAAGATACTTCAGCAGAATAACACTCTGCAATGCAAGATCGACACCTAGACTAAATTACAGGAACTATACATGCCGTCGCTCGCTGCACTACGTGTCAGCGAGAGTTCAGTATCTGGTGGCATAGCTGCTGCAGTAGCTACACCAGAAACCATCACACTCTGGCTACCATCCCAAATCAGCAGGACAGCACCTTGCATCAGTAAAAAGTGGGGCTGCAGGGTAGTACTACATAGCCTATGTTGTGTGAGTAGTTGGGTAGCTACCCCCCCTCCCACTCTCAAACACCTGGTAGCGTGGTGTTGTCACAATATAGCTTGCAATAGTGCTTGGTGGCTGCTGAGTCCAGTACCTGCATTGCAGAAGTAGGTTAATGTAGTACTCTATAGGACCAACCATATGTGTGGTCGTCGGCAGTATAAGTCTATAGTTGACAGTAATTCCACACAGTCACTCAAACCATTTGCAAAACTGTCAAAATAGCATGCATTGGCAATACTATGATATAGTGATGTACCCTACTACTCATCTTCGTCATCATCACTCGATACACCCCTGCATTCGTTGTACTCCTTGATCGCAGCCTCAAATGCACTACAAGCCATGGTGCAGCCAATTTCATGACCAAGTGGGTCAGCCTTTGATTAAATGCTGAAGAATGAAGGTAAGATAAATTAATAAGGCCAAGCATGAAGACATACCGGCCATTATCATGCAGACGTGACAACAGCTTGGGTAACAGGCCTTGAGCCTTGGTGTGTTCGTCAAAGTCCATGAGGTTGTTGAGATGTTCGTTGAGCACGTCCTGATACTCATCCACAGTGAACATCTTGTTCGTTTGAGCTCCACTGCTCCACTCGTCGATGCAACTTTCAATCTGACGGCAATCAGCACTCAATCCCCATGGCCAAAAAAAACGGTACCGCAGTCAAAAGCAATGCAAAGCCAACCTCTGGGAATGGTTTGTAGAACTCGGGATATAGCACACCTTCTGACAAAACCAGATGATATTCCACATCCATCCGACCCATCCTAAACCCATCCGCGGGTATCTGTCACTCGCATGTGTGGTCGGATGCAAGTGCATGCGCTTGGATACATAATAAGGTGCATCAGATTGTTTCGGAATGTTTCGGGTGTACATGTAATAGTGAGTGCGTTCAATACAAGTCATGGACTCATAGGCGATATGCATGGTCGGTTAGCAAGCGGGTTTTTGCCCATATATTAGAGGTGCTTTGGTACATACTTTCCCTCAGTCATTTCTATCACCTCCTTTGGCAGCGGCTGAGGTATGTCTTCACTTACATTCATTTATACCACAGTGTAGCTAATCTAGAGTAGTGCGGATCCCATCCGCTTTACTTAGGTGAATACAGTCGTTTCTATTGCCTCCTTTGGCAGCGGCTGAGTGCGGATGCCATCCACTTTACTTAGGTGTATCCGCAGACCCGATCTGCATTGCTTAGGGTACTAACAGATCACATCCGCTTCACTCAAAGTTTTGTCACCTTTGTCTTTCTTGTCGCGGAACCATATGGTGTTGACCCCCTTCTGGATAATCTTGGCACCGTATAAGCCTTTGTTACCATTTGGGGAGCAAGTCTAGAAAGACCGTGTTGAGCAAACACACATGGCAAGGTAATAGGTACTTGCCTTATAAACGAAGGCAAAATCCTTCTTGAGTTCCCGTGCGAGCATGATATTGCGATCAATGACAGATTGCTTGGTGCTCGTCTCAAACCCGTACTCATCTGCGACATATGGCCGGACTTTAGTCTTGACTTTGCCATGAAGGTGGGAACCTTGCGAAGTGATCTAGGTAGCACATTAGAGATAGAATATTCGCGATCAAAATCACTGACCATTTTTAAAATCTCTGCATCATAAGCAACTTGAGTATGTAACCTCTTGCATGCTTCTTTCCATGCTAACTTGGCCCACATCACCTCCTGCATATGGTCAGGCATAGGACCCTCCATGCAGAGACGGCCACAATAGAGGGCCCATGCAACACCAAAGATGGTGCAAACAAATGGTTCGTAATTGGCAGCCTTTGGCCGCCCCTTACTTTCCTGGATCTTGACAGCCTTCCACACTGGCCCATTGTTGTTGTCATCACCGTCAGATGCTCTGCGGCAATATTTGCCCACACATTCGATGCTGGGGGATGGAGACCTACTACCTTCATCACCAATATAGTTGTTGTTGTTGTCAGCTACGAGCGAGTCATTACCCTGGTCCCCATCCATGTTGAAGTCGACCAAGCCTTCAATAGCTTCGTCGAATAGGGCCTCGTCCATTGGGCTAGGAGAGCGAGTCATAGTATTGTTGAGGCCCAAACTAGGGTGGGGACCACCTGCAAGTGAGTAGACATAGTAGGCTGCTATTAAATTCGGCACAATTTAAATAAATACAGGTACTCACCTCGAGACAATGCAGCAACTGGACTCATTGCTTGTTTTGCCAGCACAGCCTCATGCAGTCGCAACAGCTCAGCCGCTTTTTCTGGTGTCAATGTGTTGAGACGCGGAGTCATGTTCTAGTATTACTAGTCAATGAAAAAGCACAGTGTCATAAATAGCCATACCAATGTGACCCGGTGTGGCGCGAGCAGCACTGTACTGTTCCGTGCAACCAAGTCTGGGCCCCTGGCAGGTGTTGACACAGTTTGACTTGAAAACTAATAGCGCCAGAGTGATTAAAATCAACTACTGAATGTAAACCTAACAAACCCCAGGATCGTTACCCAACGTCACTGCAGAGACTTGAGTGCGTCCAGTATTATTCTGGTAAGCTTCGCGTTCGGCAGCCTTGCTTGCCTTCTGACAAGCCTTCTCTTGATGTTCCTGGGCCTTATTGACCTGCTGGTGCTGGCGATTTTCTTTGTCCTTGTGAGTCTCAGCTTCGAATGAAGATCAAATTAATATGACATGAAAAAAATGGTAATATGATGACTTACAGATATACTGAGCTCTCTTAGTAGGATGGTGATCACGGCGGACCGCTGGACGTTCAACTGCTGACATTCTGTTGGAGAAGATGGAGTGTATCAGAAATGATGGGGGGGGGGAAGAAAGATCAACAAAGTTGACGACACAATCACGATTAAAGATCATCAATGTTGATGACACGATAATGATTATTTGCTAGCATCGTGCACCGATATTGCCCAACAGTTGTGACGGCGACAGTTGTGACGTCTACATAGAATCTACCTAAGTGCCTTCACTCAGAACTTCGAGTCTTGAAAAATGTCATACACCAAGCAGAAACTGCGCTGTAATTTCTGTCTCAAAGAGCTGAGCAGACACAAAGATGTAACCTTACACATTCAAAACACTCCGAAATGTCGCCAACAATAGGACCTCATGGTTTCGCATCAAATCACCAGGTGTTCTGAACAGGTTGGCAGCCAATCTAGCACATCAGATACATTAACACCCCCAGACTATGAATATGACATACCCGAAGATGTCGACTACGAATTTCCACTCAGATCAAGATACGAGCCCGAGGACACAGAGTCTCTGACAGATTCTGGCCCCCAATCCAAATGTGCGAGAGTGGAGGAGGTAGCTGACGAAGAAGAGCCAACACGATTTATCAAGGTCTTCCTGTGCCCAGTTGCAGATGTTTTGGGGGTCGGACAGACTGTGTTTGAAGAAATTTGGCAGGCTCAGGTTGACATTGGTCTGGAGGAAAATCCATGGGCACTTTTTGATGGTGAAGATGAGTGGGGCCTTGCCGAATGGCTTTCGAAGAGAGTCAACAAGACTGCCACTGATGAATTCCTTAAACTTGCCATTGTAAGTCTCCGCCATGTCTTGCCATCTTCTGTCACCGACCAAACCACCTACCTAGACGAAAAATCACACTCAGCCAAGCTTTACGAGCAACTATACATTCCAAAAGAAACTCAATAAACTACCTACAGGCCCTGGATGGACCTGAAAAATAGTCACGTCAACAGGAGATTGAGTGGGTGGAGATCAGAAGCCATTAACGGAACAACACGAACTTTGGCAGCGCAACCCTGTGGAGTGTGTGCGTGATTTGATTGGTAATCCTGCATTCAAGGATTACCTTTCATATGTTCCCGAGAAAGTTTATGCTGATGCGCAAGGGAAGATGCAGGTATATGATGAGATGTGGACCGGTGATTGGTGGTGGAACATGCAGGTAAGCGAGGCAAATGTGTGAGATTGAATGTTAACTAATTGTGACATTAGGAACACCTACCTTCAGGTGCCGTTGTTGCTCTGGTAATACTCACATCTGACAAAACAAATCTTACCCAATTTTGTGGCGATAAAGCTGCATGGCCAATATATTTGACCATCGGAAATATCAAAAAGGACATTCGCCGTCAGCCTTCTAAGCATGCAACAGTGCTGATAGGATACTTACCAATTTCGAAGATGCTGCATTTCAAGGATGATGAAGGTTGGCAGATTGGTCGTTATCGTCTGTTTCATAACTGCATGCAGTTGGTGACAAAGCCACTTGTTGATGCCAGCCGTCACAGAGTGGATATGATCTGTGCCGATGGGAATATCCGACGTATTCATCCTATTCTCACAGCGTATATTGCAGATCACCCTGAGCAATGCCTGATTGCCTGCTGTAAAGAAAACCACTGCCCTCGTTGTGTTGTAGGAACAAAACATCGAGGAGACCACTTTGACTCACCTCTTCGAGATGTCAATGAGACTCGAGCCACTCTCGAACGCCATAAAAACGGCGAAGACCCTCACCTTTTTGAAGATCATGGTCTTCGCACAATACATTTTCCATTCTGGGCACATCTTCCACACACCGACATTTTCTTGTGTATCACTCCGAATATTCTACACCAGTTACACAAGGGTGTTTTCAAAGACCACATTGTGAGCTGGTGTTCTACCATCATCTCTGATGCAGAGTTCAACGCACATTTTCAAGCCATGTCCGATTTTCACGGTCTCCGTCACTTCAAATGGGGAATTTCGACTGTCTCTCAGTGTTCTTGCACGGAGCATAAAGAGATGCAATGCGTTGTCTTAGGCATCATTGCTGGTGCTGTTGAACCCCATGTGTTCCGGGCTGCGCGTGCTGTTCTCAACTTCATTTACTATGCTCAATACCAAGCTCACATGGACACGACTCTCGCACGGATGCAGGAAGCACTGGATGTGTTTCACATGAACAAAGCCGTCTTTGTCGAGCTCGGGCTTTGTCAACACTTCAACATACCCAAGGTTCACTCAATGCGCCACTATGTGCAGTCCATCCGAGCATTGGGCAGCGCAGATGGTTTCAACTCGGAGAGCCCTGAATGCTTGCATATTGACTATGCGAAGGATGCTTACCAGGCAAGCAGCAAAGTAGATTATATTGCGCAAATGACTCATTGGCTCAAACTTCAAGAAGCCGTCTTTCGACACAGCATATTCCTCAATTGGGTCGCATCGAAAAGTGGACTCGGCAGATCTCTCGCCTTAGATTTGCTTGAAGATGAGGATGAGGAACCAACATTCGCGGATTCAGACATCACCCCATCAGGTCTACTGGCATCGCATGGTTAGCGTGTTGCCAAGAGCTGCCTGTTTCTCGCCGTCTCCATGTCTCGTTTGCAAACAGATTTTGGTGCTGTTGACTTCATCCCCACGCTTCAAACATTTCTCACCCATCACTTTCCCCATTCCTCTATTTCTGCAAGCCAGTATGACCGTTTTGACTTATTTAAATCAGTTTTACTTCTGCTCCCTCAGCGAGACCACATTAGTGACCTCAAGCGGCTGAATCGAATTCACACTCATCCAGCTATTCCCAATCGCGATCGCCACAAGCCACCTTCACCTGCACACTTTGATGTGGCATTTGTGGTTGAGGATCACCAGCTAAGGGAGTGTGGTACAGGCTTGGATGGTATGTCAATCACTCTCGTTGTTGGCCCATGATGTTGAGACCTTGGCCACAGGCTTGTGGCTCGCACAAATACGTGCAATTTTCAAATTACCCTGTCACTACGGCAAATTTCCTCATCCGTTGGTGTATGTCAAATGGTTTCGACCTCTGCATGATCCAGAACCTGCGACCAACCTCTATCAACTTGCGCGTTCGACTCGTAACCAACGGTGTTTCGCATCTGTCATCAGTGTTCAAGACCTTCTGCAAGCAGCGCACCTGATGGCCAGGTTTGGATCGAGTAAGGTAGATGTATCGTGGATCAATGGTGATGTTCTGGAGCTCGCTGACGAGTTTTATGTTAATCCTTATATTAATTTTCACATTTTTGATACTATAGAGCGCTTGTACTAGCGCAAGTGTTGCATCACGCACAGCTGTTGTTCATATAGTTGCATTGCTATACATAGCCCCTTCACATCGACAGACTAGACTACCTACAGCTATGGAACACGAGGGTATGTCTACTGCTGCGCAGATGTTACATGACTGTCTACCTCGAGCTATCAAGTCTCCCAGGCACGACGTAGCGTTGGCATGGCACTACGAGCCAAATTGCTTTTTCCAGATGTGTGACACCCACCTCCAAACCATTGAATGGAAGCTCTGGTATGCACAAGCTCACGATGCATTCCATTCCCTACATTCAAACTTGCATGCTCAGACTGCAATCCTCAAGTATAAAGATCGCAACCTTCATGGTCAAGGTGTGAATACAAGGGCACAGAATACACTCAAAGCTGTTGAAGCAAGGCTTGAGGCCACTGCCAGCACATACAGTGGCTCAAAAAACTGTCCGCATGTTTTCACATTTTTCACTATCTATGATATTGTGTGAGAATGTACAAACACATCAAGGACATGCTGGTACCATATTGTAGTACTACTTCAGGGCTTCCAATTGAGCCCTATGGCGTGGGAATTGGTCGAGATATGGTGGAGATATGAGGCTTACAAAATGATGACTCATGCGGACAGTTTTTTGACTCAAGTATTTTACAGTGATAATCAGGTATTCTAGTACATTGTGTAACCTCCCTTGGCTTTAATTACTGCCTCTATCCTTCTAGGCATACTCTCAATCAATTTCTGGCAATATTCTGCTGTAATCCTTGCCCATTCCACTGCTACTCTCTCCCATAGCTCCTATACTCCTTTAGGGGGGGTTTCATAGGCTTGAAGCATCTTCTTGAGTATTCCCCAGAGATGTTCAATGACATTGACATCAGGGGACTGTGCTGTTCAGTCAAGAACATTGATATTATGTTCTTTAAACCATTGTCTGGCTCTCCTAGATGTGTGCTTGGGATCATTATCCTGTTGGAAAATGATGTCTTCTTCATCAATCCCTGAGTCAGCTATGCTAGGCAGCAAGTGGTCATTTAGAATGTCCACATACTGCTCAGCATCCATCCTCCCCTCAACTTCAGCGGGCATACCCACACCATTCCATCTCATACAGCCCCATACCATTAGAGAACCTCCTCCAAATCTGACAGCCTCACTAACCTCTCTGTCTGTTAGAAAATCCCTCTTCTTTTTCCATACATATACCTTCCCATCTGACCCAATCCTATTGATTTTGGTCTCATCTGAACATATAACATGCTTCCAGTCCTCTACAGTCCAGTTTTGATGGGCCAAGCCAAAGGTAGTCTTTTCAGCCTATGTTTAATAGAGATAAGAGGCATTTCTTCTTTGTTACTGCCTTGAGATGAGCTGCCTTGAGAACATTCCTCACAGTTTGTGAAGAGACAGTGGTGGTGATGGTGGAATTGGTATGATGGGTGGCTTGGAGGGCATTATTAGCCTTTCCTGTAGTGATATGTTGGATGATAGCCCCCTTATTAGCAGAGGTGGACGTCCTCCACAAGAGTTTTCCTTGTCCAGGTGGCTTTCTTTGATACACTTGGCTGCAGTAGACTTGCATACTTCAGTTCTAGAGGAAATTTGATGAGCAGAGAGGCCAGCATAGGACAAAGAGAAGATATTATCCCTTTGAGTAGAGGAGACGGCTTTCATGGTAATTATGACCATGACACATGAGACATTCTGGTTTATATAGTTAGATATAGTTTTAAGAGTATGCCTAGAAGGATAGAGGCAGTAATTAAAGCCAAGGTAGGTCACACAATGTACTAGAATACCTGATTATCACTGTAAAATACTTGAGTCAAAAAACTGTCCGCATGAGTCATCATTTTGTAAGCCTCATATCTCCACCATATCTCGACCAATTCCCACGCCATAGGGCTCAATTGGAAGCCCTGAAGTAGTACTACAATATGGTACCAGCATGTCCTTGATGTGTTTGTACATTCTCACACAATATCATAGATAGTGAAAAATGTGAAAACATGTGGACAGTTTTTTGAGCCACTGTATGAGTGTGCCCATAAGGCTCTCGTAGTTCTTGCACCACTGCTGAATCAGACTGGGTGGCACTCCTCACTGTGGCCACTAAACCGAACCGATATTCGCTCGATGACTGATCTATTATGGGTGGAATCAGAGGGCATCAGCAAAATCTCACATTTCCTTTTCGGTCTTGTTTGTATTATTCATCTGAAAAAAGTCGCTAAGTAAAACAAGGAAACCTCTGATGTTACTTATCCTACTGATACCACTTGTTACAAAAACGATTCAAACAAATGGTGTAGTATAAGATGCAAAAGTGAATTTAAGTGTGATAAGATATTTTTGTAGTATAATATTTAACGAGTATACTGTCGACCATCGGCGCTGAGCAGTGAGTATCTGCGAGCATAAATCCAATAGATGCATTCTGCCCGTCTTGTTGCGGATGTATTGTCCAAGCGATTTCATGTCCTGCTTGACATGAGTGTATGTTCGATGATTGACCCAATTGACTTGTGACAGGTAGTGATATAAATCAGTAAACTACAATTTTGTTTCCAGCACTCACAGCGTGAACACCAACTGTGACAGTTCTCCCCAATGGCCCACAGTGTCCCAGACGAACACAATCTGGGCCACGGCGACCTCGCATTTTTCACACGCTCTCTAGTTCGAGCAAATTTTCAGCTAAGTCCCAACTTCTAACTCTCACCCTTATACCGTTCACTGTTTTCAACAAGGGCGGGACCCACTGCTGTCGCCATCGCTTATGGCCTCGACAAGAAAGTCATATGCGAATGTAATGTGTCTGCATGTCTGTACCTACCCCCGCGTGTTTTCACTTGGTGCCGTTTGTGTCACTCACCACCATTCCAGTCCCCACAGGTCGCCAGAACCCAGTCAATAGCAAGGGTGCTGCATGCTACACCTTAGGACGTCGCTCGACCATACTCCCCTCATCAGTAGAATTTAATTCAAACCCTCACGCATCGCATTTGGCCCAGTGGGCCTCCTTCAGTCCCCCAAGTCAGTTCCCCCTTTTGGAGCTCAGTACCATGCTTTGCTCATATCTCGCCTGTATCTGCGCCGTTTCCCTCGATTCCGGATGCGTTGGAACGCCCTCGTTCGCCTCGTCATTTCGATACCACGCTTACCCTACCGCGCGTCGCACTTACTGTGCAGTACACCTGCAATACACGACCTCATTTGTAACATTTTTTCTCCCCCCACTTTTGGCAATATCACTGACTTCCTTTTTTTTTATATCTCGACAGAATGCTGTATCATGACCCGCCCATACTATGTCAACACATTTATTCCATTTTTACCCCCGCCTTCGTATTGGTCCTCGCCGCCATCATCTTGAAGTATTTGCTCATTCGTAATTTCTACCGCTTCATCTAACAATATTTGATATTCACGTGTTTTCTGGATCCTATGAATTGATTATTTTGCGGCATTTCATTACTTTGCTTATCCTACTGTTTGGATGCAATAATCACTTTTTCTACTTACTGCCAAAGGGATAAGTGAGATTAAGAAGAAAATCAGAGATCGACTGGTCTGAATAAGTCGCTGTTTACTTATCCAGCGCTCCTGCTTATTTGTGCTTATTAAGTCATTTAAGTACATAAAGGGAATCGAAGGTTTTGCTGATGGGGGACAAGAAAACTATCTTGGATCTGGAATATGCGAGGAGCTGTACCTGACGAGATGGACAATGACAATGCTTTGGAAGGCGAGTACTTTTTTTCTGTTTTGGAGGCTTCCTAAGGTTTGCGGTTAATTAGATATGCGAATCAAATGGTGCAAAGCCAGGGCACAGGCAATGCGCTGGGCTGAAGAGGTGGAGCTGCTGAAGGGAGAGATGCGGAGGATCCTACAATTTTTCGAATGGCATGCGCAATGCTGGGACGAGCGAGGGCTAGAAGATACCTTACACAACATGGATGATGATGATGAGCGCGAGGGACTGATAGCATATGCCAAACGTCAAGCTTCGTTATGTCGAAGGCTCGCTGAGTCCTTCAGCACTAGTTGGACTGACACCTTGGCACTGGCGGACATATTCAACGACTCACTCGTCACTCAGCAAGACATGGACATCGATTGATTAGTACCCATAGTACATGCATACGTAGCAAGATCCAATATAAATTTGTGCTAGCATTAGCTGTCTCATTCAAACGAGTAGTAGGTGTATGCAAATGTGGGAGGGCCAACGGGGAGGCAAGAACAAGCGGGCGAACAGGCGGGTAAGATGCATCAGTAAAATGGGCAAGCGGAGCACTATGCATCAGCGGGAGGGAGCTGATGCATTAGCGAGGAGAAATGGTAGTATAATTGCAGCAATGATGCATCACGGGTGCGCTACAGTTACCCTGTTTCATGCATCAGCATGCCACGAACCTGTGAACGAAGAGGATGCTCATCGCACTCTGAACGCAAGATAAACTAAACTAAATGTTGCTCGGATCAGAAGACGTGCGGGCCATGCCCAAAGATGAAGACTGAACAAGGGATAAGGTCAACTCACGTGCAGAGGCGAAATCGTCTACGTGTACGACACCGCCAAGACCAAATGCTTCCTTGAGCGTCTGGATTCCAGCGGTGTCATTCACCGCGTACATCCAATCCAAGTAGGCAATCACTGACTCTACATCGGAAGAACAATTTCGTGGCATGTAGTTGCGAATCGGGGTAAAATAGTTATAATAGTCACTGTTTGTAAGAGACGGAATGACCACATTGTATGCGGGTCAACGGTGTTTTATGGAAGGAGAAGCGTTTCATCACGTTAATGGGAGATGGGAGGTGATTGCAATAGAACTGACATACGTGATTGTCTCCACGACGGCAGAAGATGCGTATCCAGCCCAGAAAATTCCCGGTTTGCTTTAAGTCAATCACCATGCTGACACAACAGGGGTCAATGTTGATACTCACTTGACCATCGTCCAGCTGGTGAGGGCTCCCGAGTAGCTTCCTCCAATCAGTACCCATGGCGTCTGACCTGGCTTCACAGCATCACCTCCAGACATCGGAAGGTCGGCGGTGGCGGCGAAATACACGAGATCATCAATGGCCTGTTGGATGGTAAGGAGAGCGAGGGATTGTGACGTGAGGTTGTCGTGTGGATTGGAATCGCCAAAGAAACGGTGTTCAACAAGGATGGCTGCACCTTTCTGATGTTGAGCAATGAGACCATTGATGGAGCCGTTGGTAACATAGATTTGGTAATCTGAAAATCAAGTACTTGAGAGAGAAAGGAAACGATGTAAGTATGATGAAACTAACCATCTGCGTCAGTTTCTCCAGGTGTCATCAATATGATGGGACCACCTTCAACGCATCGTGTTAATGTCACTTGAAACTGCACCTCAATCATCAGGACATACCGGGCTCATAAAACTCCCAGTTCATCCAATATCGCTGTTGGAAGGTTCCGAGGCCTGGATCATTGTGGTCGATGAGCTGGTCGAAGTAATAGACGGTCTTGATGGGTGGGAGTGTTGTGCCATTCGGGGAGGTGACAGGACGTTCGGGCACTGAGATTCTTGGGAGAGAAGGCCTGCCACGGAGCATAGCATTAGAGATCGCCGCTCGGGCGACACCTGCAAGTAGGAGCGTCGCAATGGCCCACATCATGTCGAGCTTTGATCGCAAGGATGGAACTTACACAACATGATCATGGTGGAGGAAAGGCTTTATATGTAGCCATAACATCGAGTTGCCGATTATGCGCGTGCTACATGCTTGGCATGAGGATATACATCAATTGGACGGAGCTGCAGGGTAATGATTCGGGTTGCTCAACGGCCTAATGTGCCCAGCTTGAAGTCGGTGAAAGAATCGTTACGTGTGGATTTACTACTGGTGCTCAGCGATCAGCGGCCGCATTCAAAGTTGCAGCTCGCACGACTGCGATGATTGTTGAAAATTTTGGCAATATAATTATGCCTGCCGACGGATATTTGGAAGTTCGCCGCTTGAATCAAGCGGAAATGCCAACGTGCCCTGGGAATCATCTTACAGCGGTCAAGTGGAGAAAAACTGCACGTGCCAGAATACTTCACGGATGACCAGGATTGTACCGTAGTCTCCCAAAAGGTGGTATAGTTGCCCACCTCGCCACTTCTGTACTGCAGAAGAGAGGCAGTGATGTGGGAAGAGCGCGCGATTTCCCTCCTCAACGTCTTGTCGATGTGTTGATAAGTTTGCTGGCTGAAGTGTGGTAATCGCGCTTGAGCTCCCGGCTGTCATAATTACACGTTTTGTGACCTTAGGTCGCTGGATTCACAGCTAAGAACACTTACTTATGTCAAAGTAAGCCGATCCTGTTCCAAGAAAAGACCGTTGCCACCGAAAAAGGTGCACGTCAACGGTAGCAGTTTAAGGATGTGACAAAGTTGTTGTTGGACTTGAAGGAGGTTAGCTGTGAATGGTGTTAGGACACAGGAGCGCACCCACAAATTTGTTATTGATCCGAACCCAAAGATAGCGACACCGATGAAGGGTATCGTAAAGTGTGAACCTTGGCCTGGGTAGACCATAGCCATACCAACTAATGTAGCTCAGATCAGTAACAACAGCGTCCATCTCACAATAGTCCCATGTACTGGAACCAACAAGTAGCCGAATATCAGAGTAGGAACGCGCATCCCTTTCCTCCAATCTCTGTAGGGAGCTAGACGTAAAAAAGGGCTTCGGGTGATGCGGTCAAGGTAGAAGGCAGTCTTGACGTACGTACGTATATCACGGAACATGGTAGCAAATACGAATTCAACCCAATTTTTCAATGTACGCCAGACTTACCCGGTTCCGATGCTGAAGTGGTACACTTCCGAAAAGAGATCTGGGCGCAAGTTTTTGATATTCGTCGCTGTCCTGCTGGGCGAATATGATCTTACCAGGGAATGTAGCAAACCTCAAGTAGAAGATTCTTAGTGTTACAGTGCTACTGCTGACCGTACATTCTAGATAGATGACACTTAGCTGCGTGATCCCAAATTGAATTGAACTTACAAACATGTATGTATAAGCTCAGGATGAAGCATAGGAAAATCCAGGTCAAGAGTATGATATGACAGATCGCCTCCCGAGATTGATTCATAAGTAAGCCCATTGGTTCTGGTGGTGTGCGTGAGGACATGATGTCTTGCTTCCATTTCGAGATCCGGGGTCTCAAAACAGGATCATAACTGGTGTGATAGCGGGACCTTGTCAGATGGACCTGAGATCTGAAGTCGAATCGAGGTGGCACGATGTGAAACGCACCTATCAAGGGTTCATCATCATAGAAGTGCCATAGTTGAGGCGTCGAGGCACGATCGTGTAATCTTAGAATGAAGCATATAAAACTCTGGGTCGAAAGTATGATCGGTCGCTTGTTCCATAAATAAGCCCATTGGTTCATCTGGTGAGCGGTCTTGTGTGGTGAGGACAGGATGTCCTGCGGCGGCTACTTCGAGATCAACGAAGCCTGATGACTGGTGCATATGATTCTAAGACCGGTATATAAATGGCACAATAGCGGCACCTTGCCAGATGGATCTGAACTTGAATCAAGGTGGTACGTTGTGAAACGCATCTATCAAGGGTCCAGCATTGTAAAGTGCCACAGCCGAGGCACAATTACATTCCGAGAAGAGGTTCGGAAAGACACCTTCGCCGCATGTTACAGAACACTCCCCGCCTAATTCTTTAACGAAGTTTCGATAGCAGGACCTCGCCAGATGTAATTTGAACTCGAGTCAAGGTAGCAGACTGTGAAACGCACCTATCAAGGGTCCAAGGCTGTATAGTGTCATCGTCGAAGCACGTTCACGTCCAGGCCGCTATCAACACCTCCGCCACACGCTATGGGAGCACTCCCTGCCAAACAAGTTTTGCAGAGAGTAAGCGAAGTTGCGAGCGCAGTGGTTCCATGACGTACCCAGACACGGAAAACCGATGAAATGTGTTTATCTCTAACCCACATCAGTCATCGTGCTGCTGTCGTTTCTGCATATCGTATCATCAACAGTACGCGAGAGTCGGAGTCGGAGTCCATCATCTGACCTCCTCTGAACTGTTACTCGATGGTGACAGGTAGTGCTCTTGGCCAGTCGCAGAGAAAATAATTTTGGACGGGAGATTCCGTGGTCCTGGCTGAGTGGCTGTAGTCCGTCCCTTAGAAGGTTGTCCCTTGCAATTGGAATTCATGTCCGGTTCAACATAATATTGCGGTGCAGACAGGAAAACATTTCCTGAGACGATTTCAGTCAAAGATACTGTTGCGGAATTTGCAACACTAGCTAGATAATCGAGACTGCCGGTGGGGGAATTGGTTTCTAAGTAATGATGAATGCTAACTACTTTTGCCATCATGTTTAGACTCCAATAATTGCTACATCTTCGACAGATATCTGAACCCAGGCTGTTGCATACGCCAATCTTTCGGTGAGTTTGCTTGCCGCATTCAGTGCTTTCATGGGCAAGCAGTGGCTTGGGCACTGCAAAGGAAGCCGCTATGGCCATAGCTCACCTGATGATGCGGCAGGAGACGCGGAAAGAAGAGGGATGGGCTGAATATCTTGCATTTCGAGGGTACATTCAACCGTGATTAACATGCGGACGGTATTCTCGACATTGCCTACAAGGTGCATCTCTTTTATCACTACTTACTAGGTACTGGGTCATATGAATGGGCAAGAAAACCGGTGTATTTGACCCGACATCGAAGTTTGTGCGCGTGTACGTACAGGTCGTCTACTCTACACCGAGTTTCATGACTACCTCAGGAAATTGAATCTGGGTTACTGACGACGACGACAGTGACAACGACGAATTAATCCTGACGGCGGACATAGAAGTGGAGAAGATACTGCACCAACTCCTTCTATCAAAAGCCTCAAGAGTAGATTCGAACAACTTGCGCAGGAGACAGGACCCTAACCTCATTCCCGCCATGACAAGACTAGTTCTAGTTCACCGCGGAATGCCTCAGAGTTGAGTCCAGGCCAAAATCGTGCACCGCCACCGCTTCCGTCCCGCTCTGCCAAGAAGGCAAGTCAATCACCTGCTGTCTCTCCAATCGAGTCTGGACCTACTCCCTCTATCAAAAGTCTCAGGAGTAGGTTCGAACAACTCGCGCAGCATGTTGCAGCTCGAGGTTTGAGTCGACAATCAGTTGATATACCTTCAAGGTGATCCCACTGATGAGTCGCGGAGTCGCGGACTACTTATCTGAGTTTTCGGAGGACGGATGTAGTATATAAGTATGTACAAAGGCAAGAACCGAATAATGTAATCGGATCCTCTTATTGTTACTCGTCTCTCGCTCGTAGCTCTCTTAACAAGACAGGAGAACGCCGGCGCGGCACCCAAACCTCAGGCCTCATTCCCCCCATGGCCCATGACCCAAGGGAGAATTTCTGGAACGACACAACAGTGACACGGACACTATCTTGTTCTTTTTATAGTTTTATGTTGTGAAAATCTTTGTCGTGTACATGCTAAAAGCGAACAATTCAGTCTGGACACCTAATATTTCATCATATCCATGGGGACACATATCTTAGGGACCCGAGCGACACGACCAACGCCCTCTTAACCCAGCTAGTTCAGATCGAATTGGGCAATACTTTGCACCTGGGCCAACGCCAGCAGCACCAACGTTGACTTGGTCACCATCCTCGATAGACATCTGGACCCAGGCTGTTGCATTCACCAGTCTTTCGGGTATTCTTGACATTGCCTACAAGATGCATCTCTATCATCACTACTTACTAGGTACTGGGTCGTATTAAATTTCGTACGCTTGCAGTCCACATGTTCTGAGTTGTTTTTTTCTGCCGACCCTAGAATGGTTCTGCCTATACTCTCTCCCAGAAGTTCCCCAGGCGCAACCATTCTGATAGAATTGTCGGCAGTACTTTCGCAGAAAAAAACTATTTTCTAGGACATAAAAGCAAGCCGCCTTTCTACTGCCAGTATCAGATCCATTGTTCGAGATTCCCCTTGACGCATCATATTACCTAGCATAAACTATGCGTTTCTCATTCCTCCTCGCTTTTGTTCTTCCGTTGACAACATCTACACCTCTCAGTGAACGTCATCGCTGCGTAGGTCCCATACGAGGTTTGCAAAATCGGACAGGAATGCTGTTTCCATTTCACTTGTGAGAGGGATGTGAGTAGGAGTCGTTTCATTCAACCCTATGACTCACCCCTTGCGACTTATACCAACAGCCTTTCTTTAACGACGTGCCGTACTGCCAGTAACCCTCTCAGACTGAGTATGTCGCGACAGTGAGTTGTGTTTCTGCTTTCGCGTTGGTACAGTGGTTGATCACATGATATGCAGTTCGTTGCGGAGTTGATCAATATGCTTACTTTTGTACAATTTACCTGCTGCCTTGATCAGGCTCTTGAATAACATGAAAACCTCCCGCATGAATTCTGTGCTATTGATCAAAGACACTGATGCACTCGACTCGCGTACGTTGCATCAGTAAACCAGTGAGCCACCGATATTCCCATATTTTGTAAGCCGAAATTCTCTTTCCTATACATGACGTTATAAAACAATATTTTTCCTGATGTGGTTCAGGTTGGATTGGGCAATATACTTTTGCACCTGACACAATCCGGCACAATGCCAGCAGCACTGGCGTCGACTTTGTCGCCATCCTCGACAGACATCTGGACCCAGGCTGTTGCATACGCCACTCTTTCGGTAAGTCTGCTTGCCCGCATTCGGTGCTGTCATGGCAAGCAGTGGTTTCGTCACTACTAAGCAAGTCGCTATGGCCCATGGCCGCCTACCTGAAGATCGCGAAAGACGCAGACAGAAGATGGATACTGAATGTTCGGCATTTCGAGGGCACATTCAAACCGTGATTAACATGTAGACGGTATTCTCTGCATGGCCCACAAAGTGCATCTCTTTCATCACTACTTACTAGGTACTAGGTGTATCAAAGTTCATACGCTTGCAGCGCACATCATCCGTATTGTTTATTCCGCCGACCCTACACTGGTTCTGCCTATACTCTCTCCCTGAAGTCCCCCAGGCGCAACTATTCTCACTTAACTGCCGAGTACTCGCAATGAATATATTTTGCAGGACATAAAAGCAAGCCGTTTTCCTAAAGCTACTGCCAGTATCAGTATCAGTCGAGATCCCCCTTGACACATCCAATACTACCTAGCATAAACCATGCGTTTCTCATTCCTCCTCGCTGTTGTTGCTGCGTTGACAACATCTATGTCTGTTAGTGCAAATTTATGCATATTTTCATACGAGCCTTGCAGCGGCCCCTTGGCGCCCGACTTAGTGTGCTGCAAAGGTCTCGCTTGTAAGAAGAATGCGAGTACGAGTCGTTCCATCCAACGCCATTGACTCACCCTTTGCGTTTTATACCAACAGCCTGTGGATTCTACTGACACCACCAGGTACTGCCAGTGACCCTCTCAGACTGAGTATGTCGCGACAGTGAGTCATGTTTCTGCTTTCGCGTTGGTACAGTGGTTGATCGTACGATATGCAGTTCGTTACAGAGTTTATCAATATGCTTACTTGTATACAAATTTCCCTGCTGCCTCGACCAGATTCTTGAATAACATTAAAAAACTCGGGAAGTGTCGACTTTGTTGGCACCAACCTTGCTTGCCTTCGGCGGGTGAATTTTACAGCTGAATGTTTGATCCCCCTGAAGCTCTTTCCAATATGTTGATCATATTGGTAATTGCAGCTCAGGCATAAAAATAACTCGGTGGCTCAAGTGAAAGAAATGGGCGTGAACTCGCAAGAGCAGACTGCGCTCGAACACGGCGCTTATATTCACCCCAAATATGTCCTGTATCGGACGAATACCATGCACGTACCATACCTGCGCTACTCTGGAGAACAATCTAGATTCCACTGCTATCCACAGACGCGGGAATAAAATGCCTACATTGTCTGATGAGAAAGTGCCCGAGAGTGGGGGTGAGACACCCATATAAAAACGGGTATAATGTTGTGGCCAAAGCCCCTCGTCGTCTGAAAATAATCGCTCCGCAGCCGAGCCAAAGACCTCCATGATAGGAGTAGTTTCCCGGAGCTGCGCACGACGGATAGCCGCAAAGGCCGGGAAATGCGATGAGCGCTTTCAATAGCCTCGAAATGACACAGGCTTGGTGAATCACCGAAACGGCGATGCCATATGTACCCTCACGCGTGTCAAACTGCGAAGAACGGGCATAAAGCTGCACGACAGCAGAGAATGAACTAGAAGTCCGTGTATACGGGGATTCGGCAGGAGATGGCTGTCGTAAAGTGCTAGTGTTAGAGTTTGTGCAGGGCAATAGTCCGGAAGTAGTCAGCACGTTCCAAAGCACGTAATACACAAGTTGAAACGTTGGACTCGATGTAGGCATGCGTATCATAATTATCATTGAGAGCGTGACTAACGGAGCTGGCGTCGGGGGCAACAGTGTGCGCTGCGCTGCGGTGGCCGAAGTGTCCGCGTGCGCGTTGTTGCCATACCTGTATGTGCGGGTGTCTAGCGCACTCGCGGCGTAGCTGAAGAGGAGTCGCAAAGCCATCGGTAAAGTGAACGGGCGTGTGTAGCTGCCCACGTATGAGGTAGCGCTGTGGGTAGGACATCGTATAGAACATGCACAATATTTCTGTGATCAGTGTATACTGGATGAAAACGGCGAGACATAAGCACTGAGCCTATGATACCCAATAGAAGGGTGGATGCAGATCTGCGATAGAGGTCAGGCGACACTACGAAGGACTGCGCTGGGCTTGCGACCGCGCTGGTGATGAAGCGTTGGTCAAACAGCGCAGACGCAGCTGGCAGCATTTAGGCGTCAGATGCCACGAGTGTTGTAAAACTGCGTGGTAAGGCTGGCGTATTTTGGAAGACGCCACAAGCAAGCAAAGTCTCTTGTGCTGCAGACTGACGCAGATGGTGCGGCTGCATGAGAGAAAAATGCAAGAGTGCTGATGAAGCAGACAGGTCAGTATGTGACAAGGTAGATAATAATGCTAGGAAATCGTCAGTCGGTGTAAGAGGACCGACGAGAAGGACTGCAGGAACGTGATCGTGGGGCTTGAAATGAATGAGGGAGTTAGAGAAGCTTCAATCCATTCCCCAAAAGGATGAAGGTCGGTGTATCCTCGGCGGTGCAAGGTCTCCACGCATGAATGATACAGTTGTGTTTGGAGATTCCCGCAGTTGTTCAAGACATGGACGAGGGTTAGCTTTCCTTCGAGTAGGTAGCATTAATCAGTGGGAATCATGGTAATTCCCAGGCGACGGAAAATGTGATGTGCAACAATTCAAGCCTGTGGTAAGTATGAACGTGCGGAAGAGAAAGAAGACCGAGGGGGTACTTGCATCATTCAGGGAGCAAGTCCAGTCAGTGAGCGTGATGCGTGCCATTAATGTTCGGAAAGCGGAGACATGATGATTAAGGTGCATCAGCAAATCACTTTGCCTCTGTAAGCTCTGTACAGCTCTGTACAGAAGGCACCAAGCTGTGGCCAGCCATTTTTTGGTGGTGGGAAAAAAAAGTGTTTTGCTGATGTGTAGCCCAGTACTGGCAGGGGCGACGTTCAACCTCGTAAGACAGGGGGAATCACTCCGTGAGTGAAACTGAAACTGAAAGTCAAGATAGTCATGCCCAAGACGTACAACACGATGATCCAACCGCTGCGCTTGCGCTTTAGTGATTACCAGCAAGAGAAATCGGGATATTAGGGGAACTGCCGCTTCTTCACGTGATCACATACTGATGCGGTGCCTGCAAGCAAAATAACCGATAACCTCCCGCGTGAATTCTGTGGCATTGAATATGAAAGGCACTCGTCAGTTTACTCGATTTACGTCCGTTTTTACTTTACATGAAAAAACCGGCGTATTCAGCCCGACATCGGATCGCTGAGATTGAAGAAGGGACTAGTGTTGAGGACGCCATACGTATCGTGTTCTTTGTATGATTCCATGTTGTGAGAATCCCTTTCCTGTCCTAAAAGTCCAGTCTGGTCTCTTTTCCGCGGTGAACACTGAACACCTGGTTCGTCATATATCAATGGGACAAAATCTCGTAGGGACCTGAACGACACGACTACTAACGCCCTCTTCACCCAGCCGGTTCGGATCGGATTGGGCAATACTTTGTACTTGGCACAAGGTCAGCAGCATTGACGTTGACTTGGTCACTATCCTCTTACAGACATCTGGACCCAGGTTGTTGCAGTGCGGCCATATGCCAGTCTTTCGGTGAATCTGCCTGCCAGATTCAGTGCTGTCGTGGGCAAGCAGCGGCTTGGTCACTACAAAGCAAACCGCTATGGCCATGGCTCACCCCAAGACGCAGACAGAAGATGAATGGGGTGAATGTTTGACATTTCGAGGGCACATTCAACCATGATTAACATGGATCGACATTACCTACAAGGTGCATCTCTTTCATTACTGACTAGGTACTGGGAGTTCTTACGCTTGCAGTTCACATGTTCTGGATAGTTTATCCGCCGACCTTACTGTGGTTCCGCCTATACTTTTTCCCTGAAGTTCGACATGCGAAATCATTCTGATGATGGAACTGCTGGCAGCTGAGTACCTCGCATCGTTTTCTAGGACATAAAAGCAAGCCGTCTTCGTACTGGCAGTATCAGAGCTATTATTCGAGATCCCCCCTTGACACATCATATCACCTAGCGTAAACCATGCGTTTCTCATTCCTCCTCGCTGTTGTTGCTGCGTTGACAACATCCATGTCTGTCAGTGCGACACGGTGCACAGGTCTCTACGGGGCCTGCAGCGGCCCCATTCGGGCGCCCCTACCATGCTGCTCAGGTTTCACTTGTAAGAAGAGTGTGAGCATGAGTCGTTTGTTACTCAACTCCATGACTCACCCCTCGCGCCTTGTACCTACAGCCTAACGATCTCACCGATAACTACAAATACTGTCTGCTATAACCTTTTCAGACACAGCATGTCGCGACAGTGAGTTGTGTTTCTGCTTTCGCGTTGGTACAGTGGTTGATTGCACGATATGCAGTTCGTCGTGGAGTTGATCAATATGATTACTTCTATACAAATTTCCCTGCTGCCTCGACCAGACTCTTGAATAACCTTTCTGTGGCATCGATAAACGTACAGGTCCTTGAAGATGATATTGCTGAGAAGGAAGAAGGGACTACTTAGTGTCGAGGACACTTGAATTTCACCATTAATATTCCGCTGGACACGGTGTGGTCACACTGCTCTTCCTGAACCATTTGATGAGCGCGAATAAACAGAGCAACGTCTAAACTTGGTCTAAACATCATATATTTACGACCTTCGCGGAGAAAGAAGTTTGGACGGGATATTCCGTAGGAGTTGCACCCGTACCATGTCCTTGAAAATGATAGAGTCTCTGTCTTAGATCTAGCTCGAGGATTGGCTTGGGTTGTCCTTTGCAATTGGAATCCATGCTCGGTCCAACGTCTTATTGCGGTGCAGACGGATCTTGATGACTTGGAGGTAATTTCAGCTGCTGCGGAATTTGTAACACTAGATAGTCGAGACTAGTTTCTAAAGTCTAACATGATTTGAACACAATCACATCAGACTTAAAACTTTAGTAACTGCTGGTAGAATAGAAGACATGGATCAATTAAAATTGGGTGATGATTCACTGGCGGCTAAAAATGGCACTTTGCTCTATGCCGAGTTTCATGTGGGACCTCGGGAAATCGAACAACCTGGGTTACTGACAACGACGACGACGACGACGACGACAACGACGAACTAGTCCTAACGGCGGACATAGAAGTGGAGAAGATTCATTTCAGGTTGTCATGGCCGAGGATACTGCACCTACTCCTTCTATCAAAAGCCTCAAGAGTATATTTGAACAACTTGCACAGGAGACAGGACCCAAACCTCATTCCCGCCATGACCAGACCAGTTCTAGTTCGCTGCGGAATGCCTCAGATTCGAGTCCAGGCCAAAAGCGTGCACCACCACCGCCTCCACCATCCCGCTCTGCCAAGAAAGCAAATCAATCACCTGCTGTTTCTCCATTATTGAGACCAGTACCAGTGCCAGCAGCACTTAGGTCTAGCCCGGAACCTCCACAAGACAGGGAGGAAGACGCTCCTCGTGGTGGCGGGGTGGCTTCATTGAGGGAACGTTTCGCGTAAGTGATCCGTGTTCATCATAATAATACTAGAAGCCCTATACCAATTATCCTGTGTCTACGCGTGTTCTGCATTCAGTTCCGCAGCCGCATCTCCTACCCGTCCTACGCCCAAACTTGCTTCGCGGTCCTTTTTAATGGCACATAGCGAACCTAATGTCCTAGACTCCGTTCTTCCCCGCCATACAAAGCCTGTCTCTTTGGAAGATACTTCCTCTGACGAATTCCTTGACGCACACGAAAATACAATGCCTGGCGTAGCTTCTCTTAGAAATCGTTTCTCGTGAGTGCCTCGAACAAGTTCTGCTTTGCGTTCATGCTGACAAGTCGTTCTAGTACATTAATCCATCATACACCCCAATCGACACCTAAACCTCTTCCCCGTAATGACCATCTCACATCCCACTCGGAACCCAACATTCTCGCACCCAATCCACCAATGACTCTTCGCCGTCCACCACCTCCTCCACCACCTCACAGATCTGCTCTCTTTGACTGCGGCGACGATTTACTCGAGCGTCCAAGCTCCTACTCCTCCTCAAGACACAGTCCATTCTCTGATGACGAATCCGAGTCTTCCGAAATGTCACTCCCACCTGCAATTCTACCCCTTACCATTCATACGATTCGTTCGCGCGGGCACTCGGACAGTTCAAGCGATAGCGCAGGCAGCGTCTCCCCCACACACACCAAATCCCCTTCACGACCAAGTCTAACAGTGCCCCCTCCTCCACCTCCACGACGGTCTGGCAACTCCCGAGTCAGTCGCGACTCTTCAGCCAGCTCAACTCCCACCCCCAGCAGTCCTCCTCCCCTCCCCTCGCGTCGTCCAGGCCACGAAGATATCCCAGATACACTATCACTCCCTCCCTCCATACCCGCACGTTGCAGCATGAACATAGGCGCTCCTTCACCAACAGACATCATATCTGACCGCAAACCTCTCGGAAGCGGCAAGCTCCCACCTCCGCCAACACGAACTATCGCACCAGGCGATAAACTCCCTCCTGCTCGACGTGCGCACAGCCCATCATCCGATGAGGATTCCGGTCCTGAAGAATGCGACCACCTGCACATGCTTCCAGACGCAAGCCGTGCCTCCCGTCGTCCACCCACAGTACGAACCCCCAAGATCCACGTCCCAGCATATGCAGCACATGTCCTAGTCGCAGGTCCACGCGTGCTCGTAGCTACTCACCACCACCTGCGCTGCTTCGACTTTGCCCAATTCGCCGACGTCCCTATGTGGGTTCGAGACACGAAAGACATGGGCGTACGCGATGCAAAAGTCACCGCACTCGAATTTCGAGCTGGGAGTAGAGCTGGGGTAGTATGGGCCGGGACTAAAGATGGTCGATTGCTAGAGGTGGATATGGATTCTGGAGAAGTGACCCCTTTGAAGCTCGGTTCGCATGCGGGCATGGTGACGCATATCTTCCGACACGGGAATGCGATGGTTACTGTGGATGATAGCGGCAAAGTGCTGGTGTTCAAGCCTACCGCTGGTTCGGATGGCCCGGGCCTCAAACACGTATACCGCATCGCTGATAAACAAGAATTCGTCAAGTTAATCGGTGGGCTCCTCTGGACGAGCGTGCGCAGCGACACCAGCGGCTCTGGACCTCCCATAATCCGGATCTACGACGTGTTCAACGAAGGCAGCACCGCACGCACCGCAAGCGTACCCCCAAGCACCACCCACCACGTCGGAGCAGTAACAAGCGGCACACTCCTCCAATCACGCAGAGGATACGCCTACCTCGGCCACGAAGGCGGGTTCATCAGCATCTGGAACCTATCCTCCGGCCCCGAATGCACAGACGTAGTCAAAGTGAGCTCATCAGACGTTCTAAGCCTCGAGGGCGTCGGATCGCGTTTATGGGCAGGCGGACGAACGGGGGTGATATGCGCGTATGATGTAATGAGTCGTCCGTGGGTGGTGACGAATGCGTGGCATGCGCATGCGGGATTACCTGTGATGAGGATATTTGTGGATCCGTGGTCGATTGAGAGGGAGGAGAAGTTGAATGTGGTGAGTGTTGGGAGGGATGAGCAGATGAGGGTTTGGGATGGGTTGTTGGGGGTTGACTGGATTGGTGCGTGGGCTGCGTTTTTGGTTTTGTTTTTTGTTGGTGGGGCTGATGGGTTAATGTAGGGAATGAGCTGTTGAAGCGCGAACGTGCGTTTAGCTCCTTCCGCACGATCAACGTTCTTGTCGTTTCATGGAATGTGGACGCTACTAAGCCAGACGCACTCACTGACGACCTTGCAAACCTCACCTTCCTTAACGACGCTCTCAAATCCGTCTCACCCGCACCAGACATCATCTCATTTGGATTCCAAGAGCTCATCGACCTCGAGAGCCGCAAGATGGCTGCAAAGACTGTACTCCTAGGTGGAAAGAAAAAGGGTGAGGAGGGCAAGATATCAGAGAAGGTGACTTCCAGTTACAAGCGGTGGCATGATCGCCTCGTTCGGGAGGTGGCGGCGCTTTCGGAGAAGTATACAGTGATACATACGGAGAGTCTCGTTGGGCTGTTCACATGCATGTTTGTGAAGAACTCGGAGAAGGACTCGTTGAAGGATGTAGCTATATCGACGATCAAGCGGGGTATGGGGGGCAGGTATGGCAATAAGGTCCGTCGTGTTGTGGAGTTTGGAGTGCGTGTGCTGAAGTTATGTTGTGTAGGGAGGAATTGTTGCGCGGTTCGTGATCGGTGATTCATCGATCTGTTTCATCAATTGCCATCTTGCGGCTGGGCAGCATCATGTCCGACAGCGGAATGCAGATGTGACTGCGATGTTGGAGGAAAAATCCGTTTTTCCACCTTCGCATGCTGTCGAAGAGTCTCATGCGTATGTTGGTGGGGGAGATGGTTCTATGGTTCTAGACCATGAGATCGTCTTTGTGCGTTCCAAATTCTCTTTCTCAAAACGTATCCTAATTGTCTTGTTTACATAGCTCAACGGCGACCTAAACTACCGCATCGACCAACGCCGTGACGCCGTCATATCCGCCATCCAAAGTGGTGATCTTGAATCCCTACACACGCACGACCAACTCCTCAAAGAAATGAAACACAACCGCGGTTTCCGCCTCCGCTTCTTCCACGAAGGACCTCTCACCTTCATCCCCACGTACAAATACGACCGCCGTTCCTCACAATTCGACACCTCGGAGAAAAAGAGGGTGCCTGCGTGGTGCGATCGCGTGCTGTGGCGCAGCAGAGACCCGGAGCGAGTGAAGCAGCTTCATTATAAGAGGTATGAAGCGAATGTGAGCGATCATCGACCTGTGAGCGCTGCGTTTGAGATGACTGTCAAGAGTGTGAGGGGGGATGCGGTTGCGAGGGAGAGGGGAGTTGTTAGGGAGTTGTGGTTTGGGACACAGGTGGAGTTGTTGGCTAGGGCGAGGGAGTTTTATGTTGAGCAGGCTTTGATATAGCGAAGCTAGTGTGATCATGATGACCTTTTGATTGATTATATGCATGGACTGAAGGACTATTTTACGTGCCGTCGTTATGTAGTCATTCACATGTAATGTGTACTGGTATTGTTAGGAGACGTTGTACTTGCATAATGTTAGATCGAGGCTCGCATTTCGACGCACATGTACCAGGACTGCCGAAGCAAGCCGACGGTCGGACTAGTACTTGGGTTTGAATTTGGTACTTATTTGTGGACCTTTTTACCCCAACCACTTACTGCCAATCCGTGACCTCATCTCATCGCTACGAGTCCTCGACGGACGATGTTCGATACTTGTAGCAAGTGAGTGGTTGATGCTGACGATGTACGTTCACCAGGTATCAATCACGGATTATGATCAAGCTGTGAAAATCGATCCATTGAGCAATGAGGTCGTACGGCGAATAGTAAATAGTTTGGCATGTAGGATTTTTACTGTACGCCGTACGATAGGGACTAGTTATACGGGCCATTATAGTGGCCGTACCCGTACGGTCGACAAGTTTTTTCCTTGTGTCGACGGTTACGGTGTACTAGGTGTTAATCCCAGCCCTTATATCACCGTTGCAAAACACACAGTATGGGTTTAATCAAGCATCGAGCCCATGTAGTGCGTTTTGCAACGCTGCATCACATCACTTATGTCCCTACCTTTTTTGACATCCTTCTGACTGTGATATGATAGCCTGACCTGCAGACGGACGAGGAGCAAAGGGATTAGGGATCGAGAAGTTGGTCCTGGGATAGGACAGGTGAGTTCATCTGTTTGCATCGTTTGATCCTCTTGGAAGCTGCCGTGGCTGCCCTTCTGTGCCGCTACTCAAGGTGTTCATCAAGCGCGGCACTGAGATTGGCGTGGTGTCAACTTTAGCATCGAGTCTCTTAAGTGACCTTGGAGGAGCCGTTATGCTCCCCGGGCCCGGGCCAACTGCGAGGCCTAGCGGATGCTCACCGAGAATCACGAAACTGCAGGCTTGTCACGTTCTGGTCGCATCACTGCCAGGTTAGTAGGTCAACGAACTACCTGAATTCACTGATAGAACTTTGTACTCTGATGTACGCGTAGGAAAATCATCTTGAGAATGGCATGGGGGAGTCGGGTTGCCGAAATCGAGAACAGTTCTCCGAATTGCAGTTTCACGACCGATCGACTTTAATTCGATCGGCTCCGAGGGCCCCTGGGTATCGACTTGCCTTCAGATACTTTCTTCAAGAAGTAAGATATCCATATGATGTTCATTTCGGTCATGAAGCGGACCCATACCCGTACCCGTGCAGATCCCTATCCACACGGTCTGCGGCCACCTCGTCAGGTTCAACTCTTCAGTTGGTCATTTGCATGACACAGCGGATGTTGTGGCGCCTGGATGCAAGCAAAACGACTCTCGATCGACACATCATTCAAACGTGTGCACGGCCGGCAGGAATTTGAATTCGAGTCGTGGGATGTTGCGCACATGAAGTGAGTTGCATGGAGTTACGGTTCAAGCCAGCTCACTAATGAACCAATTATTGTAGCTGTTATTGGCACTCGAGCTTTCACGACATCTCAACTAGCACACGCCCACGTCATCATCTTCTAGCGAATATTCGAGATTGCCAGCGCAGACACAGGCTGTACTGTTCGCTTTCAATACATCCACTGGGGAAGGGATTCAAACCATTGTCACGGTTGCCGACGCACAAAAAGGTCAAGGTTAAGGTGAGTTTATACTCTCGCATTCGAGGCACATCATAAACTGACTATCTTCATCAGGCCTAGGTATGTACTGCGTATACTTGTGTAAAGACTCAATCCATGCTTGCCGCTATGACACTACCACTCTCCTTCGTGGATTCGTACGATCGCCTGCGTCGCTTCTACCACCTGTGTCTCGCATACTATAAATGCTACATTCCTAGTCTCCGAGGTCTGATACCCAAGGACGTGGGAGCAGCCATGTTTAGTATTGCCTCCGTGGAGCCTCATCCTGACTTGCCGGGAGCATTGAAGAAGATTAAGAAGGGCGAAAACAAAGCAGCAAGTCTTCAAATCGCTTTTTCCGAGTTGTTAAATTGTTCCCCCGAAGTCCGCCAGGCGAAATCATTCATCATTCTGATGATAGAACTGCTGGCAGTTAGCTGGCAGCTGAGTGCTTGGCAAAATTTTCTAGCACATAAAAGCAAGCTGTCTTCGTACTGCCGGTACCAGAGTTATTATTCGAGATCCCCTTTGAAGCATCTGATATTAAACCATGCATTTCTCATTCCTCCTCGCTGTTGTTGCTGCGTTGGCAACATCTATGTCTGTCAGTGCGTGCGCGGGTATCGGCCAACTTTGCGCCTACCCCGGGCGGGCGACCCCAGTATGCTGCGAAGGTCTTCTTTGTGCGGTGGATGTGAGTATAAGTCGTTCGTTATTCAACACCATGACTCACCCTTGCGCCTTGTACCAACAGACTTCAGTTGATCCTACCGGCAAAGCCCGCTATTGTTTACGGTAACCATCTCAGACTGAGCATGTCGCGGCAGCACTAGTGAGTCGTGTTTCTGCTTTCGCGTTGGTACAGTGGTTGATCGCACGATATGCAGTTCGTTGTGGGGTCGACCAATATGCTTCTGTATAAATTTCCCTGCTGCCTCGACCTGACTCTCTCTTGAATAACATTAGAAAACCTCCTGCATGAATCCTGTAGCTTTGATAGAAGACACTCATCAGGGTACTCGACTTACGTGTATTTGTACATGAATGCACAAGAAAATCGGTGTATTCGGCCTGACATCGAAGTGCGTGTACGTACAGGTCCCAAGTTGAAGATTGCTCAGAAGAAGGGGCTAGTGTCGAGGACACTTGAATTTCGCCATTAATATTCCGCCGGACACGGTGTGATCACACTGCTCCTCTTGCTTTCCACCATTATCAGGGAAATCCTCCGCTACAAATTTAGGCTAAGTATGGCCTACCCAGGGTCTATCCCTTTGCCTTTGTGGCACGCGCTCCGGGCGCTCTCGGCATGACGCACATGCTGAGCAATCTCTGTCTGAACGGAGATTCTTTCCTTTTCCTAGTGCGCGCGGGCAATTAGGTCCTCGCCTCTTCTCATTTGCCTGTCGTCGCACTAGGTATGTAGATGAACTATTTTCCTATCTACCTCTTCTCACTTGCTTGTCGTCACTCTAGCTGTTCCATTTCGTCATATTTATTATTTATCGCAAATATCTGCTCATCCATGTCGGACAATGGCCGATCCTCCTCTCAAACCGAAACCTCCATCCAGAGACGAGAATCTAGCGAAAATCACATCACCCTCCTTCGAACCTGAAGTCGTCGAACGATGTCTCAAATTCATCATCGACTATCAGAAGCATAAGATTTCAAAGGCAAAAGTAGTACTTGGAGTCTAACAAGTCCTTGCTTCGGCCACAACAGAAGGAGATCCCTCTTATGATGCCGGGTTCGTGCATTATCTTGAAATCCTTGGCTTCGTCAGGGATGAGGATGAACCCGAGAAGAGCGACAGAAGTTCAGGACCGCCATGTGCGGGATGGAACCACGAATCTGAAGTTCACCAGAGGAGTAACTTTGGAAACAAATCTCGAAGTGGCAGAGCGCACAGTGAAGAGGTTGAAGGTGATAGCGAGTGGGGATATGACTCAGGGGACAGTGCAGGGATCAAGTGAGGGAAAAGATGAAAGTTGTCAGAAGACAAGCTTCAATTCTGTCCATGGCTTGAACCCTCTAAATTCTGCTCCCTCTCTCGCTCTTAAGGAGTTACTACTGCCTTACAATGCTATGAGGAACGGTCTGATGATCCCAAATTCTACCACACCAAATGTAGGTTTTAATGACGAGCGGGATGGGACGGGACACTAGTAGAAAACAATAATCTCAGTCTCTAGAAAGAACTCTGTTAGACGAGTCATGCAGTGATGCATTGGGCCTGGCTTTGAAGGGCTTGGGCCTGGAAGAAACCCAGGCCAGGCCCTTCTGGAGGGCTCAGGCCTGGCCTGGGCTTGGGCCAGGGCCTCAGATGTAAAAATGTGTAAACAGCTTTATTATGATACCCTAATGAATTCAATACTCATTCCTCAAGATCTAATTCCTCCAACAGCAAGATATTGCTGTCACTCCCATTCTCCTCTCCTTCATTAAGTTCATCCAATGCTGACTCTAGAGCTGAAGAAGGAGCAGCATCAGCAAACTACAATGTTCTGTACAGAGCTGTACAGTGCCACAGTGCTACAGCTTGGTCCCCACTGTACAGCTCTGCACAGAACCTCCCCCCACTGTACAGCTCTGTACAGAACCTCCCAGTGCCACAGCTTCAGGTAGTAAATAAACAAAAACAAATTCGCATTTTTTGACACTTTGAATTGCCAATGTCAGGAGTTGAACTGGACACCTCAGGCCTCATTGTCTCAGGATTATTTATCAAGAGCAACATACTTACCATTACACCATAGTAGGTTTATTTTACCTCACTCAAAATGATATATATACCATTTCTCAAGTCACATTACCTAGTCTCTAATGACCAAAAACTCGAAATTTCATCAAGTCTTTCTTTACTATGCTATTCCTATTGGTATTCCTAGTCCTAATAAGCAAACATCAGTCACATTACTTGTGTGCCTGAACTTTCTTGAACACACCACTTTCTAGTATTTTGCTTACAACTCATTAGGATCTTGACCAAAAAATGTTGTGAGACTATGGATAGACTATGCTTTGTATGATGGCCATGTGGATGTTTGATGGAGAGAATAAAATTAGCAGAAGAAGAGGATGAAGTGCGATACTAATTTTCGGACAAGCACACTTGCAGGATGATGAGAGGAGGTGAGTGAGAAGGCTAAGTGAGGTGTTTCACCATGAAAGCTTTGCTTTCATGGTGTGGTGGGGAAGGTCTGGCTTTGCCAGACCATGTCTGCATACACAGTTTGAAGTGAAGCATTCTGAGTCCAGCATTTGGGGTTGAAAAAGTGAAAAGCTCAGACACAGAGGGGACAGACTTTCTGAGCATGCTGAGGCCAGATCTCAGGTTGCAGGATGAAGGGGACTGCAAAGGAACGAGACCAAACCACCTTGAGAGCACGGCTCAAATACGAGTCGAGTTCCTCTTTGAGGAACCCAAACCCCACACAAAGAGAGATGGGATTGAGAGAAAAATATGTGATTGGTGCAAGGAGAAAGGACATTATACATGAGCATGAGTAATACAGACATGAAGAGAGAGCAAATAAAGTAAAGAGGAAATTAAGTGCTATTGGTAGATGCAGAGTGATGATGATGGAAATCTTGCATGACTGATTGTAAGTGAAGTAAAGCAGTGGATGATGTGATTGCTGTAGAGATGAACAAAGGCAGAATGGACTCGATCTTATGCCAATAGTCTAGGAAGGCTTGGGACTTCCATCTCCCTTGCATGGCCACAATGTCTGGAGGTACCCCTTCCAGGAGTAACTTGGTAGCACCTCCAATGCGAAAGGTGTGACCTGGCATGTGTGGGTGACCTGTGGCGACCCAGATGTCATTGCAACACTTCATGAACCAGGGTTTTGTCATGGGAGACCAAGAATTGGAATTGTTGGAGGTTTCAAAGGAGAAAAGCGGTGCATGATTGGGGATGGTGGAACTGGCACTGAGGTGGAGAAGCAAGGCAGTATGAGGGCAGGTGGCATGTGAGTGAGCAGTAATGTTGATGTCCATGCCCTCAGTATTTGTTGTCTTCGTCCATGGAATGTGGAATGTGGAGGAACGTACATTATTGGAGTCTATGGTTGTAATGGGCAAGATGGATGGTGAGATGTGTTTGATGGAATTGAAGGTATTGATGCTGGGAATGACTGAGTTCTCCAAGACTAGGACAGGGTGAGTGAAATGTATGATAGGATGAAATGGAGGCCTACCAGCAGCAGCACCAGAAGGCTATGCAGGTGATTGCAAAGACAGATGTTGAATGAGTTGGAAAGATCTAGACCATTGCGAAGTTGTGTGAGAGCCTCGAGGGTGACAGGTGGACAATGAGCACATTTGGAAGAAGGTGGTACAAGACGTGAGAGTCCTTGACGTATGTGACAGAGTAGCTCTGAGTTGGAACCGTGCCACTCAGCACCATTGATGATGTGCCAGTATGTAAGCCTGGAAAGCCAGTTGTTGACTGTGCTATTGGAGATGGATCTGGAGGCATCTGCAATGAATGTGGAGAGCAGATTGCCTGGGGCTGGCATGTGTTTGTCTTCGGGAATGCATAGATGATCGCAAAATTGGGTAAATCAAAGAAGACCTGCGCTGTAATTGCTACATGTATCGACAGTCTAAGGAGTGAAGTGCAATGAAGAACATCTTAAGGATATGTGATCCAGGTAGGAGTAATTCTAGTTCATGTTGAAAGTCTATGCCATGAGGAGTGGTCCATAAAAGAACTCGGTCACTGGCGAGAACCAGGGGACAATAGGATGAAGGGGAAATGATGGCACTGGGACGAGGTCTGCGAGGATAACGTACTTGTTTGTTAGGATGAGAGGTGGCTAGGGTGCAAATGTCGCTGGTGGAGAGACAATGATGTTCATCTGAGGATTCGTTGCTGCTGACACTACGGAGGATATCATCAAAGGTGATATTAGGAATGGACATGTTCGACAAAGGGAAGTAATTCTGTGGGAATGGGAATGCAGAATGGGAGACAAGTGATGGAGGTTGGGAGAATGCCTCAAGAGATGGGGTCAGCCTTGTTGTCCTTGGTGTTGACATATATAAGTGAAATGGAGAGATCCACCATCTGGAGAGTGGCTTCCGTTCGTCTGATGCACATGTTGACTGCAGGATTGGAGGAGCGCCCTTTGTGGAAGGCCCCAATGATACCCTCATTGTCGCTGCAAATGAGGAAATCAGAGCTTGCAATTCCGAAGGTGAAGGTGGCATAGATGGCAAATTCCACCAGTGATGGCTTCCAGCCATCTGATGTCATGTCCTGGAGGGTCATGCCATCCATCCTTGATGACCCATGCATCCCACAGACCATTCCAACAGAGTCTGATCCCAGTACTTGTTGAGGTGTCCACACAGATATTATAATCATGGGTGGGTGGTCTGGGATATAGTGGTTGTGGGATGGTTTTTGATTTGAGAAGTTTGAGCCACCAAAGGAGATCAGTGCAAACAGCTGAGCGCATGAAGTGGGGAATGAATTCACCAGGAAAGTCAGCAATCCAACAATATAGGTTGGAGAGATAAGATTGTCTGAAGGGGAAAACAAATACACAGTGGGTGAGAGTACCACTGATCTTCTCAGCATCCATTTTGAGTACCTGATGATGGGAGAATCAATTGAGGAACAGTCAAAGTCGGTGTACGTATTTGAGACATTTCTCCTCAGGTAAGCATACTGTCCGGTTGGGAAAATCGAACATGTACCTGACATAATCTCGAACATCGCCAAATTCAGCTCCTTTGAGTTTGGGCCAAGGGATGTTGATGGGACTGACATAGTCTTTGATGGAGTAGAGGTCATAGTGATAATGGTAGTGAATACCATTCGAGATGCTGGAAAAAGGACCATTGGGATCCAGGACACGAACAACGAAGAAGTTGTCGACCCATTTCCATGTGGGACCAATGTCCGCATGCGCCCAAATGTCCACTGTGACATTGGCAACTTTGCCCTGGAGACCGGCTGCAGATGTGGCACCAAAAGGAAGGTTATGATCCATATAGAAAAGATCCTTGTAACGCACCACAAGGAAACATTTGTGGTCTGGTAGGATGGGAATGGTTTGATATGCACCTTCTATATCTAGGGAGGTAGCTTGAGTGCCTGGGGGAGCTGTTGCAACCTGTGACAAGGAGATATGAGCAGGAGGCTCGAGGAGAATCAAGGAGGATTCAGGGAGAGGATAAGGCAGGGAGTCTTCATCAGAGGATGAACAATGCCAGATAATGCAAAATCCAGAAGGGATTTGAGGCATGTGGGAAGAAGTGTGAGGAATTCACAATATGCAGGATGCGTATATGTAAGGGTGGAAAGGGACCCTGGGTTGCATGGAACAAGGAAAAAAAATTTCTCTAGTGACTTGTGTCACAAGGTCATTTGATACTCGTCCCAGTGGTGGAAAGAGGGGGAAATGAAAGGAGTGGATTATTACTTATGAATGTGGCCACCTGTTTGGCTGTGCCCCATCTGGTGGGAAAATCTTTTGTGTCAATGGCATCATTGATGGAGTGACCTGCAGAACCTTTGTACGAGAGATTGCGGAAAACTCGGAATTTGGTTGGTTGGCCTGGGCCACCTTCTTTGGTGGCAACTTGGAGAGGTGATGAGCGAAAGGGTCTGATCTTCGCCTCAAGTTCTGCATGTGAGAAGGGACCACTGAAGTGATTGAGTGTGAGCTCAGTGGTGATGTAGTCTTGGATGAGCTCATTGTGTTTGTTGGCACTGGGTAGGTTGGATGGAGCATAGGTGGAGGTGAGTTGGTCAAGGTGTCCAAGAGGGAAACCCATTCAGATCTTAAGAGGAAGTTCTGGGTATGCATCAAGAAGGTTCACGTTGCGAAGCATGGTTTCAAGGTTGTCTGCGGAGTAAGGCGTGAGAATCCTTGCAAAGTCGAGATCAGAGTCATATGGGGTACGAGAGGCTTGCAAGTGGTCTAAGTATACATGTGAGGGGGCGGTTTCAGTGATGGTGGGTTCTGGGACCCAGGTCAAGAAAGGAATGAGAGATACATCAATTGGATGAGCACTTGCAGCTGCAAGCGCCATGCTTGGCAGAGCCGCATAAGGAGCAGGCATGGATCTCCCCTCCTTTGTGAACTTGTCTGGTGCAGGAGCATCATCCATTGCAGAAAATGTTGAAGTCAATGCAGTACTTGATGTCAGGAGAGGACCTGCAGATGAGTTGTTTGTTGAGGACTTTGGAGTGCAATGGCTGAACCCAATGATGACGTGTTGGATGAACAGTTGAGAAAGGTGTGACCAGTTTTGCCACAAGCAAGACAGAGGGGGGGAAGACATTCAGGGTTGGGTTTGCTGCTGTCAGTCCAAAAGGACTTGTCTGCTGGGGGGTTGTGAGTTGTGAAAGGAATCACATTGTGGGTATGGTTCATATCAGTGACCCTTAAGTTGTGTGAAGTGGTTGCTCATGGCCCTGAAATTTTTCGTCCCTCATGACATGAATCTTGATGTTGTTGAACTGTCAATTGTACTTGGCCTCATTGAAGGCCTGAGGGTCGGCTGCATAAGTAGCACATTGTTTGATGTTAAGGCGAGGATCAAGGCCCAATTTTCGGAGAAGTCCGGGTGTTCTCGAAGAGCTATGTAGTGTTCCTTCCAACGTTCACAGACTTGGGGGGAGGCATGGTTTGTTAGGAGAAGTAGGAATCAGGGTCCAGGCTTCGTGCCAATCTGGGATATTAATGGAAGATTCTGTGGGGAATTGTGATATATCTATAAGGTGACATTTTGAAGGGGGGGCATTGCGATGTGAAGAGTAATGCATAATGAATTTAAGGGACGAGGATTCTATGAAAAGATGCGTTGTTGCTTTAGTAGTGAGTAATGTGAGGGGAATATGCTGATGATGTTTGGCTAATTCTAGAATATACATATGGATACCGTAAGCGTCACAAAGGGAGATGGTGGAGGGATGTTCATTATTAACTATCAAAAATGATGGAAGGAGGGTTAGGGGAAGCGGTGCTGCTGGAGGCAACATTGATGGTGGCCATGGCTTTGTTGAAGGCCAAGAAGACAGAGCCCCATTTGGAGGGAGTAAGAATTTGGAAAGAGTTGATCATCCATAAGACATCTGCATCAGTAATTGGGGTCCTCAGGTTAGGACCGACAGGGGAGATGGTGGAAGGGGCATTAGTTATGGTAGGTGGTGGATTGGTCACTCCACCACCGGTTGAACCGGCGTTCAATGAGGTATTGGGATTAGCGGACGAGTTAGTGGGAAGGATCACGGGGGAACAGGGCATTAGGGCCTCATCACTCTCTACATTGGTGTCACCTTGGTCCCGATGCGATTTGCGCTTGAGATTACATGTGGTGATTGCACTGTTTAAGGCGACCACCTCGCTGTGCATGAGAACTGTTCTACTGGCTGGAAGGGTAATATTAACCATTTCTGAGATATGCAGAGACTGAGAAGATCATATGGAGTGATGAGAATGTTGAGTAAAACTTTGGCTGAGGGAATGGAAGATGGGGGAGTGAAGCAGAGAAGAGAATTTGGAGGATCTTTGGGGGTATGTGTATATCTATGAGAGACGTGAGGATCTATGCAAGTGTGGGATATGTCAAAAGAGCACTGGCTTACAAAGCCCCAGATCAACACTATCAATTCACAAGCTCATTGGTCATGTTGATCGACCACCTTGACAAGGGCTACAACTTTTATTTTCTTCCCAAAAGTTCCCACAGTCTACCATAGTCACTCCTTATCAATACTAACATTTAGGATCAATGTTAAGTTAATAGAAAAGACTTAGTGAAATTTTTGTTCTCAATTCTGTGAGCTTTGCGGTGTAGGGAGTATCCCTACGCTAGGCTCGTATCCACTGTTTTTCCGTCCATCCAACGTCCATCCGCATCCTATCCATTCCATCCGATACCCATCCGCTTTTCGGATGACATGCGGATACCTTCGGATCTCCTCCTATAGCTTGCACATCCGCTGCATCCGTCCTGTCCACGTCCATTCTACCTCATTGGTACGTACTCACACGCATTTTCTTGTTACTGACTGAACACAGACATATCCTCTCACACTCAAGTATTTTTCGGATAGCTTATGGCACGGTCTAGACTCGCTACCTATATCTCTATGTTCCTTGAAAATACTGTACCCTATAAGCATGGAGGTTTTCGAAAAATACTTACTTCATGTAACTTCCTCCCACTTTTCCTGCACCCTACCAGAAGATCACTTTGACCTATACCCACTATCCATCTAACCTTTAATGAACTCCCTTTGACTTTGATTCGCATCCCGTCCGATCCGCAAGTGCCATCCGCTCCATCTGACGAATCTGTACGTTTCGCATCCTATCCGTTTCATCTGCTTTTGCGGATCTTTCATCCTATAGGGTTGCTTTAGACAGAGACTAGTATTCCCCAGTAGCAATCCCCTTAAGGGTTGAATGCACTTGTTCCCAAGCGAGGCAGCAGGCAGCAAAGACCCAACTGTGTAGTAGATTGACTTCTCTCCGCTGCACTTGTTGTACCCACAGCGGGTCTGTAACAGGAATTGTGGCTCTGTGGCTCTGGGATCCTAGCAACTCTGAGGTATCTGACACACTGTGAGAATCTGTGGCTAAATCAAAACTCTGTGCAACATTTGGTGGTTTGCTGATGAAGAGATATCAACAAGTTGCAACATCAGTAAATTCACACATTCCTTGGCGCTTGCTTGCTTCAAAATTTAAATTTTATTCCCACCTTTATTTGACTTATGTACATTTATTCACTTGTGCCCTGTATTTCACAAGTACGAAAAGGAAGCACGTGACACACAAGTGCCGGAAAGGCAGCAAATTGAAGCACACAAATAAAAGAGTGTAAAAAGAACATACAATTGAAAAAGCTGAAAAAGCCTAGAGGTTAGTATAAGTAAATTACAGTATAGTACTAGTAGTATAGGGGAAATTCATTGCACTTGCTAGAGATGGGACTCACTTTCCAAAAAGGGAAGACAGTGAAGCACCCGTCTCCCTGGTATCAGCGATCAACACTATCTCAAGTGCAATGGGTCCTCAAGATCCAGTATGTTCTCCAGCCCATTGTGTTATTGGTTGATTGACCCTGAAAGTGTTTGTAGATGTTAGTAAGGTACACTGGGACCCGCAAAACAACACAGACCGGTGTGTATTGTGGGCAAGGGCGGAGGCAGCCAGTGGCTCAGGCAGAACAGGCAGAGGCTCAGGTGGAACAGGTGGAGGCCCCACTGGGGTTGTGGAAGAGAGTGAAGAGGTGGATGAGGCGCAGGAATTGAGATGGAACACTTTGCTTGAACGTAGTGTGATGCTGTTTCTGCAGACCATGATAAGTAGGATATCTCATAACTGACAAGTCACAAACTTACTGATCATTTGAAAGTGTTGTTTCAGTGACTCGGCATGCTAATGCTCGTGGTGTCAGCGGCAAGTTAATGTAGTCGACCTACAAATATTGTACCATCAGTGTATACAAATCTGTTATGAATGACCTACGTTCTTTCTCGTTGAGATCTCCGATACCTGCCTTGCCTGCTATTCCCAGTCATCCCCAGCTTGCTGACAAGACATGGAGTTTGCGCGAGTTGGGAACCTTGGTCCCATCAGCATTCAGGGCCTGGAGGAGAGTAATAGCCTCCTTGATGGCTCTACTGCATTCTCAACGACAAGGGGAACCTGAGCGATTTGCTCGATATGGTGACCGCAGGTGAGGATTGATGCAGTTACACTCACCTGAATTCTTCAATCACTCGCTTGTGAGTGATGGTAGGTGGGGAGGGAGGGGTCCAGTTACAGCTCACTGAATTCTTTGATTGCTCACTTGTGAGTGACGGTAGGTGAGGCGGTCCATTTATGCTCACCAAATTCTTTGATTGCTTGTTTGTGAGCCCTGGTAGTGGGGGGGTCCAGTTGGCAGTTACGCTCCCCAAATTCTTCGATCACTCGCTTGTGAGTGATGGTAGGTGGCAGAGCAGTGGATACCTCCACCACTGACACGAGGAATACATGCAACAGCGTGACCAGTACCCCAAGACTCAGCTGGAAGTCTGGTGACCGGTCTTCTCATTGACAGTGTAAGCCTGACGCCTGTTTTCCTTGAAGTGAGGCTTGTCAAAAGCGGAGACACTGAGTGTCGATAAGTTGAATATTCTATTGGGGTTGATCTGACCATTAGCAACAGACTGAGGATTGAATTGAGGACCCACCTATGTCACGTGTGGCGGTCAGGATGCTATCTTGAAGGCATGGTGATCAGCATATTTGTTGACATAAAATGAATGGAAAGAATCATAAGAATGATAGAACTTGAGGGAGTGAGGGATGTACTCAGAGCCATAGACAGGTATCAGGTGCACTGCATGGTAGACCATCTCAATATGAATGACAGCAAGGTTCCAGGAGCCATCCTCATGAAGACTTGGACTGGACCATCCACATGCCAGTGTCTTCATCGGCACAATCACCAATCTTGTTGAACCATTGGATGAGAACACATGAATATACTTCCCAGTCGTGTTTGAAAGAAAAGAAACATATCACTCTCGCAATTTCGAGTCCTCGCATTCCTTCAGCATTTCGAATCAGTGTTGATGAACACACAATCATTGCGTGGGTACTTGTTCCTCCAGAGTGGGCATGCACAGACATGTTCACGTCGCATGCTGCCAATGCCACTTGGATCACTGGGAGCATAGAATGTTGCAGCAGCCAAATTAAAGACCTGAAGCTTGCCTTCATGTCTAGGGCAGCTAGCAGCTGGGACATCTTTGGGGTTGCGAGGATCATTTGGGTAGAGCTGAGAGAACAGAAAGTGTCGAATGAGACATCACAGATCTGGAACAGCGACTTCAAGTGCCAATGCTGCTACTGTATGTGCCCATTTTTGTTCTGTGTGACACAGTTATGAGCTTACAGCTTGGACATTGCGTGATATTACTTACGAGGAGTTGTGGCAAGCGATACATAAGCGAGTATGGTTGGACCATCAACTATTTCACTGTTGTTGGTATTGTTTTCTGGTTGCGGTTCAATGGTATGGGCATCTGGTTGTGGTGTGGTGATAGCAGGTGCAGCTAGTGCATCTTCATCTGCTGCTGTATATTGCTGATAAGTATACAAGGAGACAATCAGATATAGAAAACTTACCAAGAGCGGCCAAAACACTTGATAAAACAGTACCAGTGAGCATCCCTCACGCATCAAAGTCTACTTGTGATGCTGCAAGCTTGTCAAGGTGTTGATTGGTCACAAGCATCTGACCAAGAGCATTGTGCTTGCTCAACCACCGCCAGGGCTCCTTTACCACCTTGATGTGTTTTGATTCCATGATTGAAGAACATAGACCATTTGGGGCACCGAAGAGTTGTATCATGTCTGTGTAATGAGTCATCAAGTGCTGGTGGGGGAGTGAGAAGGTAGGAACAACAATATCAAATATCTTGTGATAGCGATGAAAACGATGAAGTGCATCTTGAAGGTATCTTCAGTAATGACATTGTGCCGCACAAGGTAGCAAAATTCTAACAATGTGTGAAATGCACACACCATGTCTTCAGGTACGTGGCCTTCGATAGCTGGAAGAAAGACCTTCATGAGCGCTTTTGAATCATCACCCGTCCACTGTTTGAAGTCATGGCCTTGAGGAAATCATTGTAAACCTGAGAATGATGCTACAGCAGCAACTCTGACTTATTGTTAGAGAATGTCATTGAGCCAATGAGCAAGGTGACATACGTGTGATCTATGTTGCTCATGATCTTGTCTGCCCTTCTGGTACCATGCAAAGCCTTGAGGTACTTTGCTACCCAGTCGACAAGATGATCTTTGAAAGCACCTTTGATTAGCTGGTGGAGGAGGTTGAATGATAGCAATTCATGAATGTCAGCTTGGGGGAAGTCATTCATAAATGGCTATACAAAACAAATTAGTCTGATATTGAAGAGCAGCCGGTTCTGCTCACAATGAAATCGCCAATGAGACCACATTCATCCCACAATATATCCCCGTGTAGTTCATTGACCATGAAATCAGTATGCTTGTGACAGTGGTACACACCACCACTATCGAGGTCTGTTCGAAGTGCGATACATCTACAAGTATTATCAGTATGAATGGACACCAATTGCAAGTTCTCACACTCACTTTGGGCACCAATGTTTAACAATGCAGGATAACACCAGTTGTTCCTCATAATCTGCAACGTAGGGTCCTAGACTGTATATAATGCGCCGAAAATGACCGTCTCCACAGCGCACAACCTCATACTCAGTCATTGCAGGTTTCAGGCTGGAGAGAATTGCAGATAGTGAGCTGTGGAATAGCTGACAATGAAATATCCGAAACACATCATCTTTAGAATACTTCTTGTCAGCTGGGGTGCCATTCAGATGGGGCATAATAAAATGTAAATAATCAACACACATACTTTTGGGTATAGCGAGGAAACTGATGATAACAACAGCATCTTGGTGAGCGCGCCACACATTGTTGCGTACATTTTCGATTGAGGCATAGAGTGGATAGTATTTGTTGTTACCAGTGCCAATGGAGACAGTAGTCTTGTCACTACTAAGAATGATTGGGACTAAAGTAGATCCACAGGTTTCTGGATCTTTTGATATGGTGTCCTTGATAGAACATTAGCATGTCCCAAGAAATGATAGTAATAGATTAAAGATGTACTGCCTGATGCCATGCCCAATCTCCAGACATAAAGTCTTTCCATTGGCACGTGTCGTCCAATGCATTATACTCACGAAATGGCACATAGTCAATTTCATCCTTGTAGGTAGGGTTGGCCAATATGTTGTGCGCCATCTCACGGGGGTCCCTATACCAGACCTCAAATTCATCATCCATCCATGGTGGGACAACCTCAGGGTGTTCTCCTGTGTATTGAACCAAGAAACATTGCCAGGGGACGTCACCAAGTTGTGTCGCATCAATGACGTTGTGTAGATCTTTGTGATCGGTGAATGGAGGGGTGTCACAGTGTTTCGCAAGAGTTGCAGCCATTAAGTCACATAGGAAATCCAAGTTGTTTGTAGACATGTGGCACTTTTTGAATGCGAACTCTGCCATCTCAAATTCTATTCTATTGCGATATGGACTCCAATTGACAGGAAACTTTGGTGGCATGGGAGTTGGTGGGGTGCCATATGGCAGAAATGCTCCCTCAGCCATGCATGGTCGTCCTAAGGTAAATCTGAGTCAAAACTTACTGTTTAGCATTGAATGGTGGGTACGATAGTAACGCTCACTTGCGTCAGTGAATTTGCTCAGGGAGTATGGGAGGTGATGACTGGGGTGGCTGTGCGAAATACAGAGGGGGTGGTGAAAAATATTGAGGGTGGGATGGTGACTGAGATAGTAGGGGAGGATCCTGAGGGGGCAGTGGTGTGAGATCCTGAGGGGGCTGTCCTGAAGCAGGTAAAGTTGGGTGGAGCACACACATGTATTGGGTGCAACCTGACTGATTTCGAAACCAGCGTGTGCAGGCTGGAGCTAGGCATGGAAGCTGAAGGAGATTGTGAGAACGGTGGGGAGGCATATGCGCTACAGGTGGGGCTGTTGGAATCAATGATTGAAGAGGATTCTGAAGGCCGACACATAAAGTTTTGGTAAATATTGATGTTCAAGCCATACTGGAAAAGTCCTGGTGAAAATTGACGTACTAGTGGGGTGGAAACTTTTCTCTCGACAAAATGTCTCGGCTAACATTGACGTTGCTGCATCAAAATGGCATGGGTGAACTTTGACATCCAGGAAAAGTGTTGGAAAATTTTGATGCTTGCACTGGAAAGGCTTTGGTAAATATTGATGCAGTCCCCAATGTCAATAGCAGCTGCAGAAGGGTTGCACTAAACTAATAGGTAGTAGCATCAGGGCATGACTGTAAGTAGGGTCAATGTATTTATTCAGACTCAGCTTAGACTACATTGTCAAGAAATGTGACGAAACCCACCTTGTTGTCAACCACCATCGCCCTCAAATTTCTTCAGCCTTCCAACCCATCCATCAATACCATGTCTCAGCCTGCCAGCACAGTTTCGAAATGCATGACAACTCAAGCTAAAAATGCTACTCAGCATCCAGGACATTATATGACTGGGGGTGAAGGTCGTGCAAAGAGACGTACCAAAGCTCAAAAGTCCGCTGACGACCAGCGTGAAAAAGAAGCAAAGGAGGCAAGTGAAACAGCTGTGCAAGAAAGGCATAAGCGCATTGCCACATTTCAGAAACAGATGGAGACCAACCAAGCTGCAATGTGTGCTGATGCACCCAAGCCTAGTCATCCTCGTCCACACCCAGTAAAAAAGGGTGTGAAAGCCTCAGACACCTCCAACATGACTACGGTGTGTGGTCAGGAAGGTGCAGGAATTGTCGCCGATAAGGCTGTTGGTGCCAAAGTCAAGGGCGGCAGGGCTACATATAGACTGCTATACAGACTCCATAGCCCTATAGCTCGTATAGCCAAGTGCCCAATTGTGCAGGCTTACTACACCAGTGTATAGTGCTATATAGCTCTATTAAAGTTGCTATAGCTGGGTGGAACATACCACAACTATTGTAGCTATTATAGCTCAAAACACAAAGCAAAAATTTCTCTTAATAGCTGTTTGTTGCCATGATAGTGTTCTCAAAATTAAAAAAAAGCGAAAATTCCAAATTATATTTCAACTACTACAATACATGTAAACTAATAACTACAAAACAGGCAAAAATGCGAAAATTACAGGAGGAAGAGGCAAGAGAACTAGAAGGAAGAATCAGAGAGGAAAGATGAATACAAAAAAAAGAAAGACTTACCAAATAGTGAAAATTGCGAAAATTCTTGAGGGAAGAGGAGGGAAGGGAGCTAGAAGGAGAGGATCAGACAGGAGGAAGTGAGAGTCAGAGAAAAGACTTGCCAAATGGTCAAAAATGCGAAAATAGTTGGGGGGAGGAGGAGCAGGAGGGAAGAGAGCTAGAAGGAGAGGGTTAGAAAAAAGATTAGTCAAATAGTCAAAAATGCGAAAATTATGGAGGGAGACTTACCAGAGTTCAAAGCACCAGCACCAGTACCAGCACCAACAACATCAACACCAAGAGAAGGATAGAGAAGCAAGAAGAAGAGAAGAGAGGCAAAAACTCGAAAACTGTAAGAAAAATATGGAAGATAATCTAATGAGGGGGCAGTGGGGGGGGAAGGAAAGAATGGGAAAAGACTTGTTGGTTGACCGCATTTTTGCTTACATAAGCAGTGCCAAACAAAGCTACAACACAAGACTTGGTGAATTTTCGAGTTTTTGGTTAATAGGACTAGGATTATGACAGTAAGAAAAAGACAATGAAATTGACTGTTAGCATTAGGATTTTGAATACACATAAGGTGAATTTTCGCATTTTTGCTTACATAAATAAGGTGTACCTTAACACTTTTGAACCCTTCAATTCCAAGTATTTTCCTTATAACTCACTAAGATCTTGACCTATTGAAGTCATTAGACTATGGATAGACTTCCCTTGACAAGGACTACAACTTTGATTTAATCGAAAAAAGTTCCCATGGTCAAGTTGCTTTCTTGAACCCTTCAATTTCGAGTATTTTCCTTATAACTCACTAGGATCTTAACCTATTGAAGTCATAAGACTATGGATAGACTTCCCTAGACAAGGACTACAACTTTGGTTTTCATCGAAAAAAGTTCCCACGGTCTACTGGGGTCTATAGTTGTTGAAATGTTTTACTTCTAAATACACTTACCAAACTTTATGGTAATATATAGACTTTCATGATGTCTATACTGGTCTATAGTGTTGTGATAGCTTGCCATAGACTGTATAGAGCTGTGGTGTGCTATCGGGGCTATATAGAGGATGGTCCTCTATATAGAGATATAGTTTTTCCTGATGTAAAGGTAAAATGACAGCTGGTGCTAACATCAAGCATCCTGGGAGTGAAGAGGAGTTGGAAGTGCAAGTGCCAGGGACACGCAAAACGAAGGGGAGGAAAGTAATCCCAGTGAAGACGCCAGTGAGAAATGTGATTGAAGCAGCAGGCCTTATCGATGAATCAAAAGAGACACATGATTATGATAACCAAGTGTCTGATGTGTAAGGCGTTTATTTTTTTACCTTAACCATGAAGCTCTATCTGACTGAAACAACTCTTTTTTTTCAATCTCATGGTCCATGATATTGATGCTGATAGCCCCATACTGGCCCCTAAAAAATTCCAACTTTCTGGGCATATCCCGGACTGGGGATCAAGCATTCCCACTGGTGGTTCAAAGCCGTCCTCCAATGCCAGACCTTCTGCAGCGTCTTCCATCCAGGAGTCCACTATCTCTAGTTCTGCTCCCTCCTCTAAGCTCACCAGGGGAACCACTATCAGTAGCAGCAGTGCCCCACTCACGTCCATCAGTAGCAATTTTGATGCTGGGGCTGACAAATTGACAGGTCTTGCTATTTCTACCCTGTTTGATGACAATGATTTAGATGAATCAGTCGAGCACTCTCAAGCTCTTTGTTGAATGTCAAAATTGAAGGCTACTCAGGTGACTTCATCTATATCTTATTTTTAATGTGTTAATCGTATTTGCAGGGCATCAAGATTTCTCCCAATGTCCCTGGCACTGCAGTGCCCACAAACTTAGCCCAACACAATGCCAATCTGGCACCCAAGCAGCTTGACGTGATCGAACCTGACATTGCCAATGATGGTACCTTCATGATTTCAAACAATGATTTTGAAATGGACACCGAGGCACCTGCACAGGCTCCCCTAGCTCCCCTGATTTACTATGAATCCAACTCAGATACAGATTCTGATCTCGAACCTCCTCCTTCTGCACAGGTTCCCAAAGGATATTATGATGCTGACCCATGGCCTCCACCTCTTGCCCAAGCCCACACATCCCACCCTACCATTCCAGCAACACGTGTAAAGCGGAAATTCACAGATATCGAGGACACAGATATTGAGGACAACCTGCTTGAGGACGACCCTATGATCGAGGATGACCTTGTCATTGAGGATGACTTGCTCTCCTCATCCAAAGTTGAATTTTTTGGTCACCACAAGAAGACCATGGTCAAGACTGAACCCAAACCTGTGTCCTTGCGGGTAACGTCTGGGGTAGTATGCTTTGGTTGCTAATATTAAATTTTACTGACTACAAAATATGTAGACTGGTGTCGGTGTCAATCACAAAGCCCCCATGGCAAAGAGGCCAAAGCCCTCCATTAAAAACATTCAGAGTGTTTCCAGTATCACAACCACCAAAATACCTGATCCCACAAACCCTGAAGAGGTTATAGTGGAGATTCTCCCCTGCTCTCATTACAGGATCACACACCTTCCTGGAGATTCTTGGCACCTGTGACTCCCACGTAAGTACTGTAATTAGTAGTGATAGACTGGGCCCTCCGCACCTCTAAGTAGTACTGGATATAGTGAACCAGGGCTTGGTTCAATAATTGTTCAATATATATTCCCAGGGACTTGCAGTTTCTTTGCCCAGCAGCGTGTGGTAACGGTAGCCGTGGCTATAATTAGAGATACCGCCAGGTAACAACATCCATTCCTGATGCCGGCAATGTCCGCCCTTTGTGCTCGCTGTGCGCAACAGCGAGCACGTTGTTCTCGCTCATACCTGGGTCAATTTGCAGCGCGTTTTTTGTACTATGGAGGGTATAGTAGATAGAGTAAGTTAATGTCATTGCAGGGATACGAGCTTGCGAGAACGAAGGGCTACAAAACATACTAATTGAGGTACCTACAAGTGATGTGAAGCAAAATGTAGTACTATAGGGAAGCATCAGGTGGGGTGAGAGGAGCTTACTACTAATCCAGGTCTTCTCCATTGACAGAAGCCTCTTCATCGCTGCTCTCGATAATCTCGCGACTCTTTGGTTCCGGACGTGACACTTTTCCTGTCTTGTTGGACCTCCTCGACTTCTTCGCAGGACGCTCACCTTCAGTGTCCTCTCGCTGCGTGTTCTTGCATTTGCGAGACTTCCCCGAGTCGGAGCGCTTCTTGTGAGGTTTGCCAACCGTTTCTCCTGCTGCCCGACGTCGCTCAAGATCCTCCTTATACTTTTCGAGCTCGGTCTTTGTCAATCTCTTCCAAGCGCAGGTCCTGGCCTTAAGAGCATCACGCAACTCCTGTATTTCGCAGACAGTATGGATATTCCAGGGCGACATGAAAGGAATAGTTGCAGGCCAGCCATCAAGGACTATACTGTAGGATAGGACAATTGATTTGATGTAGTTTGGGTAATTCATGCTGATGTTGTCCTTGCCCGTCATTTGGCCTGCCATGGTACGTGAGTTGAAGCATGCAATATAAAAAAAACATATGTAATGTACGTAGACCGCTGAGGATGAGTCGTCCAACTTGCTTCTGCATGTTTTCGAGGCTGTCATGCTCTACAATATATGTGAAGGTGAATCAACAATGATATACAGTTTGAGACGAGCGGTCCAAACGTACTTTTGCCCTGGCTACACGCCCATTGTTCAAACTTGCGCACAACATCATTCAACATGAGGTCCAAGACATCTTCCCAAAAGTCTGCAGCATCATCTGTCGCATACCATGTTGCTGGTGTCTGATTGTTTACGTGCCCTCCTGCAATAAAGAATGTGGCGTAGGTGCCACATCGCTCGCATAACCCATCAAGCTAAGCAACAGTTAGCAAAAAATTGACATCAAAGTCAAAATGTACCTCTCGTCAAATTCTGTCAGTAGTAGCGTTAACATCTCGTGCTGCAGCTATGTTATTGCTGCGCAAACCACCGGTTTTGAGTGACCAATGCTCCTGGAGCTGAGCTATATATTCTTTGATCTCTCCATCGGTCAAATTCTCCTTCTGCATGGATGGATCGGATGTCACCATCTGGCGAATCTCCTGTATCTTCAACTTGCTTCCAACCGGACGAGCTGAATGACTGTCAGTGAGAGTTAATAGTTCCGACACACAAAACAAACCTCCATTGACCTCCTGGTTCTTAGCATGAACCAGTGCGTTGAAGAGTTGAGGTCCGCGGGACTTCTTGTAGTGTGTGTGGTAGGTGATCAGTTTCTTGATGTGGGCCTCAGTAATGCTGTGCAATGCGCCAATATCCTTCATTTTTTTGTCCTGGTTGTCAAGGAAACTGCTGATGGTGTCATCAAGTGCCTTCTCACTTTTTTTCCATTGGGCTGCCTTGAGGGCACGTGAGGCTTTTTCTGCCTGTGTCAAAGGTGCACCCTTGAGATGGGTAGGGATAACTGGATGACCGGGGTTGTGCGCAGCCCAAGTTGAGTCGTCGCCTCGCTTATGGAGCTGCAGGTCCATGTTTTGAATGCCTTCCTGGGCATTGTCAGGAGAGGGGACTTGCAAGTGGGAGGTATCACGATCTGAAGGTAGAGCTGCTGAATCATGCGCTGGAAGGGAGGGAGGGCCATCTGCAGGTGCAAACGTGAATGGAGAAGGGTTGCTCCATGCTGAATTGATGGAATCGTGTGCTGGAAGGGAGGGAGTGTCACTTGTAGGTGGGAACGTGAATGCTGGAAGCGAGGGCGCTGGAAAGGAGGGAGTGTCACTTGTAGGTGGGAATGTGAACGCTGGAAGCGAGGGCACTGGAAAGGAGGGAGTGTCACTTGTAGGTGGGAACGTGAATAGAGAACAGAGTTGCTGCGATTATTGATATTTGCCTCCCATGAATAGATATCTTCAGTTCCTGGTCCAGGAGGGAAAGATTGCACATCCACTGTCTGAGCAGGTGGGAGAAGCGAAGCCTGAGGCTCATTCGTGGCTGAAGATGGCCAGGTGGAAGTCTGATGAGTCGCTGAAAAAAAATCAATTCCAGTGAACAGTGTGAGCTTGTGTGCAATGCAAATCACCTGTAGATGCTTTCAATTGATCAGAGCTGTACAGACAGAGGGTAGTATCCATGTTGGGTCTTGAGTGCGGTGGTAAGTAAACCAAACGTTCATAGCATGTCGGATCAACTGGATGTGTCGCGTCTGTCACACTGCATTTTTCGAATGTTGCGTCTGTCACATCGCATTTTTCAAATGTCGCGTCTGTCACATTGCATTGTTCAGGAGATCTGGATACACAGTCACAGGTGATTTTCGCAATAAATGAATATTGTACATCAATTGTACATACCATGCATCAAATACCTGCCAGATCACATGCCATTGTACTGGTGTGAAGTCCCCCTGTTTCACATTTGACTATGGCACTCACCAGAAGCATTTGTCCAATAGCTGATATCTTCCATGGTGTCTTGCACAAGACTGAATTAACACGCGCGAGTTAAGTATATAAGCGGAATGATCGTGATATAACAATCACACTTACATTGCTGCGCTGGCTCTCCACAGCCCATTTCAATCAGATGCATCGTGACCTGAAGTCCCCATGTCTCACATTTGACCATGGCAGCACCAGAAGCATTTGACCGATACCTAAGTGTTCGAGTTAAGTTGTGAAGAAAAATACAACAATAACTTACCTTGTTGTGATGGCTCTCCGCAGCCCACCTGCACTAGATGCATCATAAATTGTAGAACCTAAATTGTAACTTGTGAGATGTTGTAGTTTGTAAACAAAAATCACCCTACTCGCACCTTGTGGACTTGTTATCATGAAAACACATGTCCAAGTCATGTCCGAGGCAGTTGGCAGTTTGGGGACACTGTGCAAGTACTCGATCGTTATCAGTGTGCACTTACACCTCACCAATCATATGTTGCGTCTCTAGTAGAACTGGTGTGTGGCCTTTAGACCTACAGATGCTGATGAGTTCAACCTACCAGATGAAAATAGGTATTGGTGTTGTAGCACGTGGGGCCTAGACAACTTTGCTTCCATGACACATTACATCAATACAGGAATTTGCTGTGTCCTGCTTTGTCAGCATCGGCATTCAACACTTCAATGGCCGGCGACATCCGTCTTTGGCATATAACTCATCAGAATCGACACTCACAGAGTCGCAAGCAAAGTAAGCATCAATCTCATTTGAAGAGAACTGTCATACGATCTCATTTGAAGAGAACCGTCATATACTGATTGATGTTAAGACTAGATGCACCGAGGGCAACGCCAGCATGCTGCAACTCAGCACTGGATGTCTAAACCTGTGTGAGTGACAAATTCATATTCCAGTGAAGGTGATCTGGCTGACTTTTTGCTTCTTACAGGGTTCGTGAAACTCAAAATGAGAAAGCTCATGCTCGTATGGCAAGGTAAGTTTGTTTCTCATATTCAACTCATAGCTGACATCTCATATTCACTCATAGGCTCCGCGCAGTGTACATTCTGATGAGAATGATCAGCGACAGCACAGTGCGCTTATGTTTTGCAGGAGAAAGGAGTCACAATTGAGCAAGAGTCAGCCTACGGGCTCAGACGACGGCGGTTTGAGTGTGAGTCAGCCTGCGGGCTCAGACAACGGTAAGCATTTAGTATTCTCTTGAATGGCATCTCTGATTTTTTATCAAGAGTCCCTGTCAGCTCAAACCATTCTGTGTCCGCCAGATCTCAAGGCCAAAAGTATGGCCGAAATGTGCCTGTTGATTTGTCAGTGGCAATATTGTTGGGGCCCCAACAATCTTTGGGAAAAGATGTTCAATGAGAAACTGCAGTCTGTGCAAGATCGGGGGAGTGGATAAGTGAACGACTTTTTCAGCCAGTGCGAGGCACACACTACTGACAGTCAACAACTTCTCAATGAATTGAAGTGCATCGCTTATAGCCCGTGTAACGGGAGACTGGCGAGGGACAAGTGCATTCAATTGCATGATCTTTTGTCAGTGGTGTTGTCAGAAGTGAGGTTTTTTGAGGTAAAACTTGACGAGTATGCCCCAGCTGTACCATTATCTAGAACATTGTCTACACGATACTATGAACAAGCATAATATAATGTGATTTTCCGATCTTTTGCATGTCTTTCATCCCAATCAATGTGACATGCTGCGAGGTTGACCGAAAATCAATAGTGAACATAGCGAACATTGTGGGGAATTCCCCCACTGTAGGTGTAAAACCCTGTCCTTTCCGCATCGTCTCACATCAGTTCCGCGTATTCTGCACATTCCGCGTTTCTTGCGCATCGTCCGATGGGTTCCGCATTCCCACGCATCCTTCGGAACCCGCCCGCACTATCCGATATTCCTGCGCATCGTCGGACAACCTTCACATGTCCTGTCCCCATCCTTCCAGGTCCATTGGTACGCTGTATCCCTCTTCCCGCTGTTCCTAACATTATCCGGATCAAACTGACACATGCCCTTATGACACGGACCCCTATTCCGGAGTATTGCGCCCATGTGCACTGCCTGCCTTCACTTCCGCTTCCTGAGAGACTTACTACCTGTACCTCAGTGTTCCTTGAAAATAATCTTCCCTTTAAGTAGTGGTACTCAGGGCTTGGGGGTAATTTTATCGAATCCCATCTTTTACCTTCCCACTTTCCCTTCACCTTACTAGAGGACCGCTTTGACTTATGCCCACTATCAATCTAACCTTGTGATATACTTCCTTCGACTTCGCCTGCAAGTTCCGACAAATCAGTACGTTCCGTGCTTTATCCATTTGAGTTCCGTTTCATTCCTTTCCATTCCGCTTGAGTTCCGCTCAGGTTCCGCTTGTTCCATGCAAGTTCCGCTTGTTCCGTGCAAGTTCCACTTGTTCCGTGCAAGTTCCGCTTGTTCCGCATTTTAGCGGATCCTCATCCTACCTGTGGGAGGGTTGATTAGGGTCGTTTAGACAGAGACTAGTACTCCCCAGTAGCAATCCCCTTTAGGGTCGAATGTGCTTGCTCTCAAGTGAGGCAGTAGGCAGCAAAGACCCAACTGTGTAGTAGATCGATTTCTCTCTGCTGCACTTGTTGTACCCACAACGTGTTCGCTATTAAAATGTCTTGCCCTCGGTTTCAATTATCAGAGTGATTTATGGTCCAAAAATGCTTGGAAGTTATAAGAATGACCTGTCTCTTGGATTTCATTGATGTCCGAAAGGTTAGCATTTGTTGTGTGAACAGCATATTGAGAGTTCTTGTCGGACGGCTCAGTTTGCATAAGTTAACAACATCTCATTCAAGGTTGTCTGCATGTGCTGCCGCACCACACGAAATAGCCTTGTGTTATCTCCTGCCTCTCACCATTCCATTGCCACAACAGCATTATCGTGAATATCAATGGTGTACTTAAATTTCTATTCTTCAAAATGTGGGTACACTCGTAGTATATCATTCTAAGCTGTAAGTACTATGTTTCCTCCACACTCAAACTCGATGCACACCAGGAGTCCCAAACATCCTCTAATGCACAACATAAATGTATGTACTCAGTTAGACCTGACTCATGTACTCAGATAAGTCTTCAAGATAAGACCAAAGATCCTCAGAGTTGGTAGATGAGGCTGTAGTGGTCGGACTAGGAGGTGGAGTAGGGTGTATGATTCCAACTGGCCAGAACGGTCCTCCAACAGTGGGAACTGCACGGAGCAGTCCCATATTGTAGTGGCTCGTGTACAACTCCAACGCATCAGCCCAATGATCATATCTGGTGTGAAATGCGCTGCTGATTCCATCAACGCGTACTTTGGCGTCAAGCCTAACAAATCAATTGTGAGCAACAGCATTAAAACGTGATCAAAACATACCAGCAAAAAAAAATACCGACTTCCTGACCAACAGTTACCACATAGTATCCTTGAACTTGAGTGCCAGCAGGCAGATACAGCTCATCAGGATGGGGTGTGCGCGAGGCTACAGTCGCTTGTTGAGTGGTACTGAATTGCGCAGTATCCGACTCTGCAGCTGATCGGTGATCACGATGCTTTGGCTCTGGTACATCCGAACAAGTATGTGACAGCGTGGAGTGTGTTGGAGAGGGTGATTGTGGTGCATGGCGTGAATGAGAAGGCGATTGTGGTGCATGGCGTGAATGAGAAGGTGATCGTGGTGTGTGGTGTGGATCCCCAATTTTGAAAGTGACTGATTCCTCAACTGTCTTCTTTGAGTACGTCACAGAGTCAAAGCTTATATCTGACAATGGGTGAGAGATACAGCAAGACTCAGATACTGTGAAGTGAGCAAACAAAACGAACCTGAAATCTTCATTGTGCTCAGAAAATCTTCAAGTCCACCACCACTGGTATTATTGCTTGCCGTGGAGTGGGAAGACTTAGTAGAGGTCACTGTTGAATGGCGGGACCTCATGTCTTTGAGTGAGGAAGTCACTGGCAAATGTGTAACAAGTGTTCTATCATATGTCACGTGAGTAAAGACTTACCGTGACATTGTCTACGCAAACATTGTTGATTGGTCAAGACCAAAGACATTGATGGCCCCAAGATCTTCAAGACTGCACAATCGGACTGGACTATCCAGCCAAAAGGTCCGGCAGCTGGGTTCAACACACGATCAGAATGGTTGTCAGTTGGCAACTAACACTCTTGCAGGTCCTAAAGCCCTCTTGCAATGTGCTGCTCATGCACAGGCTCGCAAGATTGAATGTCTGGAAGGTGAGCAATTTGAATTCTTGGAATTCTTGAAAAACTCACAACCTTTTACTAGCAATGACTTTAGAACAACGCCAGGCATTACAAGCCTTGGTTGAGCGTCATGATGGTGCCGACGATGACACGAGTATGGACTTTTCATCGGATTTCAATGAGATCTTGTGAGGAGATCAGCAACTCGAAATCAGTCACAGCGGGAGAGAGTTGGAAGACCTTGCTCAGGAAATAATGGGCGACTTCTGGAAAGGGTGAGTCCATTATTCTATGTTCCTTCTTGAACTTACCTTGGCTGCAACCATGCAGGACCACACCCAAGGGCCATGGTCCACGATGAAATGATCATCGCACACGCCGTGATCCAGTCCAACGCCGTGTAGACGCATTTGATGCCCAGCTTCCGGCAATTACGGAAGCTTACCTTGAATGGAGTTTGCAGCGTGTTTGAAGTGGGACAAGACCTGGCTTTTTCCATCAAATGGCAAAGGATGCTCTCACTGAGGTAGGAGCAGACTCAGGATCATGGACTGCGACTATCATTGATTTATTTTGTGAGTTGCTCATTTGTTTTGTCAGCTGTGAGCACCTCACGGCATTGTGATAGGCGCTGAGAAGGTAACTCTCACCCTCAACGCCACCGACTCCTTTATTGCTTCTGCCCTCGTTCATCAGGGTGTAATCCCTTGTTCTCCGATCTCTCCATCTGTTGCTGTGACAGTGGATGCCCTTGAGTTCTACCGAATCGCACATCTATGTGACCCACATTTCTTGATACAAGCATTTGTCAAGACTCTGTGTGATTTGCACACAGTACGTTTTCGGCCCTCTGTCTCACTAATTATTGACAAGACTTAAGGTTGAATATTGTCGCTACCTCTCACGTCAACTGACCATAGCGTTTGATCTATATCTACAGGTCCGCTCAAGTGTTGATGCACTCGTGGCTGAAGTCCTTAATTGCAACACGCCCAATTGGCGCCTCAAGCATGCATGTCCATCATGCACTTATACATTGGTGGACGAAGAACAACTCACATTCAAGCTCCTGTACGCCATGGATGGCAATGACTCGTTGAAGCGCATTCTTCGGCGAACACTTGGTGTAGATGACGAGGACACTCAGTCATCTGAACTCCCCACAATGCAACAAGTCCGAGGTGACCGATATCTCCCTCGCAACTATGTCAACAGTTGGGGAAATGGTCGTCAAGAAGAGGCAAACACTACTATAGGCACCGATGACACAGTGCGTGCCACATGGAGTACTTTTCTTCATTCAATGCTTATGTTGTAACATCAGGAGAATCCATGTGCAGGGTGATGGAAAAACATGGATGACAAAAAGACTAAACAGATGTGGGGAGTGTATGATGAAACAGGTATATTTATTGCCGTCTGCCACCATGGCTTTAGTCTGGTGATGGCTGATATGGTACAGAGCGGGGAATTGTGAGTTGCATCTTCTCCGATGTTCAATCATTAACTAACGGCTTCAATCATCTCTTATGTCAGGGCAAAATATCCACTTGCTGTGGTTTCGAAGCTTCTCGACACATTTGGTAGCGACCTCGGTGGTGGATACGACATGGGATGTCAATTCAAGACAACACTCGACAACAGTTCATTGGGTACCTGTGCACGATCCCTCAACTACACATCGCTGGTCAGTGCTTTTCACGGGCACACTCACAAACAGCTTTGTCAGTTCAACCACCTCGCAACGTATGTTTCTGGTCTAGGGCTTGAAGACTTGGAGACATGCAAACGTACCTTTTCGAAGTCAAATGCATTAGCGTCGACAATGCGCTATGCCAGCATCTTCCACCGTCAGCAAGGTATTACAAATTATTTCGAACACAATGATGACTATGAGATGTACGCGAATTTATGTACATATTTCGCTCTCAATCGTACCGAAGTGTGTTCTAACTAGTCTCACAGCGAATTTTCTGTACCATAACTACAAGCAAGCCCTCAATATCATTTGCGACAGCCAAATAACGCTATTGAAGCTCATGCAAGATATCAACGTTACCGAGGAATCTACTTTCGATGAGTGGCTGAAAGAGGAGAAAGTTTACCTCCAGGGTCTTTGCACCGAGCCCGAGCTCGAGACGTTGCAGATGGAGTATTGGCAGAAGTTGGTCAATCTGAGCGCCAGCAAGTAAGCTTCTTGGATTCTGCACTAAGCCACTGACTCACTCGTAATTTTACAGGAATGAACTGGATACTGCCAGCTCACTGTGGGCTATGTCCACACCTTCAAATGCCCATAGCTTGGCATCCGACGAGAGCGCGACAAGATGGCTTGAGACGACCAGAAGGCATGCCCTGGAGAACTTTGAGAAGGACTTGGGAGTCGTGCAAGAGCTTGAATGAAAACTCGGGATCTTGCATCGTTGGACACCCGAAGATGCTGACTGGCAAAACCCAGGACGTCTCGTTGCCAACCGAAAATACCAGCGCTCGCTTGACCAGTTGGAAGGCCTCATTGTGGCACGGATTTTCGAGCTCACCAAAATGAATAGGTCTGGCACGGGTGAGTCTTTCCTTCACACTACTGCCACTGCTAATCAAAATTTTATAAGCTATAAGATGCGCAAACACATCGCCAAGGCATTGCAAACTCATTCTACAGCAATCAGGAATGCTCTCGACCGCTATAACGCTGCAGCGCGTGCATTGTCCCCTCCACGCTGGATGTTAAAATGGGAGGAGGTGGTGGAGTATGCATTTCTTGCAGACTTCGACCTCCTTCGCGACTCATGTTCCGACATCTCACAACGGCAATGGGCAACGCCAGCAGCTCACCAAGCCACTGACTTATATTTCAAACGCTGTCGTGCAAAAGAAGAGATCACCCGACTCAATGTTGAGGTGCGCCACCTTGCCTCATATATACATGATGAGGATCGCTACCTTCGCGAGTGTCAGCAACAAGCGGAGGCCTTTAGTCCAGCTCTCGCACATCAGATCAGTTTGTGGAGGCAAGCCCGAGGCAGGTTCAACTTTCATCACATCAAACGCTTGCAAGACATCACCAGACTTCCTGGGTTCTCTGGCACCATTGTCCCTGGAGAGTGTGTCCTTAGAGACACCGGAGAGAGTACAAGCCTACCGCACGCCAGCATTCCTGCAAGGCTGACATCCCTGACACCCAACACCCTCATTTCCTCCTCCAGCTTGAAGCCGCTTGCTACAGAGTCTGCGGATGATCTTGACGATGACGAAGAGGAACTAATGAATATGGAGGAGGCTGCCGAAGCCCTACAGAACGTTCTGCATATTGCCATGGACTCATGAGTTGGTTGGAGTGGGTGGGAAGGACTTATTCATTACTACTTTGATATGTAGTTTAAGCTTACCGTGTACCACCTGCTCTTTATGTACCTGCTACTCCCTCCATAATGCAAAAAACGCGCCGCAAATTGACCCAGGTATGAGCGAGAACAATGTGCTCGCTGTTGCGCACAGCGAGCACAAAGGGCGGACATTGCCGGCATCAGGAACGGACATTGTTACCCAGCGGTATCTCTAATTATAGCCATGGCTACCGTTACCACACGCTGCTGGGCAAAGAAACTGCAAGTCCCTGGGAATATATATTGAACAATTATTGAACCAAGCCCTGGTTCACTATATCCAGTACTACTTAGAGGTGCGGAGGGCCCGGTCTATCACTACTAATTACAGTACTTACGTGGGAGTCACAGGTGGTTCTTGGGCAGCAACTAAGTGGAGTAGCGTGTTTATACCTACTCTCACCTCCACCATCAGAGATTGGGACGAGGTCTGGTCTATTCCTGAGATGACTCTCCACAATATTCTGCAGGACACCTGGAACGTGGTTTACGGGGATATCACACATACAATCACCACAGATGGACCCATCATTGCCATAGTAAGTAATTTTTGACGCTACTGGTATCTAATCATTTTTGTATTTTTCTTAGGCTCTCCGGCGGTGTTAGGTACCATGCCAACTCAGGAAGCAGAGGGGTCAGGGCTTGGCTTCAGCTCTTGTGCTGCGCCCTTAGCCGAGTACGTGCCCTGAATTTGGAGCGGGTCCGATGTTGTCCGATGGTAGGACAAGTGGTCTGCTTTGGTCCGCTTTGAGGATCGGGGAGTAAGAGCTACTAGCAGTGGGCCGACTAGGAGCGGAGCGGAGAAGGCGGGGAGTGATGCAGAGAGTGGATAGGAGCAGGGGGAATGTTGGTAGGGGCGGGGAAGGTGGAGGACAATGTGGAGGGGTAAAGGAGGATATTTGATAGGGGCGGAGTAATAAGGGAAAGACTTAGAGCACAGCTCTAAGTCGGAGCGGAGGGTCGGAGGGTCGGAGGTGACAACAAGTTGAGACTTGTGTCCAGAGGAGGCAAGGTCCTACTGAGAATTCTCACAAGATGTAACTGCGAGAAGACAAGTAATATTAAGACTGAGTAAAATATCTAAGTACATGATATGTTATATACTACTATGTATGAGGCAGTGACCAGGATAACTATGTTGTAAAGCTATGTACCAAGGATATAGTTTGTAAGTATTTCACACAGGTGAAGACATAAGTCGGAGCGGATATCAATATGTATGTGTCGGATCAGCGATCGGGCAGTAATAGGAATTACCGGTGATCTGGAAGTAAGGGTCTATGTACCGAAGGGGAAAGTATATATCTAAAAGGGGAAAGAGATCCAGTTGAATGGAGAGGTTATGGAAGGGGACCAGTTGAGTGGTTGAGCAGAAGCATAGGGTGGAATGCAGACTTGTGATTGGACGGAGCGGAGGATGCATGGAGTGGAGGGGGTCGGAAAGCGGAGCGGATATCAATATCGGAGCGGTCGGATCAGATATATGACAGGCGGCTATCTGAGTGGCGCCATGGCATCGGTCATTCTGCTGTCACGGTACTTACAAGTTTTATGTTGTCGTAGGAGGATGTCAAGACTGATCAAGACCACAAAGACTTCGCAAATAGCTTACTTTTCAAGTTGGGATTCCTGTATGGTAACATCACAGAGGACGGAAAATTCCAGAAACCTTTTCAGTCTGACCTCATTATTGAGGTCCTCGTGCAGCATGGGCATAGTATTTTGGGCGCTATCAACAGGCATAGGATTCCAACAGATATAACACATTTTGCTGCTGCTTCCAGGTCTTGTGTTCTTCATACTATCTCTGCTCTTCACTGCCAGTGGCACTTGATCGTTGTTGCTCATTTTGCTGCTGTCACCACTGGCGCTAGTAGTACTACTAGTCATGCTATTCACTTTCTCATGCATTTCAATTAGTGATGTGCATGGCCTGGCTTGAAGCCATGGGCCGAGCCAAGCCAGGCCCAATTAGGCTGGGCCAAAGTGACGGCCTGACCATGGCTTTGGCCCAGCTTGGAATTCTGGAAAGCCAAAGCCAGCGGCCTGAGCCACGGCTTTGTAGGGTTTGCAGAGGCAGCAAAACCGTTCCAAACCCTGAACTGATTATCATCACCATGATCAGTATTACATTCCCGGTGAAAGCAAGAGTGAGATACCAGCAAGTCTGAGCAACAAGCCTTGTAAATGTCGCTGGCAGCAACAGTTGTTTGGCAAAGGCTTTGGATCCAAACAAACACTGAGTCACATTAAGAGTTTTCTTGCTAAGCACTTACAATATCATGACCTTTGATTTACTAATTTATTTTTGTCAGTCTTGTTTCTCCTGGTATCTAATGTGTTCATTCATGCGCTCGCAAAGGACCAGGTGATTACTACTAATGGATGTTTTTCACTCATCTGTGCTTCTCTGTGTGCGTTTCCACTCATTCGTACTTGTCTGTGCTTGTTGTCCCTGCTCGTCTGCACCTGCTGCCACTAATTGTCGTATCTCCCTGCTTGTTTGTGTGTGCCATGGGCTGCCACATATTTCTGCTTCTCTACCATGGTTTGCACTGGTCTGAAACTGTCTGCACACATTTGTGCATGAGTGCGCTTGTCACGACACTACTTGTTCCTGGTCATAATCTATGTATATAGGTACACATACTACTTACAAGTTTTTTCGTGTGTTGTTTGATCGTCACACTCGGTAAGTCAATTTTCATGTCTATTGTGTTCTTCGACATTAATGTTCACTCTCGTTCGCATTCCAACAGTTTTGGTGACATTCTCGTACATTTGCATTCATTTGCATATACTTCTGCCACTGTGTTCGGTTTGGACACATTCGTAGATGTTCTCATGCATTGGTGTTCATTTGCAAATGCTGATGGTAGAATCATCCAACCTCCTCTGAACTGGACTGAACTGGACCGCCGCAGCACTAATGACATTGTCATTCATTGAGTCACTCCTGGAGTCATGACCGTTGCACGGCCTTGTGTTCTGCCTGGCCAGTTCCCACTGGCCCATCACACTTCCCCTCCCACTGCACAGGTGAGTACTTCAAGTTCATATCTTAACCCATACTCACAATTTTACATTTACAGTACTCAGGCCATGGCTCAGGCCAGAGCCGAGCCAAAGCCAGCTGTCACTGGTGACTTTGGCCCAGCCTGGATTTTTTGCAAGCCAAAGCTGTCTGAAGCCAAGCCACTTGAAGCCGTGCCGGAACATCACTAAATTTTCAATCTCTCCTACCAGTACTTTCATGTTGCTTTCCTTCCCTTTTCTCTCAATTAATCTAGTACTTTCGCTTGAAATGCAGTGTTGTGTGGTTGTTTTTCACTTACCAAGTGTGAAATAAGTCCAAAAAAATGTACAAACCAGTAGAAAATAAGTGACATAAGTATCTCCACTTGCCATGTTCAAGCATGGTATAATGTACTACATTAATGCACAAAAGTGAAAAAATAAGGGCTGAAAAGGTCCCGCCGAGAGGAGGCATCTACTTATTCCACTTATAATTGCCTTGTGGCAAGCTGATGGCAAGTTCGTGTCACCGTTCTTATGAGTCATTTCTCCGCTCCTTTTGGCGAAATTACCCAGCGGCAAGTTACGAAAAAGGAAGTTAAGGAATGTGTGAATTTACTGATGTCAAGAGATAAAGTTGCTCAGAGAATCAAGACGCAGCAAGAACGATGTGTTTTGACGAACCTTGTCAGCGGACTAATTGCAACTTCACGACCTCGGACCGACTCGGAGGGCCTCTACTTGCCTTCAAATACTTTCTTCAGGGATTAAGATATCCATGTGATGCTCATTTGGTCATAAAAGCGCTGGGCGGTGGTATATCCAGCCACGAACGCCATCTCCATGCATACACACCAAGTTCGCTGTTGCCTCACACCCGTCCTCTAGCAGTATGGCCCTGGTCTTGAATGATCGCAGTTGGTGGTCGACGTTTGACAGGGGGCATTATCAGAGACTGGTCTCAATCGAAACTCGCGTGGGCTACTTTGCAAGGTGAGCTCATACTGTGAATGTGGTTCTCTTTATCCACTCAATTTCCGTACGTGCTAGCTTTGTAGCTCTTTCTTGCCTCAACATCGTTTATGTGATTTCGATGATTTCGACGATCTGTCGCATTTATATATAGGACCCGTATTTCCTGGGAACCTATATTAATATTCGTTTTCTTCACATCTTCCCCGTTGTGCAAATGTTTGTGCTGGGATCACGCCTGATCAGCGTTCGATGATATAACGCTAAGCTCGTGGCTGACTCAGACGCAAGAACCGTCATGACCCGCCTAGGGCTACCACCCAACCAAGTACTGTTCAATGTTCAACCAGAACCGGGCCGCATCTCCTTGTACCCTGGCACTTTCCTCATCCTCATCCACCTCACACACCAACCTGGTGCCCCACACTGTCTCTACGCCTGGGCCACATCATTCATGGCAATGTTCAATGTTCTCCCGATGTGCGTCACACCAAGCTGCCGTACCCCCTCACCATACACCATCCCGGTGCCTACCTACTCCCCCCTTAGCCTGCGTCTACCCTCCTTTCATCACGTAGCGCTGTGTACTAGTGTGTAGCAATTATTTTTATGAATGAATTTTATTTGTTTCAAGACATATCTATGGCAATACGAATCAGGAACAACATTGAAGGGTAAGTGCTCAGGTTTCGACGAATTGTGATCACCGCCATCGAGATTCATCGAATTGGCAAAAGAAGAACATCCCAATCTAGCCAACAAAGAAGAGGAGATGCACATTGATTATTCTCGGCAGTAGAAAGGGGGCTGAAGCTGATATATCACACCTTCTGGACCAAAGGCACTGACGTATCATGGGCGGCAGGTTCTAAACAAAGAGCATGATATATTATCCCCCTAGAATATTGTGGGAAGAAAAAGAAATATTTCTCAGGGATAGATTTACCCAGTGCAGATGGTCTTGTGGGACAGGAATATGTAGATGCTTCTCAATGTGATGAACGCCGACGAGCGAGCGAGCAACTTTCGCGTCAGTTTACAACCTCTTGCTATCATTGTGAAAGAAGATCGAGTTGTGAGAATTTGCTGGTGTTACTTTGTCGAAAGGGTACTGTGTAGTAGTACAGTTAATCGGAAGGTAATCAATAATATTTAGAGCAGCAAGTGATAATGGTGGTTCGATAACGAAACTCTTGATTTTGAATGGATGGGCTTAAACATAACATAAGTACAGTACGGTCTAGCAAGTACTCCGATGCATAATCTGCCAAATTTCAAACTCCTCGGCGCTTCGCCTGCTAAGTCCGAGATCGACTCTACCATGGCTCGACTTCTTAATCCTCCGCGGTAATCAAATACTCTTGCTTTCCACAATGGCGGAAGAATTTCATTGGGATGGACATCTACATCAGTAAATCACTAAACTTGCACAGACTTTGGCTTTATCCAAGGATTCCTGCAACAATCTCCGGCTTTACGGCAAACTTCGCGCGGTGAGATTTCTAGTAGAGAACCTTGCGGGATATACTAAGATGAAATAGGATGGAATTGACAGGATTGTATCAGTTTTCCACCATCACGCAGGGTTGACACAGGGCTACGCCTTACCAGTAATGGATGTCCCCCCATCGATCAGCGCTTGCGGCCTCAGGATCCAGCCGTGATGCATCACTGACTCACAAGGCGCTGCCTTCGATCTGTGGAGGTCATGCGCTATAGCCTTACAACCTCGCTGTGGGATATATAGTACGATGGAATTACTGCAATGCTGACAGAACTGTCTCAACAACAATGTCTTCCTCAACGTCGCAGGATGTCATCCCACAACTCGACCTCGGGAACACGTTTGGGGCACTTTTTATCGCCATTATCTTTGCAGCAATGTTAGTCCACCATGTTCTCACTAGTATGCGGATAAACTGAGCGTTTCCTGTAACATCTCACGGAACAGTCTCTTTGGTGTGACAAACGTTCAAGTTTTCATATACTTTCAGACACACGGAGGTACAGGGATGACATTCTATAAGCTGGTCGTACGTCTGTGCTATCTTTTTCTGAGTTCTATTCTTGAATCTATTTCAGGTGATTTTGTTATGGTAGGTATCACTCCGAGTTGCAATTTTGGAGCATGTCAATATCGTGCACTGCACCCTGAATTTTTAGGACACTTGATGCTCTGCACCTAGCCTTGATCATCCATGGCGTCTATTATTATCTGGTGATCAACTACGCAAACGTCGCTGCGCTCTCAGACCTTGTATGGAGTGCCAAAGTGAGTTCCTACTTTGGCCCTCCGAGTCGCCTCTAGTACTAGCATATTGGTGGGCTCGTGTAGCTTCATATCCCAGTCAACGTAAGTTGTAATCTCTAAGCTCTTTTAGCCGTTCATGACATGCAATACACAGACGCTCATGATTTGGGGGGTGCATCTGTAAGTTCGATGCGTATAGTGTTATATGCAACATGCACGTAACGTTTTCTTTGTTCGTAGCCTATATGTTCATCGTATATGGATAAGTACTTGTTCCCCTATTAATGTATTTGCCGCGACTAATGCGACGAACATAGTCAGCAAGGGCCGATCAAGAGCTCTCCCTATAACAGTGGTGGGTTTACAATTGATACTTACGTATTATGCCATTTAATTCCATTGATCCACCGTTGTGTAGGGCATAATCGTAGTCCTAGGTTCAGGTGAGTCTGTCACTGAGAATTATCTTCACTCGATCTTGAAACCGTCTTCAGGTGTTTCCATCAGTGAGCGTTCGATGGCACTATTGTGATATGTTGGGTCATCCTAACCTAATGATAACAGGTCTTAATTGGGCAACGTAAGTGAAACAGTGAACTAACTCCACGAAGTGCTGATAGCGAGTAGATATCGGTGCCGCACGTTCGGGGATTTATTGAAAACTTTCGAATGGGCGAACTACTCAACGTTGGGCACACTGAGCTTTCTCGATATTCTTATCGCATCATCGCTATGCTATCTCCTCATCACCTCTCGCACTGGGTTCTCTAAGTGAGGAGTGGTCCTTTCCCTGTCGTGATCTGATATAGAAACGTGGAGTACTTAGCACCGATTCCTTCCTAACAAAGCTCATGAGTTACACCATTACTACCGGCTGTCTGACAATGTAGTCCTCCTCCACCTACTTCATACATTGACTTACATTTAGTACAGTATATTTTCATTGACAGCTATCATCACAGTGAAGTTCTAATTGTTGTATTGTCTGTCTCGTCTCTGAGGGTCTTCCACAGTGAGCAGCGATGCCGAAGAACTTCATCTACCTCGGTGTTGAATTTTTAGTAGCGAAAGGTATGACTAAATTATTCTCTCAGGATGGTGCTAATAATTGGTACCCTTTCCAGTATACGTTAACTCGTGCATCGCACTCCTGAACGCACAATACTACACACAATCCAACGCAGACAATCTTGTTCTCTTGAATTCTGCACCACAAGGCGAGAACTTCCCCACACCCCGGAAGAATGCATTTAAACATGCCGGCGATGAAGTGGCGTATCCTGCTCAATCTGCTAAGGTTGGTAGTTGTGTTACTGTTAACAGAAGTGGGCTAAATGATACGCTTTATCACAGTGGTTGAGGAAGGTAACGATAGAGATGGATTCTTTCTCGTCAGTGTGATGGATCGGTGCGCATGAATTTTGTCTGCCTGTATCACGAAATAAGACTCGCAAATAACTTATGTGTTTCAATGTCTTCAATTTTGCTTTAACGTGTTATATATTTGCTGGCAACCGTCGATTTGTTTTCAAACATTCGGCGCGATGGGGGGGACAACAGTCGTTTCTTCTAATCGAGGTGCTGCACACACTTGTCAATCTCGTTCATTTCATCGAATTCTGTCAGTCATTTCTGCTTGACCCCGACATGAGGTGTTCAACCAACTAGAGAAGACGAAACCCCTGCAGCTGAATATGTGTAATGCGAGGATGGCTAAATGGGTCCAGGATGCAAGGAACTGTACATCATGAAGGCATCTGATAGGCGGAAAGACGAGGCACATGGGTACTTACCTCCTCCCTAGCTCTGTTCTCTCTATACCTGCTTTCATGCCTCTCTTCATTTATCTTCCTGTGAAGATGCTTCAAGGTACCGTATGCTTGATTTTCCGTTGCGAAGTGGAATTCTTTGTAGAAGAAACCAACGGGGCCTTTCTTGAATGGCAAAGTCACTAACACTGGTGGCTCATTCCAATCCATCAGCCGATAGTGTTATATAGATATATCTTTTATGGACTATTAGCCAAAAAGTCCGATACATCATCTACTCTAATTGTCCACTGTCCATGGGGAATGTATCCTACATTCTAAATTACAAATCTTGCTGTATAAGCCCACATGTTCGCATTTTCAGCCACCTACTGTGGGAACTTCTCCACAACACCCAAAACATAGCCCATTTTGGGTATTCTCCACAATATCAACCTTTCCCACACCTTCCCCATCCATCCCTGGCTCACCAACCACATCACAATTAGATACAGCTTGCATTTATGCAGTAGTATAGGTTATATACACATAATAGAATATAATAGACCACTTTCTCTCTTTATTTTTGCACCAATACCTGGTACAGAGCCTCTGCAAGTGTGACATAATAGAAAACATATCAAAAACTGTTTCGCATTTTTGCCCCTCCAGTATTGGGGTACTCTAGCGTGTCTAGAATATGTGTGTAAACATATATGTACCTATCACAGCCCTTATTTTACCTCCTAGAGCGCCCTATATCATGCACTGTGCTGTACTAGCATAAAATAGAAAATAGCTATGCATTGTTTGAGCTTTAGGTATATAGACTTATAAATATGATCCCCAACATCCCTTCAATAGTATATGCAACATATCAGGAGCCTAGGTCAACAGTATCAGTCCCTGTGGTGCTATGTGCTTACCCTCTCCTGGTGGTTCACCCCATGGGAATTTTTTTAAATTCTAGTACATATATCAAGTCTTTTCATGGCAAGGACCAGACAGGAATATGTCAGAATATTAATATCAAGGATATATCTCCTATTTTCACTGATTAGGACTGTCAGACAGGTATAGGATGGTATATTATAATCGGACTATCACAATATACACTATACATACTGGGGAACACAGGCCCTGAGTATTGGAAGGATCCATCAAGGTATAAGGGCAGGGGAACCCAGTAGATAAGAACAAGAGCGTGGGAAAATCAAAAGTCTAAACATTGAAAATCAGTCTATACATCAAGTTAGTGGTAGGACTGTAATGCTGCAACAACACTTTGACACTACAACACTTCTACATTACCTTCATCTGGGGATCAGAGGTAGAGCGAGGTAGGGCTAAATAAGTAAGACTAGTCTCAGTCTCTGGAATAGAACTCTGCATTGATGAAATGTGTACCTAAATAAGTAAGACTACTACGTTTCGTTAGGTTTGGTTAACATAACTGTAAGGTATAGAAACTCACATCTCAGTCTCTGGAATAGAACTGAGACACTCGTCTGTGGGTACGCTAAACTTTATACTGTAGGTTATTCTCTTATCTGGAATATTAGAATGAAACAAAGATTATCACTAGGTTCGGGGCCGACATCACTCATCCTTCGTTCCTGGTCCGTGCCTCTGCACTCAGACCTTCTACTTGTTGCACTCGGACCTTCTACTCATCATCCTGTGCCTGCTCTTCGGTCGTCTCAGATTCCAACACTCCCCCTTGAGCACAAGCTAGTCCCATTTGAGTTCTAAGCTTTTGCAGATGTGGGCGCACTAGAGCCTTGGTAAAAGTGTCGGCTACATTCTCCTCGGTGGGGCAGTAGAGCAACTTGAAGGTTCCGTCTCTAACATGTGAACGAACGTAATGGTAATGTAAATCAATGTGTTTCATACACGACTGAAACTTGGCGTTGGACGCTAGTGCGATAGCAGCCTGGTTATCACAGAAAATTGGGATGGGGAGAGTGTGTGCTTCGTAGAGCTCACTGATAAGGAGTTTTAAGTAGAGCAGTTCGCGTATCACACTGGTAAGTGCGATGTATTCTGCTTCCGCATATGCCTTCTGTGAGAGTGTTAAGGTACATGCTGCTCTATCATGCGTTACCTTTAACCCCAACAACCATTTTAACTTGCCTAGATCGGATATCTCGAAGAACTGTTGGAGTTGGGACTTGAAACAGTGGATATGGGATGTATGGTTCACGGTTACAGCCATGTTGTCGATGGAGACGGTGATGACCATCTGTTCGCTCGAGGTAGGTTTGAAGTACACCGCTTGATCAACCCTTGACCTACTGAATCCCAGCTTCTTGAACACTCCTGCTAGCTCCTCCGCCCACTCAAAACCTGCCTGTTTAAGGCCCAGTAAGCTCCTTATCAACCTCAACACCTTTCCGCTCTGATCCTCTCTCAAATATCCTGGCGGTGCTCGCATATAGATTTCTTCTTGGATGCTGGCATACAGGTAAGCGCTCTTGATGTCAATTTGATGAATCTCCCAGTCTTGCTGAGTGGCCATTGCTAGAACCATACGGATCATGCTCATATTGGCGGTAGGCGCAAAAGTATTGAAGTAGTTCACTCTGTATTTCTGCCGCTGGCCGTTTGCAACGAGACGAGCACGAAGCTTCAGTTTCTCGCCATCAGGTCCTCTCTTGGTCACCAGTACATAGTGGCAGGGTATGACATTTGCGCCTCGTGGTAAGTCAACAACCTCCCATGTACCTAACTTTTCAAGTTGGCTAATCTCGTAATCCAGGGCTTCTTTCCACTCAATGACATCAGGGCCATTAAGCGCCTGCTGTAAGGTAGGCTCTGGTTCTGCAGCTGCTAACGCTAGGTGGATGTGAGCTTCTTTGTCCAGAAGATCCAGCACTGACGCTTCTAACAGGGAATCTAGCGCTAGGGATGCGGTCTCCCCCTCATTGAGGGACATGTAATATCCTGGAGGTGGCCTGGTACGAGTCATCCTCGGGGCTGGTGGAGTTGTAGGACGATGGGGTTGGACTCTGGCTGGGGTTGCTGGTGGCGGGATAGGCTGAACGACAGGTATGTTGTTGTCTTCATCGTTGTGCACGACACTGGACTCCCCCTCGTTCAGCGTATCCTCCACCACTATCACGTCTCCAGATGTGAAGGTAACATTCCATTCAATGGAAACCCGTCACTTACCCGGCCAGTAGACTCTATAGGCCTTGCTCACCACATCCACTCCCACAAATATTGCCTCCTCCGCCCTCGGTTTGAGCTTCCCTGCATCCTGCAGGTGCACAAATGCTCTTGCACCAAATTCATGTGCTTGTAGCAGGCTCGGCTTCTCATTTCGGACGAGTTCAAATGGCATGGTATCTGGGGTAGCCCTTGATGGTAAGCGGTTTTTCAACCAGGTCGCATAATTGACTGCCTCGGCCCACAGATACTTTGGCAAATCCTTCGTGATGAGCATTGCCTTAGCGTGCTCCACAAGCGTGTGGTTTAGTCACTCTGTGACACCATTCTGCTGCAGTGAGTCATGGACCATCAATTGATGCTCTATCCCCTGCTGGCGCAGATGCTGATCGAACTCAGGAGACATATATTCACCACCGCAGTCCGAATGGACTTTCTTCAGTTGAGTCCCTGGTGCTTGATGGCTGACCCAGGCTTCATAAGCCTTGAAAGCAGTAAGTGCTTTGCTTTTGGCCTTCAGGAAGTGCAGTACGGTCTAGTGACTATAGTCATCAGTAAAACTGATATAGTACAGACTCCCACTGATGCTGGCCATTTGAGCCGGTCCTCACAAGTCAGTATGGACTAGCGCGCCATAGGTGTGTGCCCAGGTTGTACTCTCATCAGGAAAAGGTTTCTGCGCTGACTTTGCCTTTGTGCAGGTATCACAGAACTTGGGCTTCGAGCTTGGGTCCAATTCAACGCCCGTGATGAGGCCCTTCTTGACGGCGTCAGCCACCACAGTCTGGGATATATGGCCCAGTACTCTATGCAACTTGCTAACGGTGAGTTTGGTCTGGGTGATGTTTGTGTGATGCTGAGAGGTCCTTCCCGCAGCTATGCTATAGAGACCTTCCACCTGCGGTATTTCCGCTATCACTTGTTGCTTCGGTCTGCGGGACAGCACTTTGCACATATGGCCTTCAAACAACATGGCCATCCCAGCCTCTGCGATCTGATTGGTGGATATCAGGGTGAACGCCATAGCAGGTGCATACAGCACATTCTTGAGCGTGACCTTTGTGCGCTTGTCACCATGAGGTAACTCTAAATCAATGTCTCCTTGCCCAACAGCATTTAGACTTGAGCTGTCAGCTGTGTGGATCTCCTGGGGGTTTATGCTGACAAAGTTGGTGAATTTTGCCCTGTCCGGGTAGAAGTGGGAGGTGGCGCCTGAGTCGATGATCGCACTGCGTCTATCGGTGGGTACTTTGATGGCCTTGGCAATGGTAGCCAAGTCTGACGTCACGAACACGTACTGGTCCTGGGATGGAGCATCCATGGCTGAGTTTGCCGTCTCACTCTGTCCCTTTTCACCCTTCTTCCGTTGCTGACCTGGGCCTTGGCCGTCTTTTTTTTTTTTTGATTCCATTTATGTCCATTGAGAGATGACTCTATGTAGGACAATACATGCTAGTCTAGGGACATCCATGTCCCATCACATCT